ACCGCAAAAGCCACAAAACCAGGAGAAGAAGCTAATCAGGAGAGGCGGTATCCCAGTGGAGAGTGCACAATTATTTAAATCAGTTTTGTCTAGCTTCAATTGAAGGCGTCTGTCGAGTGTCTCCCTTCCGTGAATGCGAAATTAATTGAGACAACAGGGGCAAATTGTCGAGTGCTCCCGGGGGTATCCCCAGTTGCATCTGCATCTGCATCTGCTATGGATGTCTATGGGTGTCTCAGTCTGATTGTCTGGTCGGTCGGTTGTCATAGGGCTTCTCCGCAATCGCAGTTGGATAACGAGAGAGGAGAACTAGCGGCTTGAGCTGGAGAAAGGGGATTGCATTTTGCATCTGAACTTTTGAGTTCCGAGGGGTGATTGATGCATATTCAGGCGTCAAAGAAATGACAGGAGTATATAAATATATTCTAGGGAATTACTGCAACTCGACAATCTTCGTAGAAACAAAAATAAAATGAAATATATAATCTGTAATTTATTTAAAAACAAAAAAGGAAACTTCGGAAAGCTGAATTAAATCGGAAATCGACTATAGCTAAGTTTAAAATATTCGCCTTATTTAAATCAATATATTTATGGGAGAATATTTTTAACAAATTAAAATTTTTTAAAACTCATAACTAAGCCAAAAATGTATTAATTTCGAATCGGAAAGCTGCCCTATGTTAGTTTTTATTAGGCTAATAAATCTGCATACCCAATTTAATGTTTTAAAAAATTCCATTTTTGGAAATGGAAAATTTTTGAAAAATTTATTTTTCTATCAGAGATGGCTAGAAAGATTCTCCTGTTGATTCTGATCAAGAATATATATGATTTATGGGGTCGGAAATGATTCCTTCATTTAGTTTCAAGCTTCTGACTAAAATTGTAATACCTTGTAAGGCTATACAAATTAAAATTTAGCAACCATTTAATTATTATTATTCCTCTATTCACTGTCATCCTCCCTATTCTATTGTTAGAGTATGATCTCAAGCTGATCTTGAATTGATCCCACAGCCTTTAGTTTAAAATTTGCATAAATATCAATTAAGAGAGGGTCTAGTATATGTTATAAATCAATCTTGTAGCATATATTCAAGATCTGTGGCATGTATGGCGAGGAATGTTATCTCATCTTGTCCCCGCCATTTCTCAATTGAGTTGTGTTTCGATCGATTTGATGTTGAAGTGCTCCAATTCTGATTCGACTTTTTTATTGACAACTTTATGAGTCCTCGGGCGGCCCTCTCTCTGTGTCTCTGGTGGGGAATTGTTTCGTCCCCCATTTGATTTTATCGCAGATTTTGCAGATTTAGAGCAATAAACTTTATGAATCGGAGAGACAACAGCAACTGGGTTCGTCTCCAGCATCTCCAGCGGAGTGTTTTTGGGGGGAACCGTTAGATGCTGAAAGATTTGGAAGAAGAGCCGCAGCGAAGTTTTAATTGACATCGCCCGCTGCCCCATTAATGCTAATTTGAACCGATTTGGTTCGAGATGTTTGGACAACTTTTGGCAATGGACAAAGCGAGTTGAAAGAATCGAACAAACGGTTCTACACGCCGAACTCTGAGACAGCAAAAATCATTTATTCGACTCTCAGGCCTGCTCCCAAACATAAGTTCTCACTTTCTGAGAAGTCAGCGAAATTATCGAATCGAGGGAAGGGAACGTGAGGCTCTTCCCGGCTTCGGATTCCCATTTCGCTGGAATCTCGGCGCAAGCCCCAACATGGGAATGTTATTATTTTCGGTTGTTGTCACCAACAAACCCATAATAAACACCTTAAAAATGTCAACATTATAAGACCGCCTTCCCCCTGGCCCCTCTCCTCTTTCCAAAGCAAGCTTTCAATAAATTTTGCTGCGCCCTCGATTTCCGACGTTTGACATTGGCATTGGGCCGGGCTTTTGCCTTCTTTTAGAGATTCCTCTGGGAACCGTTCCTCTTTTACTTTTTTCAGAGCGTAACGCCACGCATGCGCAGATTATGGGATCCCAAAAAAGGCAGCAACTCCTACTTGTTCTCCTTTTCCTCCTGCGGATGCTGATGCTGCTGTTCTTCTCCTGCCTTTTCTGCACCTCCCAAGGCTGTGCTCGCCTCGTTTTTTTATTTTTATTTTCATTGGTATTTTTATTTTGTTTTTTATTTTTTTTGGGTAGGCGGACGACAATCTAGCTTGGTTGCCAGCAGCTGCCAAAAGGAGGAGGCGGCAGGCTGGGATCAGGAGCAGGGACAGAGGCCGAAAAAGGGAGTACCAGATAAGGGAAATGTTTTTAGATTTTATAAAAAACAATTTTGTAGTTTTATTGATGAAAAAATGCTCAAAAGTCAACAGAAATCCAGTCTAAATTATATTAAAGAGTTTGGGTTATAACATAATCAGTTTATAAAGGAATTAAAGTATTAAATTGTGGTTTAATTTCAGGAAGTAGTTAAGTATATAATATATAATATTTTAACTTGTTAAGGTGATCATTTCACCAAGAGGAAGGGATAAAATCACTGGAAATTGTGAAGAAAACTGTTTGTTTATAGTGAGTTTTTCTAGTACCAGCCTATTAATTATAATAACAATAACTTTATCAACATATCATCGAATTTCATTGGATTCCGTATTATTTATTTGGTTGAGCCATCTGTGCCTTTACACAATATATGTAAATAATATGTTTTAATTTAATGGGAATTCAAAATAAAATAAACTTGTGGGTTTCTTCGAATTATATTATTTGATATACTTTTAGGAAGTACCAGATACAAAAACGTTTAAATGCACCTGTAGAGTGTGAACTTCTTTCTAGGAACTTAATAAATAAATGCAGGTAAATTGAATTCCTAATAACTGATCCACCAAAGGCCCCCCCTAATTGTTTTCAGTGTAAGGAGCAGGGAAGAGGAAAAGAAGATCGAAGTCCTGAGCCGAGTTCAATGTCAAGTTCGTGAGCCTCCTTCTTCTCTTGCTTCCTCCACTTCTTCTCCATGTGTTTGCTCCGCCTGCGCTTTAGTTTCTTTTTTTTTTGCCTTTTTGCAGTCTCCTGCGGGAGTTGCTTGCTGCTGTTGTTGTTGCCATAGTGGCTGTTATTGTTGTATGCGCTCATCGCCAAAGTCATGCTACTGGCCACGCCCCAAAAGTGACGGCATAGGCGCCAGGCTGCCCAAAAAACAAAATTGGAGCTTGAGCACACTTCCTACTCACCACTCCTCACACTCTGGCTCCCTTTCTCTCTCTCCCTTGTCTGCGAGCCTGACTGTCATCTCCCTCCCACGGCCCTTTAAGTGGCCACTTTGGCGTCTCGCGAGATTTCTATCTTACCGCGTGCGCCCCCCCTCTCTCCCATTCTATCCTGTCAAGGACACACTCTGAGTCACGCTTATGACAACCAAGCATGAGTGAGTGAGTCATTGTCCAAAATTCTGGAATCTGAGATCCCCAAAAAAGGCAATAAAAAAAAACCTATAAGAAAAAAGTTCACGAAATTGGGCAAAGGAAGTAATTCAAGCGGAACGCAGGGCGTCGAGCGAAGCAAGAAAGCAAAACAAAAGCGCTTAAAGGGTTAATATACCAGCAAAAGCAACGACAACAACAAGAAGTTCAAGTTATGCAATAAGAATAAACATATGATATACCCCTCCCTTTCTGGCACTCGGCCGCAGCATCACTCACTCATCTCTTACTTGATTGTTGTTTGTTTTCATCGCTGTTTTATGGCTTTTCTATCCCGTTAAAGGTTCTCTGCCTTTCCGCTGCCTCCTCCTCTTCCTTAGCTGTTGTTGTTTTTCGCGTACCTAGTGGTGGTTTCTTTCTGGTGGTTGAAATGCCAAAAAACAAAAAATAACACAAACAAAAACAAGCGAATTGACGGAGTTTCATTAGCGCGTTTTAAACTAATTAAACACGCGAGATTATCTAGCTCCCCCCTCACCCACCGCACCCACCCACACTCTTTCTCTCACGCAATTTTGAAGTTTTTATTCCTTCCTTTCAACAGCAACAACAATTAATCCCGGCTGCCATTCTGCTTGCAGAAACAGTTAGTTTTGGAAGCGCGAGAGAGAGAGCCGGCTGCTGCACGCACACCAACGCACACACGCACGCACCACGCACACGGGAATTTTATTGATTTTTCACACACACATTGACATCGAAAGGGGACAGAAAATAAGAGGCAGGCACAATAATAAACGGGAGCTGCAGAGATAACACCAATAAGAGCATGATAATGGCATATGACCAAAATAAGCAGCAAAGGCAAAATCAAGAAGGGCAAACAGCGTATTTTGCAACACAACGGTAAACACGAAAAGTGCATTACACCGCCCAAAACAGGCTCAGACTCACTCTCTTCGTCGCTCTTCCGCGCGCTCTCTCTCTTCTTCCTGCACAACTCCTTTTTGTTCCTTTCGCCGCAAAACTTGGCAGATTTTGGCACACGCCCAAAAATAAAGCGAATGGCCGCACAATAACAAAAATAATAACGCACCCTGGCACACACACAGCACTCGAAAAAACAACAATTATTTAAGTAAATGCCGGGAAGTGGCAAGTACCGTTAGTTATCCTATGGGACTCACTTGCTCGCTCGCTCTTTTCGTTTTCTTTTTTTCAGTAGCTGCAACCTTTTGCTGGCGTTCTTTGGCGTTTGCGTATATTATTATATATTTGCTAGCACCGACCACTAATTAATCACTCGCGCTTTAATAAAAACTAAGTCGCGCGTCTTCCGAATTGCGTTAGATTAGTGTTTAGCACGAAAATCCGCGACGCGACCATTTTCAAAATGTTGCTTTTGGCGTGTGGCTGTGCGGTTCTCCTTTTATAATACTACAGACTCAGCACAAGGGAAGGGGATTTCCGCATCCACGGCAGCTGGTCACACCGAAATTAGACTTAAATTTTACATTCCCATGTAGGAAGTAAAAATCCGTTAACAAAGTGCCGAATAGTGTTGAACAACGCTTGCCCTAAACAAGGCGTTAAAACGGTAAATTTAAAAGTTGTTTTTGTATTTGCACACGTGTGTTACTCCTTTGTTAAGTTTATTGTTAATTAATTGTGAATTATGTTAATTCTGCACCTGGTGCTGTGGCCAGTCCTATTTGGGGCCTTGTCCGCCGCACCGCCTGCTGCCACTGTCTCCCAGAAAGCGGCAGAGGTGGCCAAGCTGCGTAGTGAACTGGTAAAAGCTCTCGAAGACAATGACGGAGCGCAGGTAGGGAGGAACTTGATTTTGTGGCCACTCCGGCTTGGTTATCGCAGAGCTCCCTTTTACAGCCCGACGGTCATGGTCCCGTGGTGGCTCCCGAGTGGACGCAGCATGGCGGGAAGCCCCTCCCAGGACCGGCCGCCAAGGTAGTTGTGGACACAGCCTCACTGAACAGTGCCGCCGCCCTACGCCAGGAGATTCAGCTGGCTGTGGCCCAGCAGGGACAGGCACCGGAGGTTGCACAGCTGGAGGCACATCTTAAGGAGATTAGCAGCAGCAGCAGCAAAGAGCCCGCCAAAGTGGGTAGCGCCCGTCAGGAGATGCTGGGTGCAGCCGCTGCGGCCACTAAGGAGAATCATGAGCCCAATGTTGTGGAGGCCAACGCAGTGCCCGGCATCGATCTGGAGCAGCTGCAGCGCCTGGAACTATCCAAGCGACGGACGCGCGACATGCTCGTCCTCGGCCGCATCGAGGAGCTGCTGGACGCAAGCCTGCCCGCAGAGGTGGATCACTGGTTCACTTTGCAGGCCAATGGCAGTGCCTTTTTGGTGGGCCAACAGCCGGAAACGCTTCTAGTGCTAAGCAGTGAGTTTAATCCCCTCCAGATTTATGCCCTTACCTCTCCGGTATCTGCTCTGCTGGCCCTGGATCGCTGGAACAGCAAGCGACACGTCCAGGAGGGACTCCTCGTGATGGCCTCATCGGATCAGCAGCTCCGCTGGCTGCGCTTAGAACCAGAGCTAGCGGGACTCGCTGCCTTCTGGGACTGGCCACTGGGCACTGGCGGTGGGACTGTGACCAAGATATGCGCCTTTAGTCTGGAGGGAGGCAACTTCCTTGCCCTGATGGCCAATCGGACGCTTAGCATCTATGCCTACAACCTGGAGGCAGAAGAGTTCTGGATAGCCCAGCGATTGCAGCTGGCAGAGGAAATCTCTGACCTGGCTGTGCTCGATGCCGGGCGAGAGGTGCTCCTGGTTGTAGGACAGTTTGACGAGGCCTTCATCTATGTTTGCAGCCCCAAGGGGGAGCAGTTGCAGCTACGCCAGCGTGTGGTGGCACCGAATGTCATCGGCATCACAGCCTTCCACATGGGCGGACGCAGCTACCTGGCTCTGGGCGGTAACCGGCCACAGATCCTGGTCTACGTTCAGGGTCAGCTAGTGCCACGCACCATTCTCGGCCAGAATTTCGGCTTTGTGGAGCAATTCCTGCCCGTTCCAGTGCGCAGCTACCGCGATGATTTGCTGCTGCTCGTCCAGCATCGTGTTGAGTTCGACCCGCATTCGTTGCTTGTCCTGGAGGTGCTTGTGTGGACTGGAGAGGCCTTCGAGGCGGGTCTGCCGCCGCCTTGTAGTGGTGGAACCTACGGTGCCAGCTGCCTGATGGATCAGGAGCGGGATGGAGGCATTGCGGGCGCTGCTTTGCTCCGCCAGTTGGATCAACCGCCGCTGGTGTTGGTGCCGCGCAAGCAGGCGCCTTCGGGCCTCTTCCGCTTGGAGACGCAGCTGCTGGCAAGGAATTCGGAGTCGCAGGACCTACAGGAGATTCACCAATTCATGCTGGATTGGGTACACGAGCAGGATGAGCTCATTCAGCTGGCCGAGAAGCTGTTGAGTGAGGAGGAGGAGCAGGAGCAGCACTACGAAGAGGTGTCCACCCCTTTGGTGGTCAGCGAAGGTGGAGGCATTGAGGAGCTCTTCATCAACGACATCCGCTGGACGGGCGCAGATGCTGCACTGGATCTACTGGAGCTTCTCGAGCAGATTCGCCTCTTGGATGAGCAGCTGTCGCAGTCGAGTCCCAAACGAGCAAAGCGCCAGCCGGATGCTCTGTTCAACTTTCACTACGAGAAACTTGAGGTGGATGTCATTAAGGCTGGTGAACTCATTGTGGAGCAGCTTAACCAAGTGCCTTTCTACATACAAAACTCTTCGCTGGAGCTGCCATTGGGTACCCTGAATGTCCAACACTTGGAACTTATGGAGGCGCCAGAGGAGAAGTTTGACCCAGTCGAGGGAGCCGAGTCCCATGAGACCTTGAAGTTAGCTGGCGACTTGGAATGCTCGTTCATTAATGGAATGAGTTGGAGCGTTCTTCTCGAGGACCTAGTATGGCGCCATCGTCCCCTGCGACTGCCTCAGCTGACTGTGGATGGAGTAAGTCGCTGTCTATGGCTAAAAACTACCAGCTTATGTCTTCTATTTCGCTTTCCACAGCCTGTAATCTTTGAGGATTCACTGCATCTAAACTCCCTGAATGAGCTGAGCTTCCCAGGGGACTTTCTTTGGTCGCAGGGCAACGAGACTAGCGTTGTGCAGGCGCCCAAGGAGTTTAGCAACACCCTCTGTGAGTAGTCTGCGGGGTGATCTATAGTTTCAATTATATCAACACTGTTTTAATGATCTTTGCTAGCTGTAAATGCCATTGATACTTCGGGTACCATCAACGGAATGAATCCCCTGGATGCAATCACATTAAATGATGCCCAAGACTGGCCAGGATGGGTCACCTTCTCCCATTTGGAGGTGTCTGAGCAATTGGAGGTAAAGTTTTCAATATGCTTAGTTCTGTTTATATAATATTTACATGTTCATTTGATTTCTTTCTTCATTCTCTTTCCAGCTAAATGGCAGTGCCCAGGGCCGTCAGTTCGATGAGGCGCCTTTGAATCCCACTCTGCTGGAATCACGTCTCATAAACGCCGACTGTCACTTTGATCAGATTCTGGTCCGAGGATCAGTTCGACTCTCTGGCAAGCTGGACAACGATACCTTCGACTCTCTGCTGGGTGATCTTGTCCAGAGATCGGCAGATCCTGGGCAGGAAGTGCTGGTAGCTGGCGCCAAGCGGGTGGATCAGTTGCTCCTGCCCGTGGATGCCCATGTAACGGATAATGCGCTTAGTGGAATACCCCTAGATGACTTTGTTACCAAGCACACGCCACAAACGTTGCGGAATTTGACGCAACTCGGCGGGTACGTTTACTTCCACCAGTTGGAGCTGGCCAAGGCTTTCGCCTACGATGGCGTACGCCTGGAGGAGCTACTGGCCGACAGCCTACGTCTAGATGGGCCGGTTCCTTTGAGTTCACCCCACACACGCCTTCGTTTTGTGGACTCCTCCCCGCCTGAGTTCGAGGGTCTGCAAGTGAACCACAGCCTGAATCAGGTGCCACTGGCCAGCGGCTATCAGCAGCTCCACGACGCACTGCACCTAAACAAGGCCAACTTCCAGCGACTGGCGGCAGAGCGGGCTCAGGTGAACCACGATGTGACTGGCAGTGGTCTCCTTAATGGCCAGAGCCTGGAAGATGTTTTGAAAGCGAAGCCTCGCACCTGGTCGGGTGAGGTACACGTGCAGGAGCTGATCCTACCGCAGGGCGTGCAGGCGGATCACTTACAGGCGATAAGAGCAGACTTTCTGCTCGATTTCCTGCAGCAGCTGGACGAGTTGCCGCTGCTCATCCTCCAGGGACGATTGCAGGTGGAGCGCATCGATGTGAGTGACTCAATCCATGTGGCCGAGACCCTCAACGAAAGGGACATGAACGAACTGCAGCGCCAGGTGGTGTGGCTGAATAGACCCAATGAGCTCAGAACACGCTGGATCCTCAAGGAGCCGCCGCTTATTGAGGGTAACCTGCACATCCTTGGCAGCTTCAATGAGCGTTTGCTTCCCGAACTGCTGGACGACATTGTGCTGCGACCCAAGGAGGGAGAATCACAGGAGCACATCATCGAGGGCACCAAGAGCTTTCTGGCTCCCATTCATGCGGAGCATCTCCAGCTGGCGGCTCTCAATGGGATTCCCTTCGAGCGGCTGGCTAACAAAGTCAATGGACAAAATCTCTCGGGCAATGTCCAGCTTCAGGGACGTCTCTTTGTTGAGGACCTTCGACTGCAGGGCTCACTCAATGGAAATGGCGAGGCTCTACGGCAACTGGAGAAGCTGCTGCGCTGGGATCCCGACCACCAGGACTTCGTGCAGCGCGGTGAGGTTTCAGTGCCGGCCAAGCAGCTGGAGAAGCTCACAGTGCAGGGTCACCTGGGTAACAATCGCAGTGGTGAACCGCTTCAGCGGACCTTCGATCAGCTAATCTTCAAGCAACAGCAGCTTGGTATCCAGTTGCAGGACCACAAGACCTTTACAGGACGTGTTCGCATCAAAGACGGCGCTTATATAAGCAGCTTGAATGACTTGGATTTGGACCAGTTGCTGCGGCAGCTCATCTTCACAGACTCGGAGGAGGAAGAGGTGTCCGTACAGACGCCTGTCCTTTTTGAAGCTGCCACTCGTATGGATCACCTCCAGGCAGAGCGTCTGGTGCTCGCCGGAGAGCTCCTCAACGGCTGTAATGTGAGCCAGTGGCTTAGGGACACCATTCGTGTGGATCGTGACTTTCAGAGCCCCAACAGTGAGTAAGGGAATCCCTGATAGAAACGTTAATCAGATTTGTTTTGTCCTTTCCAGTCACTTTCAGCCAGGGATCTCTGGACGGCAACTCGCTGACGGTGGAGCAGCTCAACCAAGTGGATCTGTCACGTGTCGTTACCCGGCACACGGAGCAGCATCTGGCAGGGAACTTGACAGTCGAGGAGTTGCTCCTCGATGGGCAGATGCTAGTGGGAGGCAGCGTCAACGGTCGCAATCTCTCAGCGGAGTATGCAAATACGCTAATGGTGAGTGCTCCATCCACAACCAGTCTCCATCTCTTCAACTTTGATGCTCATTCCTGCAGACAAATCCCCCCAGCAGAGAGCAACATGTAGAGACACCCCTATTCCTTGGTTCTATTGATGTCATCGGTCCCTTGGACATCACGTCACCGGTGAGTGGTCTTAACCTGAGCGATGTGGCCACCCTGACGGCGGAACCTGTGCGCCTGGAGTCACCCCTTTACTTCACCCGCCTCGAAGCACCCTTTTTGCAAACGGATCAGCCGGTGAATGGATTCGATTTCAGGGATTGGTACGAGCGCAGCCTTTGGGCCAGGGGCAGACCACAGCAGGAGATCACCGGCAATTGGCGGGTGAAGAAGCTTCTCGTGAAACAGGCAGCCGATGAGCAGCGACCACGTCGACAGACTGCCAAGGAGAGCTACCGGGATCTGTGCGAGCGTCTGTCGAGAATTCTGCTGCCTTATCAGGTGCAGAAGCTGCGTCATAGGTTCTCAATGCAGCAGGCAGAGGATCAGGCCGATGTGCGTCGAGTGTTTGCAGTGGAGGCCCCAGGAGGCTTCACTTACCTGCTGATAAACGAACGTGGCTGCTGGACGCACATTCATCGCTGGAATGGCACTGGATTCGAGCGATCCGGCGCCTTCCAGAGCGGTCCCGTCGATGAGGTGACTGCCCTGATGGTGGGCAACACAAGTGCCATTCCGGAGTTTGCCTTCATGACCAGCTATGAGATGCAGGAGGATGAGCATGAGGCCAGCTGGAATTGTAGCGGCCTGAAGGCCACTCTTGTCGGTTGGCAAATGACCAAAGAACGACAGGCCATGGAGGCAATGGATGTACCCCTGGCCAGGCTGAGAGCTCTCCAAGAGCAGCTGCATAGCCAAAGGCCATTGCCGCCACATCCCGTCTACCAGGAGGCCATCAGGTACCTTAAGCGACCCACCATCGAGTCCCAGCTGGGCAAGGATTGGCAGGAGCAAAAGCAGAGACAGGAACTAGAACCCGCCGAGCTGGCCAGGATGCGCAGCCGCCTGCTGGACACACTGGTGTTTCGGCTGCAGGCGGAGGTGAACATCACCCAGCTGAGCATTCCCGAAAGCGATCTTTTCGATGAGCATCTGGTTGAGGACTTTCTTCAGCTGCTGCAGCAGTTGCGTGGTTTGCGACGGCGCCTGGACATTGACACCCTGCCGCTGCCGGACACTCCGGCTCGAGTCCTGGCCGCTCGCAGTGCCCAGCTCATTTGGCCCGTGCTCCAGGAGCTGAAAGGACTTTCACAGGTAAATAGGACAGGTGAACAGGAGTTGCGGCTAGAGCAGGCTTTGCTGGATGTTCTGTCATTGGCCAATGATGGCCGCAGTGATGGCGCTGGCGAAGATGAGAGGCTGCATGCGGTGATTGAGAGATTGCGTGGACTGCAGCAGGAACTTCATCAGTTGGAGGAGCAGGAGGAGGAGGAGGAGGCCGCTTCGGATAGAGAGGAGCAGTTCCTGCCACCGCCTAACCTCGACTGGCGGTCACTTCAAACCCTTCGCCTCTATGTGGGACCTGCCCACCGACCCAGGCTCCTTTACGCCCGCTTAACGCTACTGACACCTGCTGGTGCCCCGCCTCCCACAACACCCTCTACAGCGCCGGCTGCCCACATTCAGGTGCATCATGCGAATGGCTCCATCTTTCAATCACTGGCAGCAGAGCGTGGAGCCCGTCACTTGACCACCTTAAGGGTGCGGGATGAGACTCTCCTGGCCTACGTCGAGGGCTGCTGCACCATCCGCGTGCTGATCTATCGCGGTGTTCAGGGATTTGTGCCTTTTGCGAAGTTCACTGTTCCTTCAGAGATCGGTGGTGCAGAGGTGCTGCAGTTGCTCGGAATGCGGGTGGCGCTCAAGCGTGCTCCTGGCGCCGTGTATTACCTGGCGGTGGTCCAGGCCAGACGAGTTATTTTCTACGAACTTGTAGTTGTGGGTTTGCTGGAACCTTGGTTAAAGTGTTCATAATTTGGAGAATCTTTTAAGGGGTTCCCCTTGAAGTGAAGTTACTGGAAGAGATCCTTGTTTGTGTGTTAATTTGTTGTTTTTTTTGTAGGCTTTAGGAATGAATTTTGTTATCGCATTATATTATTATTGAATTATATTAAACTTGTGCATCCTTAAATATGAATATCTATCCCATTCTCCCACCGTTAATGACAACACCTTATGTCCTTTAACTACAAATATACGATAAATCTTTTTATTTCAAGGCTTCTAGTTACAGTTACACAATCCATATACATAGCTGAGGACACACTGGAAGCCACATGCTCCTCATGGCCCCTGCACGGTGATTGACTCTTACAGCCTAGGCCCGACTTACGACTACGGGTCCCCGGATTTGCGGATCCCTTATCCGGAGGGTGAAGGAAGGCGGACGGGAAAGGACGACAGTGACTACAATAAATACACACACATTGCGACGATAACAAGGATCAGGAATAGGATAGGAGGAAGTAAAAAAAAGCGAGGGAATCATATATACAGCTACGCCTGGTGTCCCAAGTCCAAGGCCTACGACGAGGGAATCTTGAAGGGCAGGAAGAGGCGCGGATCGCCAATCTTGGGACTTAGACGGACCACCACCTGGTCGTCGCCGTCGCCCACCTCGAGGAACGAGTTCCAGTCGGCCAGAAAGTAAAAGCCATTCTTCTTCTTTGGCGGCGGTGGCTCTTCGCTGACAGGATCCGGGCCAAAGGAGTCGGCCAGGTCATCCAGGGAGCCATTCCGTGACTCCTCCGTGGTGGTGGTGGTCGAGCTGCTGCTGCTGCTGCTGGACTCCGACTCCTGCTCTTCGGCCGCCCCCTTGGTGTCGCCATCGGTGTCGCTGTCCAGGCCTAGACTGAGACTAATCCTGGTCGGTGCCTGGGTTGTGGAGGCCGTGTCCAGCTGCTCCTCCGCCTTCTTGCCAGCTGCACTGCTGGTATCATTGGCCTCACTCTGCCGCCGCGACTTCAAGGTCTCATCCTGGCCAATCTGCAGGGACTGGAGGTAGGCAGCATCTTGACTTGGACTCGGACTAGGTGTACTGCTAACGGTCACCTGATCCAGGCTCACGTTCAGCTGCTGCAGCTCCTGGAGGTTACTGATTAGACGCTGCAGCTCAGTGAGCTCACTCTTGGAGTCCTCCCTCTTGTCCTTGGTCCGGGACTCTGCGCCGGACTCTTCTTCCGGCTTGGCTAGCTGGTAGTTTAACTCACTAAACTCTGCCATCAGGTCACCATCCAGTTCACCCAGCCTGCTATCAGACTCACCAGCATCAAGTTCCTCCTCAGGATCACCCTCATCGCTGCGTCGGCGGAAGCCGCTGCCCACGGCTAGGCCCAGCTTGGGAGCCAGCTCAGTGCTCACACCTATCCTATTGGCCGCCCGCTTGATGGCCGCCTCAATGATCTTGGTGGCACTGAAGACGGGCAGCTCCACGCTGCTCTCCGTGCTCGGTCTGGCCGTCTCCAGCTGCTGGATGCGTATCCTCGGACGGCTGGTGGTCAGCGAGAAGACAGCCGGTGAGGAGGTATCGTGCACCTGGACAGGAGCAGGCGTCGTTGTGGTTGTACTGCTACTGCTGCTGCTGCTGGAGGAGGAGGAGGAGGTGGCCTGCAGCTGACTCTCAAGCTGCTGGGATAGCTCGTGGGGCAAAGCCACTCCCAGCTTCTGCAACTGCTGTGTGTTGTAGAGCAACTTCTGCAGCTCTGCAAGATCAGCCTTCCTGGGACCTCCAGTGCTGGGCTTGCTGGTGGTGGTGCTGGTGCTGGTGGCTCTTCGGGCGGGCACAAAACGTGGCGGTGCCGGTGCCGGTGGCGTGGCCTGGCTCTGACTCTGACTCTGAACCTGGACCGTCTTGTAGATGGGCTGCATGTGCTGGTAGCTCTGTCGCTCACCCGTATCCTCCAGGCTGCCAAAGAACTGCTGGAACTGGCCAAAGTCCAGCTCTGAGGCTGCGCCACGCTGAGGATGAGCTGGCTGGCTCATGGCCAGCTCCCGCAGCTCCTCGCTGGAGGATTGCAGCGGTGGTATGGCTGTCGTGGTGGTGGTATAAGGCTTCTGGTAGACGGGCAGATCCAGCTTAAGCTCCGGTTCGGTGTCCAGCAGAGCCTGCTCCTTGGCCGGCTGGGCGTAGACTATGTGGGCACCATTGAGGCTCTTTACATTCGGACTTCGCACCGAGGCAGCGGTGACCAATTGGGATTGGGCCTGCGTCTGTGGATGGGTGAGCTGAACACGCTCCAGTTCCTGCACCTTGCTGAGCAGCTTCTGCAACTGGACATAGTCCTGCGGCTGCACTTCATCGTGGTGGAGTCCATTACTCCTCTCGAAGCTGCTCAGAGGTCTCTGCTTGGAGGTGGACGCCGCTGTGGATATCTCCACTGATCCCAAACCGTTGCTGTAGCCGGGAGTCTGTGTGGGGGACAGCTCCTGGAGGTGAGCAAAGTCGTTGCTGGGCAGGCTCTGGCTCTGACCCGGCCTGGAGTTGGCTGCCACATTGCGGCTGAGGAAGTTCGGTGGCGTGGTGGGTTGCTGCAGTTGCTCCAGCTGCTGGACGCGGGTTATCAGTGCCTCAAACTGGGCATGATCCACCGAGGGAGTGGGCCTGGGTGTCGTGGTCGTGGTGGTGCTTGTACTGGAACTAGTGCTCGTCGTGGTTGTGGTCGTCTTGGGTGGCTGCTGTTGCTTCTTTTTGCTGTTCCTGGCCTGCTCGTATAGCTTCTCCAGCTCACGATCGTCGCTAAGGAGTCGCTGCAGCTGGAGAAGATCGGCGGGGCCCAAGCCACTGCCTGGACCCAAGCCCAGACCCAGACCCAGGGCTGCGCCCAGACCAGAATTCTTTGCAGGCCTAACCGTAGTGCTGGTCGAGGTGGTGCTCCTGGACTGCTCCAATTGCTGCAGCTGCTTCAGGATGCGCTGCAGCTCACGGGCCTCGCTCTGGGCAGGTGAAGGTGTCGTCGTTGTGGTCGTACTTGTGGTCGTGGAGAACCTACTGGCCAGGGTCTGGGCACTGGGACCGGCTGCCTTGATCACATTCTCTGGATTAATCTTGAGCTTCTCCAGCTCCTGGAGATTCTGCAGCAGCTTGGACAGCTCATCGGTGCTGGTGGCCGTGGCCTGCTGGTTGCCTCCATTGGCAAAGTTCAGGTCTATGTTGGGATCAATCCTTCGACGTGGCTTCTTGGCCTCGATGAGCAGGGGCTCTCCGTGTGTGATTAGCTGCACTGGAGCAGGAGTTGTTGTCGTCGTGGTGGTGGTGGTACTTGTTGTGGTGCTAGTGGTGCTAGTCGTGCTCCTCGGCTTCTGCTTGGGCTGCGATTGAAGCCGCTCTAGTTCCTGCAGGTTCTCCAGCAGCTTGGCCAGCTCTGCATTACTCTGTGGTGGCAATCGAGCTGTCGCCGTGGATAGTTCCGTGTGGGCACCCGCGGGTTCCTCCGTGGGCTTGGCACCTGCCTGGGGCTCCTTCTTCAGAGCCTTGGGTGCCTTCTTAACAATACCAAAGCGTGTCAGGTAGCCCTCCACTTCGGGTTTCACTCGCAGCTCCTCCCCTATGTTCAGGGGCTTGAAGTTGGAGTAAGCCTCCGGCCGGATTCGCGCTCCTTGGAGGCCACGCAGATCTGCCACTGCCACCACCGATGGCTGTGGTGCACTCTCCGCCGGATAGTAGTCATCCAGGGCATAACGCTTGTGGGCTGAATCGCTCTTCCCACTTCCACCTCCACCGCCGGAAACGATGCCCAGACTCTCTAGGATGTCCGCCACTGGCTTCACTGTCACTGTGGTGGCACTGGAGGGCTTGGGCTTCCTCAGAAACTGCGCATTCTTGGCACTGTAGTGGGAGCTGAATCGGGCAGCCTGGGGAGGAGCAGCAGCAGGAGGAGGAGCTGCCGCCGCCGCTGCTGTGACAGGTTTGAAGTCCTGGTAAAGCACCGGCGGTGGAGCTGGCGGATGATAGGTGGTGGCCAGCGGCATAGGCCTGAACTGCTGCTGCTGGAGGGGATTTGCCAGATTCAGACTGTAGGCTGGCTTGTATGTAGTGGCCGCCACTGCGGGATTACCACCCGGCACTGTGCTCCTCGGCAAAGCATTGGGATCCGGGGTTAGGAACTTGACGGGATCGGGTGGAGTGTAGCCATCGATAACCCGTGTCACCGGGGGACGTGTATACAGCTCCTGGAGGTTCTCCTCTGTATTATTATCCGTGTTGAAGGGCAGGACAAGCATCAGGGCTCGCATGCTGTCCGCCCGACTCATGTCACCCGCCTCCAGACTCTTCTCGTACTCCTCACGCGTCACCTTCTCGTACAGCTCCTCGATCTCGCCCCTGGACAGGAGGATATGGGTCAGTAGGGAAGGGATTCATACCTTTAAGGAGTGCCTACTCACCTCGTTAATCTGGGTAGAGCTGGATCATTGGCCAGTATCTTTTGCACCTCATCGATTGTCTGCTCAATCTCTGGCGGCTGAAAGAAGCTCTTGTCCAGCTGCTGGCGTGGATTACCGCCCTGGATGGTGGGCACTGCCTGCGCCAAGCCCCCCAGCTGGAGGAGGGCTATCAGCGCCAGGCACTCGCGGAGCATCCTTGGGTATCAAATGGGAGTCTGGGGTAAAGGAAATAGGAAGAAAAGTTGGATATTCAATGGGTTAATTAAACTATAATCTTAACTTTAAGGTAAACTTTTACTTAAATCTGAATCACAGCTTTTAAAACCATATGCATCTATATTTCAAAGATTACAAGGACCCTAAATGATAAGAAATTATTAGAAAATAGCTACCCCTTGGACAGGTTAATTAGGATCCCAGGCAATATCCCCAAGCCTCCCCAAGTGACACCTTTCGCTTTCAATATCTTTCCTCACTTTCGTTTTATTTTTTCGTATTTCCCCCGTGAATGAATGACCCACCGACCCAGCAACCATTGAGACATATTAACCACTCATTAACCACTAACCACATCCAGTTCGGTGGCTGTTAATAATCAAGTTGTGGTCTCTGTGCGGATTTCCCCCAAAACTCCAGATCCCAGAGACACGCATGGGTTTCCGCCCAGGAAGGGGGAAATGGAAATAATAATAACCGAGTCAAAGTCGACGAGAGAAAGAAATCAAATGAAATGCATGACAAATTTCGCTTCAAAAGCGGAGACGAAGAAAGACGGCGTTAAATGGGACAAATTGTACAAGTCTATTTGGCCAGCAAAACGAGACGTAACTCAAAAAATCAGAAAGAGCTGAAAGTGTCAGGTGAGCTGGAGAGATGGAAATTGCCATCATTTTGGAGGATATTCAAGGATTACGCAACCGGAGGAGGAGGCCCAGGATGATGACTATGATGCAATGGAAATTAAAACACAAAAATAGCTCCATGAAAATGAAAATGGAAATGGAAAATGGTAGTGGTAATTGCGGTGGTAATTAAAATGGAGCCTGCAGCGAAGATCTTGCCCAATTTGTGACAGCTCAGCGGGCCCCGAAAGGAGGAGGAGCTGTACACCATCTATCGAACCCATCGAAGCGTTTAATTTTCACTTAATTGCCGTAGTTAAATCATAAATTTAATGAGTGCCGGAGTCTTGTAGAAAGCAGTGACGACGACGACGACGACGACGACGAGGTTGGTCTTGTCCAGCAGCGGAGCCGTTAGCGAAATGAACTGTTAGATAATCTCTTGGAATCGTGTGCGAAGCAGGGAGCAGGGAGCAGGGAGGAGAAGCTAGTTATGGTTAAGCTATGCCACTCCAACTGAACTAAGCTCCGAACTGGCCCAATGGCCACTACTACGTGCCGGGCATTCTAAACGAGATCAGTGTCCATCGGGGCTAACTGCAGTCTGGATTGGATTGGGTTTTTGGAAATGGCAACTGGACATTGGAGTAGGAATGCTGCCACTGGAATGCTGTTTGCTGCTGGAGATCTCTGCACTCGAGTGACACTAATGGGGCAATGATACTTCACTTTAGCACTTGAGACGGAATGGTTGAGTCCAGAAGTTCAAATGAAGCTGAATATGTACTTATGGCAAGCTGAGAAGCCAAGATATGTGAGCTGAGCTCTTTTCTTTTCAGATAATTCCCTATTTTGGAATCTCAGCTAATCACATACCAAGTTTTATTACAGTAACTTAAGTAGAAGTCAAGTTACATGAGGTTTGTCAGCTTAGAAACCAAGTTCTGTGAGTTATTTAGGGTTTCTTGAGTAGATATGACTAAAATGATTTCGATTTACTTGGTTTATTATTTAAACCAAAGATATTTAGCTACCAAATCTGTAATGCCATACATCGCTCCACACGTCGTATACGCAATTCCGCTTTGCATACAACCATTAAGCCTTACAAAGTGGGGGGGGACAAAATCCATTGCATTTACATTTCATAATCAAAAGGCAAATAATTTGTTGCCATTGCGGCAGCACAGACCCACGAAATGTGAGTCAATCTTGGGCGAGTGCATTTCCAATACGATAACAAACTCAAACCCAAGACGATGACGATGACGATGATGATGATGATGACGATGGCTGTGATGACGACGTCACTGAAGCGCATTAAACGCAAACGCAGAGCTCAAGTAACCACAACAACAACAACAACAACAGCGGTGGAGCAGTAAGTACCCCAATACCAGGCCCGAGTGTGTGGTAACAATTAAAGCTGTGTTAAGTAATTCCCAGCGATTATTAATGTTATTAGGAGGCCTGTTTCTGGAGTATCGTTCATCTATTGATTGCTCTGGTTTTGATTTTCATAATTTACAATTTTCCCAGAGCTCAATCTTTGCTGCTAACTTGGCTTTTTCATTTTGCGAACATATTAAAGGCGGAAGCCAGGCAGAAGTCGGAGTTGGAGCTAAAGGCCGTGATCTGTAGTCCGGGGTGGAATGGAAATGGAAATGGGAGATGTGGGAAATGTAGGAAATGTTAAATAATAATTAAACTTCTGGCAAGTCCCAAGCTAGCAACATGAACTTTAATAAAAAATGCTCTATAAGGAATTATAATATCTAGATATAAGCAAGATCTTGACCTATAATAAACTAGTCTGGGGATAACTCAGCTTCTGACGAAAGTTATTCAATTAAAACCTAAAAATAGACTTAATATGATTTAATTATGAAATTATAAACAGAGTAACTCGAGTTCTACAATAGTTATAATCATGAAAGTTGGTATATGAGCAGCTGGAATTCTAAGACAGATATCTACCCGAGAAAACAAGAGCTAATATTGCTTTTGAAATAGTAAAAATACCACCTAAGCCTAGATAAACGAACTCCTAAAACCCCTTTATAAAAAATCACTCACTTAAGGTTCAAAGTTAAACTTAGCTAAACAATAACTTAAAGGTCAATGGAATGTGAAGGGAAACCCTGCTTAAATTAAGATAAATTGTCACTAAAAATCAAATATATTCGTGAGAAAACTCCCTTAAGATCAGTCTGCAGACCCTTGGCTCGAATGACTTTAACCCTGAAATTGTACAGCAATCATCCGGCAATTTACAGTAACCATTGCAAATCACAAACAACAACAAAAAAAAAAACAATAACAAAAAGCAGAAGCAGACACACAGACAGACAAAAAAAAAAAACAAACAAAAGACAATTGTCTTTTGGACCAAGTGGCGGGCGCTTCATTAGTTTGGCTTAATCAAGAGCAGCACTTAGCCTCGCTCCGAGCAGGGTCAACTTGATTAACTGGCCATTAAACTGGGTGGAGTCCAACGAGGGAGAAGGTGTGGATGGATGGAGATGGTTGGAGATGGATGGAGATGGTTTCTTGGAAGCCAAGTTAAACAAGAAAGAAACTGTGTCAATGCAGAGAGTAAGCTTCGAATGAGAGAGGTGAGGAAAAAATATATATTTAATCCATATATTTTAAAATATAAATAATAAGTTCTTCCTTTTCTAAATTTTAACTGAATTCAAAGCTAGGAATGATGAGGAAGCTGGGATACTCTTTCTTCTTTGACTTGATCTTTAAGATATTTGCTAAGCCCGCTTCTAATATAGAGTTACAACCTGGTTTATAGATGTCTGCATAGTGTTAGACATAGTTCGATCAAACCTAGAACTATATACACATATACATACATATATATATATTCATAATCTCTCCCAACTAGGTCAGAGTCTTTCTCTCTCTCCTCTCCCCCTCTGAAGGTCATCTGCCAACAACACACAACCTGTCATAGCCAACATATAGCATTTCCGGCTTTTTGAGAAAGCGCCCGTGGTGAGGCTGCTCTCACTACCAACTCGACCGATTAGTCAGGCCCAAAATGAGAGACGATGCTCGGCATCACCTCATCTCATCTTCGGCCTGATCTTCAAGCCCCCAAGTGGCACTCCATCTTCATCATCATCATCTACATCTACATCAGCTGCACTTTTACTCGCAACTTGTTCCTGGTTTTTTGTGCCTTGGCCAGTCGAACGGGTGAGCAGCTCCTGGTGGTGCCAGGTCCAGGTCCAGGTCCAGCGGTGGATTCTATGCGAGCCAAACCGCATATGACAAGTGAATGTTGTTTTGGCCAGTAAATGCAGCAGCAGCTACCAAAAGAGACCCAAAAACTGAACCAAGTCGGGCGAGCAACTTGGCCAACTGGCTTTTGGCTTTGGCTTTGGCTTGGACTTTGGGTTTGGTTTCGATTTTGGTTTCGATTTTGGTTTTGGAATATTTTCAAATTTGGATCTGTTTGACTTGTTTATTGGCACTTTTACCCAGTCGATTGATTTCTTGCCTTGGCAGATGCTTAATTATTGTTTTTTATTATTATTGTGACTCGTCTTTGGTTTGGTTTTCGTTTTGTTTGTCAAGTGATTCGACTTGACTTGGCGCTGTTTCCCTTTTAGTTTGTTGTTATTTTTTATGGACACTTTCACCACCAACAGCAATAATAATAACAACAACAACAACAACAACAACAGCGGCAATAATAATAAATATTAAAACACTTTACATGCTTGCCTCTGCTTAATTTTTCAAATAGCTTTTTTTTCTTCCTCCTTCTTTTTCGGCTTAAATTTTTTGTTTAATTTCGTTTTTGGCTGGCTGACAGTCATAATTGTGAAAAGTGTCGCTGGAATTATGTTGTTTTCATTATTATTTCACTGTCAGTTTGGTGTTTTTATAAAGCGTGTGCTCCGGTTGTTTTGTGGGTAATATTCACCAGGTTACTCCATTAGCCTCACTTCCTTGGGCCTGTCGACATTTCTTTTGTGGGGTTTTGTATAGACTTTGATGGGTTTTAAAGTGAATAAACACTATAAACTATTATTTACGTAACAATTTGGAGCATGGCATGTCTTTAGTTTTGGTAGTTAAGGGGAATGATTTGTCTGTTAATTGTTTTACATATTTTTTTAAGGTATTTGAAAGTTAAAAATATATATAATATAGATTTCTAGAATATATTATTTATATATTATAAATATTATTAAGAGTTCCCTGATAATATCTGCTTTTAGCTTGATTGTAAAACCTTAAACTAAAATCTATCAAAATATAGCTCTCTTTTCGGGCTTTCCTTTCTTCCTAATCACTCTTTTTGTTCATCATTTCTCTCCTGGTCATTATCTCAATGCCATTTTCCATTTTCCCATTGTCCCCGTGTGTCAAGGTCGTTTGATCAGACCAAACCAATCACGATTCACCCGCTCAACCAGCTCCTTAGCCTGCGCCTCCGCAACAAGTTCGTTGCCTAAGTCTTTTGTTTTTTGTTCATGTATTTTTCTTGTTTTGCCTTGTTTTTTCCTATTTTTTCTATTTTCTGTTTTTAAGCAACACAACCTGTCGCGGTTTTAATGTCCAACAACATTTTCAATTACATTTTCAATTTTCGGCGTTCGCTCCTCGCTGCTGGAAAATCCAAATTCAAATTTAAATCGAGGCGCTTTTTCACAACTCTCTCGGAGGCCTCACACACACTCGCACACTCGCACACTCTACACACACACACACACAGTAAAAAAAATGTATAAACTAAAAACGTTAAACGAAATTCGAAATTAAATCGAGGCAAAACGCGAACACGCGACTGGGTCCGGACCTCGGCGATATCGGAATGGGTTTTGGAATGGAAATGGAATCGTTTTCGGGCTCGGGCTCGCTCTCAGACTCGGACTCGTGCTCGTGCTCGTATTGCGCGGCCTGAAGACCATTTTCGACGAGCGTTGGCAGCGTACTGAGACCGGGCTCCACCACAGGCCACAGTTGGAGCTTGTGGCTGCAGCTTGGAGCTGGAGCTGGAGCTGGGACCGAGGCCTCTACGCAACTCGCCTAGAAGTTCGATTCATTCGTTGGGTACTAAAATTAACATTGTTTGGGGCCACTAAACCCATTCAAAGTGCATTGCATCAGCCGTGTCATGTCATTTGTAATAGTTTGTTCTCAAGAAAATGCTTATAAATTGTTCTAGTCTAGTTTCAGAGCTATTAATGCATAATAAATTGCATTAATATGTGGAATTGATTTAAGAAGAACTATAATTCCATTACACTTGCTTGTATACATCAGTTTGGTGTTGGAATGCATTTATTTCTGGTATAAATATTAATATTCTATGGGAAAAAAGTCCAAAACCTTGTACCAATAATTGTATTAAATTGACTTTAATATAATCTCAAGGATTAAGAGCAAAGGTAATTCGTATCCAAGTTTTCCAAAAACACTTCGCTGAATTTTTAGGATGCAGAAAGCATACCCTTTTTCGTAAGATTCACCCTTTATGAGTCCCCAAATGGAGTCCAGGAATGGAATCCTCGTCTCTACATTATTGGTTAATGGTTTTTACATGCCATTTTTAGAGGTATTAAAAGGGGGAGGCTCCTTGATGTCTTCAGAGATCAGGTTAGAAAGGAGCAGGCCATAAAATCCAATCAGTGGAGTGATTGGATGCAGCCGACAGGCAGGATAATCTCCACATAAATCTGGAAATGTTGCAGCTCTTCCTCATATTTATTTATTTCTGTATTTCTGAGCTGTCAAATCTAAGATGAAAAGAGATGCTTGCAAGTATAGTAGGGGCATTAAAATTCATTAATAGATATAGTTGTTTATAATTTTGTATTTTGTATTTAATTTTGGTTTTGTTTTTGAGGTGAATGCCTTGCAGTCTGCTCTACAACAAACTCGGAGGAGCTTCTCATTGTGTTCAGGAAGAAATTGAGCAGAAAATGGAAAATTATTGAAAAGGCTGAAGCTCATTTGCTCAGGCTGATTAAAGACCAAAGTATTTCTTAGCATGGAGCGTTGACTTTGCTCTCCATCCGATTGGATTGGAATCGATTGGATTTATGGTCAGGTTGGGCATGCAAATGACCTGCAAAGATATCGAAAGTAGGTGAAGGTTACACCAAGCAGCTCTATATATCGATTGAGGAAAATGATTTACTATTTAAATAGTTTTAAAAGCTGATAAATATCAAGAACCACTATGCTCAGGCTTCATACTTACGGAAACCTTTGGGCAACAGTCAAGTTAAGTTGACATGATTGTTAACCCATTGCCATAATTCTCGCATCTCCAATTAAATAGCCATCAGTGGGATTCGCTTTGCATATCAACACCAGAAGCCACAAGAAACAAATCAGTGCCGGCTCTGTGAGGGATGCCGGTGATCAGCCGGAGGCGTGACATGTCACCGATCTCTAAGCGGAGCGCTCGTTCGCTCGCTCGCCTTGACCAAGTACCCTGCGAACCGATCTCTGGCGGGGATCGCAGCTCTGGCGGGGGAAGGTGAACAGCATTCTGCAGACTGGTTTCAGCAACGCGGCATTTCACTTTGACCAGTCAGTCAGGCGGCCAATGGAGCCGCTTCTTCATTGTCTTTCTCCCAAAACAAAATTGACAAATTCAATCGCTTTTCTCTGGCACTTTCTGCTCTGCTTCAAAGCGGAGTCCATTGAGTCCACCCAGGGAGGCCACCGCCGGCGATTGATTCGGTTTTGGATTACATTATAGTCGCTGTGCCGGTTGCATAATAAAACGCACGCATCGAGATCCAATCTCTGTTTGATGCCAATGCACTCTTCGCCAGTCACTTCTGGGATGGTGATTGTTCCCTCTTACCAGGGGGGTAGTCTCAGCCGGGAAAAGGGAGAGGTTTCTAGGCGGATGAACTGAAAGTAAATAGGAGAAGGAAGCCCAAGCTGGGCGGCAAGTTATAAACCAGAATTAATTGTTTTTGAAGCCTGATTAAGGCCTGGTTTGTGGAGAAACCCTCCCTCTTGGAGAAAACCCAGTCTTGGAGCACGTCTTTGCTGGAAATAATTAAAACGATTTTCGGTTATTTGTAACATTTGTCATTTGTACACACAGCAGAGATCTTTGTGTGTTTGCCAAGTGAGCCAAAGGGGGAGAAGAGCTGCAGAGGAGTGGGAAGGAGGAGAAGCATTTGTGTGTGACAACATTTGACACAATTTAACGCTCACACGACAAATTCGTCTGCGGTCTTGTGCACATCACTCAACTTAAGTTGTTTCTCGGGAGGGGCTGGGGATCTTTGCCTCAGCTGAAAGCTGGAGGAGGATGGGGGCAGAGACCTGAGACCTGAGACCTTCCCAAGTGCTTTACATTTGGTGCGCTTGCGCTTGCGCTTTGACTTTGCCTTTTGCACACACTTGAAATTGCAACACGGAACAACACAGGCAACAAAGCGGCCAAAGCTGAAACCGAAATATACATTATTTCAGCGAAAACAACAAGAAACAACAACAACAAATGGAAAACTTAAAAAACTAAAACTGAAAAATGACAAAAAACCCATAAACTCTCGACATGACACGGCCAAAATGCGATGTGGACTTGGAATGGAACTTTGGAGCATCGCACAAAATGTGAATTGTTTTTATGCCGCGATAGATGTGCAAAATTAAGCCAGTCAAAGGCTAGAGTCGCACTGACAATACCTTAGTTTTAAAGAAATATGTCATATGCTAGCTAAGAAGTTATAGCCATGAATTTTATATACAATGCAAGGAGAATACACAAAAGGCTTGGATACCAAATTACAGCTGGATATAGTCGAAGAAAGTCGAGTTCCATGGGATTCTAAATCCATTATAGATGCTCTGTGATGAGTATTCTCCTTAGATCCTGAATAACCCGCAAGGATAATCCATGTCAAGCTTTCATACCCAATTTTACGATGATATACCCAGAGGAAGTCGAGTTCCCTGGGTCTCTGCATCCAATTCCAAGTACCTGGACACATGAGCTTCGGTGGTGATAAGGCGTTGGCTGCGCCACTTGTCTCGTCTGCGTTAACGCCTCTCGTTTCTCCCTCCACTCCCCGCTGTCCACTCTCCACTCTCTTCTCTCCAGCGCTGCTTTTACTTTATTCGGCCATTCACTTTCTCCGCGCGTTGTTTGCTTTGCTAATTTTGGATATACCTTCGTCACAGCAAAAGCAACAACAAGCGAGCGAGAGAGAAAAGTAAAATAGACAAACAAGTGAACAAAACGAAGGCAAAACTGCTTCTGTTATGGCCAAAAGAGATGTTAGCTTGGGCCTGGTCAATACTATGCGAAATTCGCATGCAAAATTCCGAGAAATTATTCAATCGCGTGGCCAAGATTATCCAATTCCATCCAATCCAATCGAGTCCATTTCCGAGTGCGGCATATGCATATGCATGCAGTGCCGATCCGAAACCAGATCGGGCTATGAATAATACCAACAAGCTTCAATTAGTTAAATGCCAGAATTAATGTCACTTGCCACAGGCTTGGGTAACCGATTTTTTGGACAGGATCCCAAAGAAAAGCAAAAAGTTAGGAAACGTGAGGAAAAGAGGAAATAACAAGGAGGGAAACTAACTTTGGGAAGACGAAATCGATCGTATTTAAGATTATAAATATTCAAAAGTTTTATATGACAATTTTTACGACAAATCAAAATTGTAAAAGCTCATAACTAAGTTAAAAAGGCCTTAAATTTGAATTGGAAAGCTGCTCTGTGCTTGTTTTTATTAGGTTAATAAATCTGCATACTCAGTTTAAAGTGTTAAGAAATTAAATTTTTGGCCAATTTTTGCAAATTTTAATGATGTAACCCCTTATAAAATTTTCAAATTTTGAAAAAAAAATTTAATATTTTTATTTTCGCCCAGACATACCTAGATCGATTGGCCTGTTGATGCTGATCAAGAATATATATGATTTATGGGGTCGGAAATGATTGCTTCACTTAGTTTCAAGCTTTTAAACAAAATTAAAAAAAAAAAAAAACAACAAAAGTAAAACAGCAATATTTCAAATTTAAAAATTGGCCCCCAAGTATAGAGCTGCCACCTAATTTCAACCAGGCGCGGTATTTCAGCCAGAGTTACCAGCTTCTTTTCACGGGGTTGATGATTAGAAGTCTAGCAGCGCCAAAGTGTAGATTTTCAAAAGTCTGGCAATGTCAAAGGCTCAAGACTAAAGATTCTGAACGCACCGCATGGCGTTGCCAAACGTCTTTTCTCGGCACGGCACTTACCAGCACTACACACTCCTCGCTCGACAGCTGTTTGCTTACCTGTGTGGGTGTGTGCTGCCTGTGTGCGTGTGTGTATGTGCGTGTGGATTTATTCATAGCGAAGACCCCAAAAGGAAAATCAGAAGTTTCGGGGGATATACGGATTTTACATAAGTGTGTGTGTGAATGAAAAACCAGCTACTGTGAAAATATAACCAAAAATAAGGCCGAATTCCCGTTGGCTTCCTCGCCAGAATCCTGACAGAGAGAGCATTGCAGGCGCCCAGTCCCAGTCCCCCAGCAGGTGAGTGCCGCTCCCCCGCTGCCCCATACAGCGGTACGCAGCTCCCCACAACTCATTTTCTGCTTCTCTTCCGCCCGCTGTGTGTGTGCCCCAAGCAGGTTCAGCTCCAGGCTAGGATGGCGGATGCCCAGGCAGCGGCACCAGCAGCAGCACCAGCAGGAGCCGGCAAGAAAAAGTGCAAGAACAAAAAGAAGGCGGAGAAGCCAGGCCCAGGTCCATGTCCAGGTAAAGAGGAGAAACAGGAGGAACAGCCAGTCAGCAATGGGCGGGCGAGCGATAGCCACAAGTCGGTGCAAGAGCTGCAGGGCCTGCTGGAGCAGCTGCAGCTATGCACTGGACGCGGTTTCCCGCAGGAGAAAACGGCTGCCTACTCGTCAGAGGAAACGCCTGGCTTCTATCTGGAGGCCGCCGTCCACAATGGCCATGCACACGGTCACAGCAACGGCAACAACAACCACATACGAAGCAGCAACAACAACATAAGCAGCGGGTCCGCCAGCCACAAAAACAACGTGGACAGCAGCAACAACAACAACAGCAGCCACAGCAAGCGTATAAAGGATGATTCACAGATGAAGGAAAAGAAGAAGGATGAGGTGGAGGTGGAGAACGAGAAGGATGCAAAGGAGGAGTCCATAACAGCCACAATCAAAAGCACTGCCAACACAACAACACAAACAGCCAACAGGGCAAGCTCCAACACATTAACAACATCAGGAGCTGGAGAAGGAGATGCTGCCAAAGGTGGTGCTGCGACGGGGAGCATCATTGGCCAGGAGGAGCTGCCCTCCACTTCGGCAGAGGCTGTCACAGCGGCGGCTGCTGCTGCAGCTGCCAGTATCCCAGCGGAACCCGAGGAGTTGCTATCACCACTACCTAACATTTCAGCGGACGAGATTGTGTACAAGGAGTACGAGGCCGAGCACCAAATGCATGTGAGTTGGTTAACCCCCAGGGCTCTAGGGTCCCTCGTTCTCTCTCTCTCTCTCTCTAATCCCGAACTCTCATCTTTCAGGACATCATGCGACTGATCCAGGCGGAACTATCCGAACCGTACTCGATATACACGTACCGGTACTTCATCTACAATTGGCCAAAACTCTGCTTCCTCGCCTCGCACGACAATCAGTACGTGGGCGCCATCGTGTGCAAGCTGGACATGCACATGAATGTGCGGCGCGGCTATATAGCCATGCTGGCGGTGCGAAAGGAGTACCGCAAGCTCAAGATAGGTACCACCCTGGTAACCAAGGCCATAGAGGTAGAAAACATAACCATTACCAAGGCAAATCTTAATCTAATTTGTATCCTTATTTGCCGCTCTTCACAGGCCATGTTGGCTGACAATGCCGACGAGGTGGTGCTGGAAACAGAGATGCGAAACGAGCCGGCGCTGCGGCTGTACGAGAACCTGGGCTTTGTTCGTGATAAGCGGCTGTTTCGCTACTATCTGAATGGCGTGGACGCGCTGCGGCTGAAGCTTTGGTTCAGATGAGTGGCGCCGGCGGCTGCCGTTGAAATTGTTGTCTAAAGTAGCCGCCGAAGATGTGTGGAGCAGGTGGATTGTGCGACTCCAGCGGCGCCCTCTTTTTTGTACCTATTCAACTAGGAAACATCGTAGCACCAGCTTCTGTTCTTTTTTTTTTCATTCCCCCCTCTGCCCTTTCCAACGAGACCCTCAATTCCCCCAGATCCTTGTTTATCCCGTCTATCTTTAAAATGTATATTATTTTATTATAGATCAGATAATCAAATTACAAAAGTGGAACGGTTGCAAAGAAGCAGACATAAAACGGACCCAAAATTTGATTAATTTTACAGAAGGCAATTTTGTATGCAATACGTGATTTACATGCATAAAATTAACACATTAAAATCGTAAGCGAGCAATTAGTTATGTACATTAAACAATCTTTACAAAATCAATCTAGAGAATAGACCTACAAGAAACAACAAACAAGAAGCAGCACCAGCACACGCCATCGAACATACACCCCACACACTCATCATCAACACACACACTTTCAGAGCTAGAAAACATTAAAATAATCAAATTTTGTAAAAAGATTGAACAAAACTGAACATTTAACGATCGTAATGCGAATGTATATCAGGAATGAACACAGATTGGAACAAAAATGAGTTAAGAACAGAAACAAATTCGACACACACAACACAACAAAAGCATATTGTAGCGTTATATACATATATATACCTGTATAGGGTTAAATAGGGATATGTATCGACTCGCCATCAGGTCTTCTATGACTATGACACACGTCCCCTTGCGCACATGCGCACAGCTCTGTGTCCTCCAATGTTGTTATCGCTGGAGGATCGGGGCACAAATACAGATATAGAAACAGATACAGATGACAGATTACAGATTATGGATTACAGCTTAAGATAAGGAAGAGGATGTGGTGAATCCCGAGTAACATTGAAAGAACGCAATAAAAACTTCAATTACAAAAGATCGGCAGTTTGACTCTATACCTTGGAAGTATCTTTAAAATTGTTTTAACTGGTTTGGTTTAAGTTAAAAAATTTAATAAAGTACTAATTCTCACTTTTAAAACTAATTTTCAGAAATTTCTCCCGGATAGTCCTTAAACAAATTGTGTAGATTGCCAAAATTTAGATGTGAATCTCTAATTGTAATATTTTTGGTTATAAGAACTGCCGGGGCATATTTATATAGGTTTTTCTATGCTGAACATGAATATGTTGCCCAAAGTGCTTTATCATGTCAGAATTTTGTGTATTTAAATAAACTAAATTGTAGGGGTTTGTATTCAAATATAAGCTTACGTTTATTGATTGCTGGCCGTTACGTTGTGCCCATGTGAGTCATCGATAGTGCTATCGATATATGTCGAAATATGGTCTGTGGCCGGAATGACATTTTCAGCACAAGCTAGATTGTGGCAGTGTTGACAGGTTACGACGGAAAAGCTAGATTCTGAGCGATACTAAGATAAAAATAAGTCCGTTAAACGTCGATGAGTTTGCGTCGAAATGGAATTTTTAATTTATTTCGTAATTAAGGCACTAATTCGAATAAAAAAAATTTCGAAATGCTAATAAATGAATTTACTATTGTTTTTTTTTCTGTGTTGAAAGTATTTGACATTTGGATATGTTAAACAAAAAGCATGTGAAAATTCAAACCGTCAGTTTTTGAGAGAATCGCTTAACAGTGACCTCGGGGTCGGCTCAATACAAAATAGGGAATCCAAAATTGTAAGGCTTATAACTTCGATTTACGAATGCGTGCATATATGCACGGCATATAGGGTCACTAGGGGCAGATTAACGAATATTTGGTGAAAATTTCAATTGTTTTTAAACGTCAGCTTTCGAGAAAATCTAATAACAGTGGGTGGTATATTTGGACTGATAGCTATGGCGCGATCTATGAAAATGGAACCAGATGGGAACCAGCAGAGAGCCACTCGCTGAACCAGACCATGGAACCATGTTAAGAAAAATACTAAATTAAATTTAAAAAAACAAATTGTTGAATAAAACATTAAGAAAAGTGACTGCCCAATAAATGGAAAACCCATTCAAAACAATTTGGTGGGATTGTCATCTAAATCAGGGAAAATTACCTATTTCGTTCTTTTTAGATTATTTTAGTATATACCACGGCGGAATGTTATGCCCCTCCCCCACAAGCAAAATCGACGCAAACTTTAACAAAAATCTTCCTCCCTTAAATGAACGCGTGCAAGCTTACACGGTATCTCAAACTATAGGGAAAAATATTGTATAATTTCGAATTAAATCTCTATTAAATCTAACCCACAGATTTTTAGAAATTAGCGTTTCCTTTTTCCGATCTCGTTCACAAACACTAGCTTCATATCGATAGGGGCGCCTCCCACCACTATCGATGAATAGACCGCCAGAAAATATTCCTATTGACCATTTCAACAATTTCATGAAATATGCATGCCCCATGAATGGAAATGACATTCCAAGCATTTTGGTAGTTGTTTTATCAAAATCCGTTTAGTCGTTCATGAGCAAACCCAACTTTTGCATTTATGTTCATAAATGTTCCTACAAAGAATAAATATATCTGGCAACACTGCCTGCCTAAAAAGAAGAAAATTTGATTTAAACTTTATGGTTAAACCTATGCAAAAGTAAGACTGTCCTATAGACGGCATCGCAGTTCTGAACATTTTGATATATGTTTCATCAAAATCCGTTCAGTCGTTCGTAAGAAATCCCGACTTTTTCATTTATTTCCATTTATGTACCGGTGAAATATAAATATATCCGGCAGCCCTGCCTGCCTAAAAAGAAGAAAACTTGATTTAAACTTAATGGTTAAATCTATGCAAAAAGAAGGCTGTCCTATGGACGGCATCGCAGTTCTGAACATTTTGATATATGTTTCATCAAAATCCGTTCAGTCGTTAATGAGAAATTCCGACTTTCATTTATTGCAGTTGGCTACCAGGGGTGCATAGTCATGCCTCCTTAGTATATAAATTAATAATTCAAATGTTAATTTCTCCAAAACTACTGAACGGATTTCGATGAAACACCTACCAAATTGCTTAGAATAACGATATCATTTATTGGGCAGACTATTAAATGTTGTTTCGAAAATTTGCTTCTCAAATCTTCAAGCTTCAATGCCCTTGCTTTGTAATATGATTTCATCTCAAAAATTTGCAACGCAGTGAATAAATTATTTCCGACCCTATAAAGTATATATATTCTTGATCAGCATCAACAGCCGAGTTTACCTAGCCATGTCCATCTGTTTGTCTCTTCAATTATAAGCAAATATTCAATATTTAAAGCTATGTATTTAATTAAAACTTTGCAGTTAGTCTTCTATATACTCTCAGTAGTGTATAATGGATTAAAATGTTCAGAACTGCAGTGCCGTTTATTCTATTTGCATTCATATGTACGTCTTATCATTAAGTTTAAATCATTCTTTTATTTAATATTCTTTGTCGAACATACACACATACACATACATTTACGGCAATAAATGAAAAAGTCGGGATTTCTCATTAACGACTGAACGGATTTTGATGAAACATATATCAAAATGTTCAGAACTGCGATGCCGTCTATAGGACAGTCTTACTTTTGCATAGGTTTAACCATAAAGTTTAAATCAAATTTTCTTCTTTTTAGGCAGGCAGTGTTGCCAGATATATTTATTCTTTGTAGGAACATTTATGAACATAAATGCAAAAGTTGGGTTTGCTCATGAACGACTAAACGGATTTTGATAAAACAACTACCAAAATGCTTGGAATGTCAATTCCATTCATGGGGCATGTATATTTCATGCAATTGTTGAAATGGTCAATAGGAATATTTTCTGGCGGTCTATTCATCGATAGTGGTGGGAGGCGCCCCTATCGATATGAAGCTAGTGCTTGTGAACGAGATCGGAAAAAGGAAACGCTAATTTCTAAAAATCTGTGGGTTAGATTTAATAGAGATTTAATTCGAAATTATACAATATTTTTCCCTATAGTTTGAGATACCGTGTAAGCTTGCACGCGTTCATTTAAGGGCGAAAGATTTTGTTAAAGTTTGCGTCGATTTTGCTTGTGGGGGAGGGGCATAACATTCCGCCGTGGTATATACTAAAATAATCTAAAAAGAACGAAATAGGTAATTTTCCCTGATTTAGATGACAATCCCACCAAATTGTTTTGAATGGGTTTTCCATTTATTGGGCAGTCAATTTTCTTAATGTTTTATTCAACAATTTGTTTTTTAAATTTAATTTAGTATTTTTCTTAACATGGTTCCATGGTCTGGTTCAGCGAGTGGTTCTCTGCTGGTTCCCATCTGGTTCCATTTTCATAGATCGCGCCATAGCTATCAGTCCAAATATACCACCCACTGTTATTAGATTTTCTCGAAAGCTGACGTTTAAAAACAATTGAAATTTTCACCAAATATTCGTTAATCTTCCCCTAGTAAGCCTATGTACCGTGCATATATGCACGCGTTCGTAAATCGAAGTTAAAAGCCTTACATATTTTCATCTAATTTGATATATAGACATTTTGTATTATTTCAGAATTTCGGTTTAAATTTTATGAAAATCTGACTACTATATTATATAGTTGCCATAGAAACGATTGGATATCTTTTAGAAAACGAATTAGAAGTTTTGTTTTAGTTTTCAAAATATTTTCATCTAATTTGATATATAGCCATTTTGTATTATTTTGAGAATTTGTGCTAAAATTTTATAAAAATCGGACTAATATATCATATAGCTGCCATAGGAACGTTTGGACAAGTTTTAGAAAACGAATTAGAATTTTTGTTTTAGTTTTCAAAATATTTTCATCTAATTTTATATATAGCCATTTTGTATTGTTTTGGGAATTTCGGCTTAAATTTTAGAGGAAATCAGAAGACTAAATCATATAGCTGCAATAGAAACTATTGTTTTATGTAGAGGAAATGACAAACAGTAAAAATAAAACTCTATTTATAAAACTGAATATTATAGCTGTAGGTTAATATAATAAAAGTTAGCATTACTTTGTTGGCTTTCAACACAAATATTTTTAATAATATGTTAACGTGTAAAATTATTCTGTATAAGTGTAAAATTTTAATCTTAGCACGGATATGTTAAATTTCAAGAGCAAGTTTTTAACAAGTAAATCATCAACTTTATTGTTTAAGTTAGGAAGAGGTGAGAATTTGACATTAATTGTATTAATAGTATTTCTCTTATTTTAACTACTTTAACTATTTTAATAGGCAAAACAATCCGACGATAGATAAATACAAAAATAAGTTATTTTTAAAGCTGTTAGCTAATTGCAAGCTTCATAAGCTTTTCCATTTTCAAATATGCCAGATATAGCCTGAAGTAAGCTAAACGGTCAGCACTGCACGGTGGAGCGAAAGGAATAATAATAAAAATGATCTGGCAACACTGGATGGTGGAGCGAAAGGAATAATAAAAACTATAATAAAAATGATCTGTCGCCTGTGTCTGAACGCGCTGGACGAGCAGAACGCGGTGCTGCTGTTCGGTGGCGCCGGCGCAGGCAGTGCGCCCACCGATGCGGACGACAGCGACGGGACCGGCGGCAAGGTGATGCCGGAAAGCTACTTGGTGCAACTGATCTCGATCCACTTGTACCTCTGCGTGAGTATCGCCACTTGCTAGTCGTTGGCTCTAGCCTGCAGCTCGTCTTCTCTGTCTCTCTCCTGCAGCTGTCGCGCGACGACGCCATCTCCACCTGCATATGCACCGAGTGCTGCGCCCAGCTGGAGAGCTTCCACAACTTCTGGAAGCTGGTGGAGCTAAAGCAGACAACGCTTTGCAGCCAGTTCCTGGAAATCGACTGCGATGTAAATTGGTCGGAGGACGGCGGTGGCGGCGAGCCGGACGCTCAGCTGGAGCCGCACACCGCACACCTGATCCTAGAGCCGGAGTTCCCTGAAATCTGGGTAAAGACCGAGCCGAAGGCGGCGGCCACGACACCGACCACAGTCAACAAGTTCCCGTGCATGTTCTGCGAAAAGTCGTTCAAGATGCGGCGCTACCTCGAAGAGCACATCGCCACGCACACGGGCGACCGGCCCATAGCCTGTCCCTACTGCGAAATGGCCTTTCGCTGTCGCTCCAATATGTATACGCACGTAAAGAGCAAACATACCACTCAGTGGCTGAAGGCACGTGAGGAGCGGGATGCGGCCAAGTCGCAGAATCAGGGAGCCGTGCTTGGCACCGAGGCAAGACTGGAGCCGGTGGATGAGCCAGCTCCTACGACTGCCACTGCCCCTGCCTCTGCTCCGGCAGTAGTGTCTGTCTCTCTCGTGCCCGCGTCATCTCCTGTTCTCGTGTCCGCTGCTCCCCGACAGCAGCGCCTCAGCCCTCACCTCCCATTGTTGAACAGCAGCCGCTACCGCTGCCGCTGTCGGTGATCAAAAGCGAACCCGGCGAGGCCATCAATCTGACCATGACCAAGGCTCCGCCGTCATCAGCTAGTCGGGTATCCCGCACTCGCTCCAGCCGCCGCAAGACACACTCACCCAAGAAGGTGCAGCACACGGAGGACAGCGATGCCAGCGACGAGGATCTGCCCCAGAAGCGTCTCAAGGAAAACGAGTTAATATTGGCCAACTACAATGCCGTGGCTGCTGCCGTGGTGGCCGCTGCTGCAGCCTCAACGCTCACCGGCGGCAGTGGCTCTGTTCAGCCGGACAGCCTCCAGCAGCGCCTGTGCGCAAGTCTCCTCCAGCAACAGCAGCAACAGGACCAACTCTTCGCCGTCATGTCCGCAACGGCGGCTGCCGCCGCAGCGGTTAGTTCGCATTGTGCCTCCACTACCACAACGACGACGACGACAACAGGTCCAATTCTGGGCAATCCCTACAGGTAGGTCCCATTCCGATAGAGTGAGAGCGTTAATATCAAATCTGGATTCTTTTGTAGCTCCCCGCCAGCTGAGGCAGATAGACGAACCCTGGACAAACGGCGAAACAACCAGCCGCCGCCCCCGCCTACGTCCATTCAGGCTGCCGCACCCATACCCATGATTTGTCCCAATTGCGGTGAGCTGCCCGGGCAGAACCATCGCTGCTTAAGCAAGCCTAAGTACGCCTGTGATGTGTGCGGGAAGTGTTTCAAGATGAAGCGCTACCTGGAGGTGAGTATAAGCACCTCATAATTGAACGTGAAATAATCCTCTATCCCTCCTTCTCTTCTAGGAGCACTTTGCCACGCACACGGGCGTCAAGCTGCACACCTGCGCCTTCTGCCCCACGGAGTTCCGGTCCAAATCCAATATGTACCATCATACCAAGCGCAAGCACAAAGCGGAATGGGAGCGGTCGCGGGCAACGCGCTCAGCGGCCAAGGCGGGCGCCCAGGAGCAGCAGCAACAGCAGGAGCAGTCAGGGCCAGCTGCCGTCTAGGATATATCGATTACAAATATACTTATTATTTTTTGCATATATATATATATGTGTATTAGCCATTACACCGATGTACTTATCCCAAGTTTTGTAAACTCCAGTTCCGGCCAGCGCCACTTTTGTGTATACTCTTCTCGTTCTCTATAATGCCTTAACCAGTTGGATTTGGATCTGGTTATAAAGTAAACATTAATTTCAACAAAGCGTGTTTTTAATGGGGTTGATTCTATAGATATGATATTGTATCATATTTCACGCGAAAGTTTGTGTCGATATTTTTATATGCTAATTATTCGGACAAATTGAAGCTTAAAAAACTCATAAATCTGTCAAAAAAGCCTTAAATTCAATTCGGAACGCTGTTCTAAGCTAGTTTTTGTAAGGTTAAAAAATCTGCATACTCAGTTTAAAATGTTAGAAAATTAATTTTTTTGTTGCCAATTTCTGCAAATATTAACGATGTAACCCTTTCCTTTTTTTCAAAAAATCGAACATTTTCAAAAAATGTTTTTCTGCCAAAAAAAAAGGCTAGAAAGATTCGCCTGTTGATTCTGATCAAGAATATATATGATTTATAGGGTCGGAAATGACCCCTGCACATTTTACAAGCTTCTGACTTAAATTGAAATACTATTATTTGAACTGATTTTATCTATATTTTTATGACAATTTTACGACAAATCAAAATTTAAAAATTGCACAACTCAGCCAAAAATGCATTAATGTTAATTCGGAAAGCTGATTTATGTTAGTTTTTAGTAGGTTAATAAATCTGCATACTCAGTTTAAAATTTAAAATTTTATCAAATTTTGACAATTTTAATGATGTAACCCCTTTCCTATTTTTCAAAAAATCGAAAATTTTGGAAAAAAAAATTTTCTGCCAAAAATAGTTTGAAAGATTCGTCTGTTGATTCTGATCCAGAATATATATAATTTATAGGGTCGGAAATGACACCTTCACTGAGTTTTAAGCTTCTGAGTGTTTCGCAATCAATATAGAGCAATATATCTGGATATTTTTACAATTTTATTTCAAGGTTTTCCCTTATAATTACAATTTTACAATTATTGTGGTGGAGGGAGGGCTTTCTGGGCAAATTACCTGGTGCCGATCCCTCGCAGTTGTACTTAATGCTAGGATGGGCTGGGATGTGTGTGATCCATAAAATGTGAACATAATCTTCGTGGCGATAAAATGAGTGTGCTGATTGCTAGCCCTAAGGCCTGGCTACTACTGGCTACTGGCTATTAGCTGCCCCACTGGGTGGTCTAACTGAGGATGGTGATGATGCTGTTGCTGCTGATGCCACAGATCCTACGTTAGCCGTTTATTGCGCGCCTGCGCCTGTAGCAGATCCACCGACGGTACCGAGAACACAAAGGACAGGCAACCGAAGCGCAGGAGGCTGCCGTGGGCCAGAACCGCAGAACCCTCCCAGGCGCCGGCTACCATGGGCACGGGTCCCGCATTCGTACAGCGGCAGGCGGGCTTCACAATGGGCGCAAGTCTGAAATAAAAAAGGAAGGATGTAGAGAGAATTCCCAGTGGACGTAATATAAAGGCAGCTCGCTCACTTGTTCTGGCCACTCCGCTTGGTCTCGAACTGCCGGAGGATGTGACGCCTCTTGTCGAGCAGATCGTCCACCCTCCGCTTCAGCTCGGCGTCGTCGGGTCGCATCCGCTTGCCAGCATGGGTGGGCGTCCGATCGGTTAGGTCGCAGGCGTACACCTGCCCGTTGACCTCCGTTCCGAACTCCGAGTAGTTGATCAGCTCGTACGATTTGGAGAACTCGTCGTAGAAAATGATGGCATGCTGCGGCGAAATGCGACAGCAGTAGCCGATGGCCGACAGGTCCACCGTCTCCGTCTGGCCCAGTGTCGTCGAGGGCGAGTAGTGGCCTCCGTACCCGATGTACAGGCTGCGATACCTCATGAAGATCGACTGCTCCAGGCCCAGGGAGCTGAACCACCGGCTGTCCTCGAGCATGTCGCCCAGCGGCGTGATCACCGCCCGTGCCTGCACCTTGCACTGCAGCAGCTTCAGCTCGAGCCGGGAGGCTAGCTCGTAGGCCTTATCCGTATCGCTCCGGATCCGCGGCACATAGCATTCGGCGGCAGCGTCCGCTGCGGCAATGGCGGCCGCTGTGGCCAGTGCAGGATGCAGCGCCATTGCTGGATCCTCGTCGGCGGCATTACCATTCTTCTGGGCTAGTATCGAGGACGTTTCGCTGGTGAAGAGCAGCGAGAAGCGATTCATATCCTCCGGTGCTAGCTGGCTTTGCAGTGCTTCCGTTCCTCCTGATCCTTCTGCAGCTGTTAGTTGGCGCAGACGTCGAGCGGCCGTTCGGTTCTTGTACTGCGTTACAATCTCCGGGTACTCTTGGACCAACTGCAGCAGACGCTGATGGGCCAGCTTCTTAATAATATCCACGTCCAGGTGACAGAGGTCCGCATCAATGATGCCCACCTTGCTATCCTCCTCCTCATCCTCAAATGTAATGTCTAGCTCCAGACTGGCCTTCGACTCCACCTTGATGACCGAGGGCAGATCGCCGCCATCTGGCTCGGTCTTGGCATTCTCCGTCTCCAGCCCGCCGGCTACTCCAGGTCCTGCACCGTTTACCTTATTCGGCTCGGCACCTTCGGTACCTTCCTCCGGGCTAGTATCCTCGCTGTCACTGTCTCCCTCCACGGCTGTCTCCACGGTGCCATACTCCCGTTGAAGCTCACGGAACTTGGCCCGTGCGGAGCGCAACGCTTCGAGGTCCTTCAGCAGCGATTCGGTGACCGTCTCCCGGGATATCTCCTCAACGGCCGTGGGCAGGTTCTTGCGCCGCTTGACACGATCGTACCTCAGCGTCTGGCGCATCGACGGCAGCAGGGCCGGCGGATGCTCGTAGTGGTAACGCACCATGGCCGGCACCTCGATGTGGGCCCGGGCACGCAAACTGCTCTTGGTGCGGAAGGGTGGATGGCGGGTGTGGACCCGCCGGAAGAACTCCAGTTTCACGTTCTCATGGTCAAGCGGCTGGTGGAATCGATTCCACAGGCGCACCCGTTCCGTCGCCGAGATGCTGTTGGTCATATTGGCGTCCTGCTAACGAAAATAAGAGTCAGACTTCAGGATTCAGGCCAGGGCCTTCATCTCTCCTCACCCCACACTTACGATAAAGTTCTCGACATGATTGGGGCACATCCACAGGCCTGCCGGCAGGGCCGTCAGCGGCGGATCCAGGCAATCCTGGTGATAGTACAGCGGACAGTAGTCACAGGAAATGAGCGGTGCCCTCTTGCACGACCGCGAGCAGTAAAAGCAGGTCTTGGCGGGCAGCGGCACCAATCCCTGGGCGTCCAGTTCGAAGGGCTTCGAGTTCCTGCGCTGGTTACCCGCGCACTTGCGGTGCCCGCCATTGCCCGTCGACGGGACGGGCTGCTGGACGGGCTGCACCTTGCCATTGCCCGGGAACTGGGTGTGCAGCTCCAGTTCCGGCGGCAGCGAGAATTGTTGCGGATTGAGCATACTGGCCGCCCGTATAATGTCGTCCAGCGGTGTCGGCTTCTTGTTGGGATCCAGGGCCCGCTGTATGGCCAGCGGCATCTTGGCCAGCAGTTTCTCGGTGCTATTCCGTTCACTGCTGCTCCGTTTTCTTAAATTCCGTATCTTCAGCGGTATGGACTCCAGATCGCCGGACGAAGGCGTATTGGCCCTGGAGTTGCTGCCCGCCGACGGTACACGCTCCACGGAACTGGCCTTCGAGGAGGAGGATGCCGGGGGTTGCGATACCTTCGTCATGAGACAGCTGTGGCACAGCCACTGGCCACTAGGTATGTCCTCCTCGCTTAGAGGCGGATCACTGCAAGCAGAATGATCAGCATACACTGGGAGAGAGAGGCTGTACTACTTACTGGCACTGCAGATGGAAGCTGGAGGGGCACCGATCGCAGCACAAAAGATTGCCGCCTTCTTCACAGGAATCGCAGTAGTCGTGGTTGTGACCCCTGCCCGGCCGCCTGTAGTACGGATGCTTCGTGTTCGTCGTCCGCTGCACCAGCTTATCGTCCTCGTTGGGCGGCGGCCGGATGAGCTGCTTGATTTGCTGCGGATCAGTTAAAGAAAACAATGAGCAAGAGCATGGAGCAGGGAGCAGGGAGCAGGGAGCAAGGATCAGGAAGCAGGAAGCTGGGAGCAGGAAGCAGACCGAGCTCACAGCATGTAAGCGTGCGTTAATGTGGCATCGTTTCTGGGAGAGCGGAGCGCCAATTGGAAAAGGCTGATAAAGCGCCAACGTCCTGCGGAATGGGCTCCCAGTGGGCAAGCTCACCTCCATTATGCTCAGCGAGGCGTTCGGGTCCTGGTCCACCTTCGACATCTTTTTCGCTCCTCCAGTTAGACGGTGTACACAATTTGTTGTCTTGGCTGGGAAAAAGTGATTGCCCGAGAGTCGAATCGGGAACGTATTATGCAGCCCTGCGCATCCGGCCGCGGTCTGGCAACGCTGTGCGGTGCCGCTACTTGCCTATCGGCTATAGCCTTTTTTAGTGCGAGATTTAAGTGAAACAGTGTTGTCGCCATTAAAAGAAGTCTAGTATTTTTGATTTTAAATTGTTTTCTTATGATTAATTTATATTAAATATAAATTATAGAATATATTTTAATATATAAATATTTTTATATATATAGAACTAAAAAGGACGTACAATTTTGTTCCTGAAGTCATTGCCTAGTTTTTTGATTTAAAATTGTTTTCTTATGATCAATTTTAATTAAATATTAAGATATAAGCTCCGAGGTTTCATATACAATAAAATATATTAATATTTAAATATTTTTATATATATAGAACTAAAAAGTACGCAAAATTTTGTTCCTGAAGTCATTGCTTTTCTCTAGACCTTGTTACAATACGAAGTAGAAGATAGATTTTTTTAAATTAAAAAGTTTCTCCAATAGTTATAAAACATCCAAAAGCAATTATTGATATTAAATGCCTCATTTAAATTAAAGGAATACAAAATTATACAATATATTTTAAATTAAAAAGAATGGTACCTATCAGAACTTTTGGCGTTAAATTCGCTAGACAGAACGGCAGCGCTGGCACTTGTTATTGGCCGACAAAAGACGCAATTATTTATATTTACACAAAAGGAAAACTAAAACTAAATTCAAAACAATCTTGAGCCCAAGGTGTGCAATGTTCTCAATTTTCGGGAAACGCAAGCCAGCCGAAACGCCCACTGAGGAGCCCATTCAGGGTCCCGCGGATGCTCCTCGGCCTGGCACCACCTCCGGCGATGATTTCGTCTTCATCGAGCGCAGGCCCGGATCGACGGACCCGCCTGCTGCCGGTGGCTCAATGTACCCGCCCATGCCGCCTGTGGGTTATCTGCCCTATCCGCCCATGCCGGGACCCAGAGCACCAGGACACACACCGAGTGCGGGGCGTCAGTCCGGACCTGTCAACTATCTGCAGGACATTCCCTTCGAGCTGGCGCCCGGACTGGCCAGCAAGGACAGCTATGCCAGCACCCAGATGCAGGTGGACAGCATCCTGGCGCTGCTCACGCGCCAGCTATCGGTAGATGAGCTGGCCGAAGAGTACACGTTCGTTCTGGAGCGGTCAGTGCAGAGCGAGTGCTATTAGGCGCACAAATCCGTTGGCTATTATGGTTATTATTAACGTAAATCAATAAAAGTTGCTTATTTAATTGTAAATGGTCGCGAGAAGTTATCCGCTTTCGTTCCGTAAGGAGGATGAATCATATTTCTATAAATTTAACACGTTATCTTTATAATTCATGAACGGATATATGGGAAATCCCCGACATTAACGAATTAAATACTATAAGCATATATTACTGGTATATATACATATATATATTATACTTCTCTTTAAAGAACATTAATTTTTTAGACCTTCTCTAAAAGCTTTTGACATTTTTAGGAACAAATTACAATAATTAAACAACTGATGTCGGAACAGTAAAATTATGGTTCCAAAAAAAGTTACATTTAAATTTTAAAATATATATGTACCAATATTTGTTAATGTTGCCTACATGAGAACAAATTATTTTTATAATAAATGCGTTTAAAAATAATATGTAAAAATGTTATTGTTAATACTAAATCCAGATTCCTCTCGTTCGCCATCTAGTAGTCCTTGGTGTTTGCCTCGGCATAAACTTCATATCTGGGAACCCAATTGCTTCAGTAGTTCCCTGTCGATCTTCCAAGACGCTTCATAAAATTGTCAGTGCTCTCCCCTTTTTCGGGTAAATTATATAAAATATTCAAGTGAATACTTTTTTCCGGCCATTTTTAGTCCGAATTCCGGGAGTCCCTGCTAAATTCGCAATACTGCCAAAATTTATAGGGCCGTACATTCGTTAATCCGCGCCAGCAGATAGCAGTTAGCATCATGGCCAGCTCGAATATCTCCGACTGGGACGAGCCGCTGCCCACATCGACTAGCTCGCTGGTCGAGGAAGAGGATCCCGATGAGTGCGCCGAGGAGAATGCTAAGAAGCGCCAGGAGGAGACCCTAGCCCAGCTGCAGTCCTATGTGCGGCGCATGGCCTACCGTCCGGCCATGCCGCCCAAGGTCAAGGCCTACGACGTGTCGCTGTCAAAGCCTAAGCTGCACACCCTCATCGACAACTACGAGCAGTTCAAGGACGTGTATGATCCCAAGATGAGAGCCAAGCGCATAAAGCGGATGCTGGGCAAGTACAACGCCATCACCACAGAGCAGTTGGAGGAGGTCCTTAAGGGCAACAAGTCCAAGGAGCGGCGCAAGGAGGACTTCCTGAAGCGCAAGCAGGAACTGTACTACAATATGCTGACGAAGCTGGAGCGCCAGTGTCGGACACAGTACCTGAACGTGCTCATCAAGAAGTTCGCCAAATTTATCTCCCATTTGGCAACAACGATGCGCATACCGCCGCAGCTGGTCGATCCATATGCGCGCATGCAGCGCGGTATCTTCTGCAACATTCTGCTGGCTATCGGCGTCCAGCCGACCTCACAGTCGGCCATCTACTACACCAGCCAGGATGCCATCGAGTATGATGTTTGCCATCGCCTCGCTCACGCTCTTCTCAGCCTCATAATCAAGGCACTCGATTCGGCCGCCACGCGTGATCCGAACGAAATGGCGAAGTCGGCGGACATGGACTTCGAGATGGACAACCACATCAAGCGACGTCTTATGTGCGCTGCTGAGAAGAAGCTGATGTACGAGCGGCGGCGCAAGAAGCAGAAGCAGCCCCAGGGCCTGGGAGCCTTTGAGAAGTGCAACCAGTACGACTGCGATTAGGATTGGGATAAGATCAGACGGCCCTCTAGTTTATTAGACTTTTCACGTACAAACTATCACAATACATGGCCAAGGCCACGCTTCTTACCATATTTCGATCCACTTTTCATGGGCTCAGCTTGAGGCACAGCCAGTTTGCAGGCACCTCAAAGCTGTCTGAGGGATGCTGCGTATACGCTTCACAGTAGGGCACGTGCCAGGTGCCACCGGAGACCTCGTGGGCGCACAGCCTGTGACGGATGGGCTCCTTAACTATGATTTGGCCCGACTGCGTTTGGGTGACCAGCGAGAACTGGTGCTCCTGCTGCCAGCGCCTAAAGATGGGCTTCAATTCAGGCCCTAGGTGGAAGGCGTGGCTGCGCATTAGGTCGCGGGAGAAGAAGTCCGTTTCTTGGCCGCTGCGTAACGTGGCATAGAGCAGGAAGGGATCGTCCTGAGATCTGAAAATGTGTATATCATGAATATCAATACATATAGCCATCCTGCTCGCTTTGGCAGCATTTCTTACAGATTGTTGGTGAGGAAGAGGCTGGCATTGTTCTGGACGTAGTGCATGGCCTGCTTGGACCAGCTGCGCATGTGTTCACGTCCCAGAACTAGGACACGCTTGTCCTGCTCCCGAAAGTGTCGCACCACGGTGGCCACCAGCTTGGCCAGCTGCTGAGGCGACTTCTTTGTGCCCGTGGAGTAGGCCACGTTCAGACCATCGATCACACAGTCGTAGGGCGCCGTCCGCTCTACATACTTCTTAAACCGGGCCACCTCCTCGGGCGAGGAGCGTTGAAAGACGTCGCGTCGTATCAGCACTCGCTCCAGGAAGCATTCGCTAAGCTGCCGGAACTGCTCGTCACTGATGGCAACTGGCTGGAGGTGCTGCTGGCAAGCCTGGCACTTGCCCAGGGCCCCCAGTTGCGTGACTTTGGCCTCTAGGATACGCGGGGTCGGCAGCTGCTGGGCCAGGTCTCGCAGTCGCTCTGCAACCCGCTGGCTGACTAGAATCTCGTGGCGCTCGAGGAACTGCAACAACCGACGGAGCTGTTTTGGAAGTTTACCTGGTTGCTTGGCGATGCGAGCGAACAGCGCTAGATAGACCTCACACCTGGGCAGCTTGCGGGAAAGGGCCATCTCTTCAAGCAGGCGCCAGGCCAACTCCAAATGCTCCGGCTTCTCAGCCGAGCTGAAGGCCTTCCCGGCCAGCGCACTATAGGCGGCCACGCTGGGCGTACTGGTTACTTTCATCATTTCCAGCAGCGGCAGGGCACGCTGCCAGTCGTCGTTGGTAGCCACCAGCCCATGGATCAGATGCTCGCAGCTAATGGCGTCCAGAGTTTCGTGATTCGCCTGCAGAGTCTCGCAAATCTTTAGGATCTCCGCGTGCTCTGTCGCACTGAGCGGCCGCTCCTGGTAGGCAGCATTGTAGACCCTCAGCAGACGGCCAAGGGTAGCCGCATTGGGTTCCGAGCCCTGGCTGCGCAGGAACTCCACATAGTTCTTGGCCAGGGCCAATTGGCGAGGTCCGCTGCACACGCCCAGGATCACGGCGTCCACGTTGTGAGCATTGATGTGCTTGTGGCCATCCACTAGGGACCGGCGCACCTCCAGCCACTCATCGCAGGCAAGCTCCTGGCGCCGCTCGAAGAGATCGCTTCGTAACTGCTCCAAGCGATCGGGCGGCAGCTGGCCCAGCTGGGGTCGTCTCTTGTGCTGGCTGGCCATCCATCGCAGGCCCTCGCCGTTCCGCACACGCTGTAGATGTCGCAGCAGGCGCAGGTTGTTCATAATCACAGGAATTCTTTCGGAAATCTTTGGCCGCCACCCGGCGTTGTGTCCATCAGTGTGACCGTTTGTGACATAACGATAGTGCCATCTTTAAAGCTCCAAAGGTGACACTGACAATATCGTGGGGTATTCTTCGCTCTGGCCACTCTGGTCACACTGTCTTTACTCGAGAATAAATGAAAATAAACCAAATTTTCAAATTGGGCTCACAGTTGGCCATGATCCAGGCCCGTGCTAACCAGGCTGACAAGTAGACCGCATTGCCAGAAAGCACTTCTTTCGAACCGGGCTTGAATCCCAACATCCGATTCTCGATTCCCGATGAACGCAAACGCGAACGGTAACGGAGGCGCGCCCGTCTCTGGCGGATTTGGTGGCGGTCCAGGTGCAGGTGCTGGTATTGGTGCGGGTGCTGCAGCAGGAGCAGCGGCCGCTGCGGCGGAGCCACCGGGTGAGGCAGCCGGCGGAGCTGTGGGCGGTGTAGCCGGAGGAGGAGGAGCTGGTGTTGCTGCTGGTGCTCCACCTTCGCCAACCAATCCAAATGGATCGAAAAACACGGTAAACGGCACCACCAGCCTCAACGAAGATCAGGACGCAAAGCGCCGCAAGTGTCTGGAGTCGGATGAAGGTGCCAGCACGGTGGGTAAATCTGCGAATCTTCTCATACCACATAGTCCCCGCAAAGATGTACCTAGGTCATCCAGCTTGGATATTCTTAAATATGCTTGACAGCTTCATGTTTTGACAGCTCCTCTGTAAAGAAAAAATTAGATTTTGACATATTATATATATATCCTTCAAGGACTTTACCCTTTTTTATGATTCAATCAGAGAGCACATCTAAGTCTACCTCATTTTGCAGATGATTGACGAGAATAGCGTGCGTAATAAGATTGCCAACCTTTACGCCGAGCAGCTAATGTCGGACATAGTGCTACTGGTGGACGGGAAGGAGTATCCTGCCCACCGGGTCATCCTGTGCGCCAGCAGCGATGTCTTCCAGGTGATGCTGATGAACCCCGAGTGGAACGAGTGCAGCAAACATGTTATCGAGCTGCACGAGGAACCCTGCTGTTCGGCGGTCTTCCCGCAGTTCATCAAGTACCTGTATGTGGGCCAGATCGAGGCCACTCTGCAGACGGTGATGCCGATGCTGGCGCTAAGCGACAAGTACAACGTTCGCGACCTGATCGACCTCTGTGTAGACTATATGAACAAGCATGTGGCCAAGGCGGCCACCAGTGGCTATCTGGTGTCCTGGCTGCAGTACACCCTCTCATTTACGCCCACCCACAACGATCTCACCGAGACGCTGAAACGATTCCTAAAATGGAACCTCGAAATGGTGGCCGAGTCGCGCGACTTTGTGGACATGGATCCGGCCATACTACAGCTGCTGCTGCAGCAGAACGATATTGTTGTCAAGAGTGAGTACAAACTGTTTGTCGTCCTGCAGACATGGCTACTTCACCGCCGAGAGCAAATGGAGGCGAACTCGGCGGGCGGCGCCTCCAGCTTCATGGAGCTGATCGAGCAGACGGTGAGCCACATTCGCTTCGGCATGATGACGACGAAGCAGCTGTCGTACCTGATGAAGGGCCCGCTTATCGAATACCATAAGGAGTTCCTTGTCGAGCGCATTGCCATTGGGATGAGCTACCAGTCTGGCCAGGAGGACAGGGTGCGTGAGGTGCGCGCCACCGAATCTGGCGAGCTACAGTTTACTCCGCGCATCTACTGGAACGACACCTGGAGTGTGGATATCGATGTGCATGACTTTGACAAGATTGATAACTACAAGAACTACGTGACCTGCTTCTTTTCGCAGCGCCATATCGCCGAAACCGAGGACGGTGAGTAAAAGCGGTAGTGGAGAGTCGTCTCAAGCGAGAGTCTTGCTCATTTAACTAATTTTTGTTACTCCCCAACTTTCTAGACCCTTCTATGACCTGGGACATTGAGTTCTTTCCGCGCGGCGTTGAGTACAATAAGGCCAAAATGGTATGCGGCGGCTATGTGCCCGGCTGTTCCTTGGATACTGTGCGTCTACGGGTTACCTGCAAGCATCAGAATATTGGCGAGGAGCGCTTCAAGGTGAGTGTTCTGAATCGTAAAGATCTTTCGAGAACGGTTGGAAAGGCAACAGTCCAAATCCCGCTTGCCTCAAATTGCAGAAATTCAGGCCTCTCCCTGAGCAAGCCGAGACCTTGGTTTATGTTTATACAAAATGAATAGACTAAACATTTGTGGGGACAATAGAGAGGTTTACATTTAATGCATCAGCAACGAGGCGCCTCGAGTTTGTTTATACCCAAGCTTGGGAAAGCAGTCAGTTCTCCAATCAGAGCCTATTTCTACAAATTCATGTGAATTGAAAATGTTGACATGGTCGGGTTTCATTGCCAGAATATAAACATTTGCAGTTAGGCTGATTTTTTCAGCTTTAATAGTTGTAACTAAGAGCCTTCGACAGTTTACTGTTTACAGCATTTATATTGTTCAAAAAAGCATCTGCTTTTGATAATAGATTCCATTGAAGGCTCTCTGTTATAGGGATACCAGTTAATAGCAATATATCGATATTGATTAAAATTTAAGAGAATGGAAGCCCAAAGTTTGTATACCTTTGCAGAACGAAACTTAAATCGATCATAACTAACTTAAAAAAGCCTTAATTTCAAAACGGAAAACGGTCCTATGTTAGTTTTTTGTAGGCTAATAAATCTGCATACTCAGTTAAAAAATAAAATTTTTGGCCAATTTTTGCAAATTTTAACGATGTAACCCCTTTCCTTTTTTTCAAAAAATTGAAAATTTCTGAAAAATTTTTTTTCTGTCGGAGATGGCTAGAAAGATTCGGCTGTTAATGCTGTGTAAGAATATATATGATTTATGGGGTCGGAAACGACTCCTTCACATTTTACAAGCTTCTGACTTCAATTGTAATACCATTTTTTAAGCCAATTTTTAAGACATATTTTTATGACAATTTTTACGACAAAGCAAAATTTTAAAATCTCATAACTAAGTCAAAAAGGACTTAATTTCAATTCGGAAAACGGTTCTGTGTTAGTTTTTTGTAGATTAATAAAACTCCATACTCTATTTAAAATATGTATTTTTGGCAGATTTTTGCAAATTTTCATGATGTAACCCCTTTCTTTTTTTCAAAAAATTGAAAATTTCTGAAAAATTTTTTTTTCTGCCGGAGATGGCTAGTAATATTTGGCTATTAATACTGATCAAGAATATATATGATTTATGGGGTCGGAAACGACTCCTTCACATTTTACAAGCTTCTGACTAAATTGTTATGCCATTTTTTTAGTCGTCGATATTTACCACATCCATGTTGATATATCTTATAGAACTTTTTCGCTCGATATTCATCCCTATTCTCTCCTCTTTATTAGATCGCTGTCCTGATCGTGGGCGTGCAGAACGAGATCACGCACATCCGCACGGTGGTGGAGCGCACCGAATACTTCTCGGATGCATCGCGAGTGATTAACCTGGACCACCTGCTGCCGTACAAGGAGCTGGAGCAATCATCGACGTCCCTGAGTCCCCATCTGACGGGCAGCAAACGGAACACACTCACCCTGCATGTGGTCATCACACCGATGGATGCCCACACCTGCCGGGACACGCCGCCGTTTCAGTTCTAAGCCCGCCATTGGCTCGCCTGGGGAAGAGCACAGCTTGACACTAGCCGTACACCTCCGTACACATTCCGGCAGCACACCAAACACTACACACAGACCATACACACACCCAAGCGTCCACACTGGCAGCCATTGTAATTTCAAATTTGTATCTGAGACTGCGATCTGGGACTGTCCTGAGTCACCTTCAGATCATGCATAATTTGTAAATTAACGCTTTTAAGTTTTTGTTTTTTTTTTTAGACAATTCTTTCTATTTCTTTCTTTTTTTTTAATTTTGTTTCGCTCAGTAAGCGCTTTAAAAGATCTCCTAGTGAGTTCTTGGGCCATAGCTTACGGTCCCAATAAACCGTATATATAAATCACTTTCCCCACGAATGGGACGCCGCCAAACACACACACACATCATGGGGAGCCTCTGGAAAGGTGATTTTTTCTAATAAATGTTGATATATTTATTGTAAAAACACACAAAAAACAAAACAAAACAAAACAAAACAAAAAAAGAAAAGAAAGAAAAACAAAAACAAAAAGCCCTAACCCGCTCCTCTTCTTAACTTGGCTCAGAGCGAGAGAGCCGGCCAACGCTATCGCGTTAAGCGATGCGCGAGCAGCTCTCGTATCAGTTTTAATGTTTTACAGCCGATACAGATACAGATAAAGATACATTTATATATATATTTGTGTAGATATGTATGCTCCGCTGGGATGGTTGGGATGTTGATCCGTTTACGAGTGCGTTTACGGCCCGGGATCAACCCGTCTCGTGGCCTATCTTTATGGGGCCTCCTCGGCTGGTGGGAGTGACTTGGCCATAATAGAGAACAGTGCTTCACCGAGCACTAAGGCTTGACGAATGTCCTGGACAAGGTGGACAGTGATGAAGATTCTTGACGTTAAAAATGTATATGTGTAGTCGTTAACTAACTAAATGTCCCTTCAACAATAAAGCTATTACGGTCTATTATTGCTGGAGGCGGGCAAAGAGGAGAAGTTTGCGTTTTCATTAGACTGAACTAAAGAGTAGAATTACTGGGTAAAAATGCAACCATCATTATTGTCTATTATCTATTATTATTATTTTATATTGTAATTATTATTATTATTGTTTAGTGACTTGAGTTTGTCCTTAAATTAAACGCATAATAATGTCCTAAACTTGGATCAGTCATTTTGTAAAATAACATCTCTCTGAAACGAAGACTCTAATAAAGGTGTCTGAAACGAAAGTGTGGTGTTGTTTTTCTTTCTCCCTCTGGATGGTTGCTGTCTTGACAGTCTTGCAACGCACTGTACCTCTTGTACCCCGCTTGCTGCTGTAATAAATAATCATAAAGTTAGACAGTACTTATGCGTGGATCTTAAAGGCTTTACCTGGACTTTCTTGCTTATACCAATCAAGCAACGTGTGCGGGTGGTGTTGCCGGGGGCAACGAGAAAGCTTTTGTTTTGGCTTTGGACACTTCTGCTTCTTCTTCTTGGGACCCCCATGGGAGGGGCATTTTTGGTTTCTATTAACGATCCTCAAGGTCACAGGTGGGCACGGCCATCTATGTATCTGCTTATCAACGATTAAAACAAAAGCAAAAACCTGCATCCCCCAGCTTATTACCACGATACTGACTTGCAGATTGCGGAAAATGAAGATGGTGCTGTGCGGTTATTTAAGATTTACAGCTTTTGTTTTTGTCATCTTTATTTGGCGCGGATATCTCCTGGGTGTGGGTGTGTGGGTGTGTGTCTCTCTTACAGAAACCTAATTGCGATGGGACTTTGAAGCACGTACCGAGCAGCCAGATGATATACGGACGTACTATTATAACCACAACCCGGCGGGGCTCGTCAGTTGGCCGTGGACAGTGCCCTCAGTCGCAACAGGGTTGAGAGTCCTCCTCCTCAATCTTAATATCATCCATCTGACCATCATCTTATCCAGGAAAAAGGAAGGTTAACTTAAGCCAGGACACAACATGGACAATCCTGGATATGTGATCGATTGCGAACGAGAGTTTGGTGAGTTCAAAAGGGAAATATATAGAAAATATAAACCAGGATCAAATTAAGAACTCAAAAAAGTGAAAGTGAAAATATTACAAAACTATAAAATGTATAAAATTAAGAATGATTCCCATTTCTTATTATATTTTACATATTTAAAGTATACATAACCAAGACTTTGCTGATATAATTATTATTCTTGGCTAATATTATTTAATAATTTGTTTTTATCGCCAAAGAAACGTTTTTATCTCGATTTGTGGGGTTGTGCGGTGAAAGTGCTACCAATAAAAGAACTTGGCATCGCTTGTTTTTGTTTGCTATGCTTTATTATTGCCAAAATGACGTTTGTTTTTTTGTTTTATTTTTCTTGGTATACATATATAAGATATATATATATATATATATGCGGTATATAAGATATATATATGCGGTATATGCCCATCAGTTACAGATTCAATTCTATATCGTATGTATATGGTTTATACTTTTTGTTATTTATTTATTATTTATTGATGAATTCAATTCTCGTGTCCTTGGATGCGATACAGTTTCCTCTTCATCCTCTTTCCCCTCATCCATATACTTTCTCTCTTATTCCCCCCTTTTTTCTCATAGTGTATTTTTGGTGTTTCTTGATAGGTTTTTTGCCTTTAGTGTTTTGCTTTGGTTTTCGAGAATATGTGATTATAGACGGAGCAAATGTCACGTCAGACATCGGTTATATGCCCCCCATATATGTGGTTTATATATGCATAACTATAGTATTATAACTATAGTTCATATTTGAGTTGAGCACGCCGCGTTTTTATCTATAGGGAGTTTCTTTGGCCAAAGGTAATGCGTCGGCCAAGTATTTTTAGAATCAAACGAATCATATGAATCTCTTGGTTATCTTTTAGATTTAGCAAACAGATTAAGGGGCTTTTCTTAAGCATAATAATTAGATATTATAAAACCATATATGAGTAGTGGGAATTAAATCAATTAAAGCTTGGTAAAAACAACTAAGATAAGAATCTTCTTCCTTAGAATTTCATACATATATGTATATAGGGACTATGTATAATCCACATATAACCGATCTCTGGCTGTGACAATCCTAGTAAAAGCCGCTCTGCGTGAGGTGTTTTGTGACATTCATAATTCCTGGAATGGTGGTTATTGGTAACTGGTAATTGGCTAACTGGTAACTGGTTACACTCTAAGGTTGGCTAATTATTGTAGTTGGTGTAGCATTCGCTAGCTGCCTGGAAGCAGTGTCCTAGGTGGGGTGAGTTTTGCTGAGCTGAGCCTGGTGATGATCCAAACTGATCCGTGATCGCTGATATCATGTGATATTCTACTGAAGAAGTGGGTCCCGTATTATCTGTGTGTGTGTGTGTGTGTGTGTGAGAGAGTGTGTGTGGTGGTCGGTACATCAACTAACCTTTAGCTATGGTTTCAACTATCTTCCTTTTTGGTTTTTTTGTTTTGCAGTACATTTAACGCTTATTAACCTCTATATATTTCAACGGGCCAGGCTCTATATATAGTTTCCAATTAAAGCCCAGCACTGGACATAAGCTACAAGGATCTCTTTGCCGGTATTTCTAGGATCCATCCTTACTTACTTTTTGATATGAAAATTATCCTTGACATTTATGCATTATTGTCTTTTCGAATATCTTTTGTTTCGGGTGTTTTTTTGATATGACATGATTCGTTTTCAATTTGGGAATAGTATATATTTAGCTTATGGCCAGTACTGAAGCCCAACTGAATTATTGTGAGTAATGCTGCTCTGGCGCCCCTTCTAAACAGTTCTCCATTGATATAGTGTGTGTTTGGGGTGTGGGTTTGGGAATGGTTTGGCTTCCATTTCCCCTCCATCAACCACCCATCCCATCCTCTCTTAGTAAAAAAACACAAAAAAAAATTACCGAATCGGGTCTCTGCCTGCTCCTCTATCACTCTCTTACTTCTCAAAGATCAGCTCGCCGGTGAGGAAGGGATTGAGGTATGTCTGAGCCTCGTAACCGGATACCGAGGCCGTTGTGGTTCGTCGTCGTCCGCCGGACTGGGTTCCACCGCCCCGTCTCTCGCCGTGCACATGTCCATGGGCATGATGCGAGGGTCGCTTCTCCTCGCTGGGACTCAGGATCAGGGGTATGGGCATCGAGGTGTATAGCTGCAACTGCGGTGGCTGGACAATGGTACCCGCTGCCGGGTTCAGTGGTGTGTCCATATAGCCATGTGGCAAGGTGGCCGCCGTTGCAGCCAAGGATGTGTCGCCACTGGTGGTGCTGAGCGTGGAGCTGGCCACGGAACTGGCACCGGAACTCGAACTGGCAACCGTGTTGATGATGGAGGAGAGCTTCTTGGGGCCACCGGCTCGGGCTCTATGGTGTTTGTAGTGTCCCCGATGGGTCTTTCGCTTCGAGTGACCCATTCCGCTTAGGTCAGCGGGCGGTGAGGTGTCCAGGAGTAGCGGTAGATGTCCCTCGGCATCCGTTTCCATATTGTTGTTGGGTAACTGCTGTTGCTGCTGCGCTTGCTGTTGTGGATCTCCACCTGCCACAATGCTGCTATTGGAGGGCAATAGAAGGCTCTTTTGCTTTGGCGGAGGCTCCCGTGGATGGGGATGTGGATGCGGATGCGCCTGGATGATGGTTGCCGTGGCAAAGACCTCCTGGAAGCGATTGTTCGCCTCCAGTTGCTGCAGCTGCAGGTGCTGGCGCTGAAGGATCTGTTGGCGTTGCTGCTGCATGTGGCTAAGGATGCGATATTGATCGAGGATGTGCTTGTAGAACTGCTCTGCGGTCACTTCCGATGAGTTCAGGAGGCGAATGGCTATTTTCTCGGGTATCACAATTTTATCTGCAAAAAATCGAGTATTAGAGGGTTTTAATTAATATTTTATAAAGGATCTTAGTGAGTCAAGCAGAACTCATCCAAAATTATAGTCAGTAGAATCTAGATTTAACTCCAGAAAGATTTTAAGTATTTTGAACATAAACAATATATATTTTTCAAATTGTTAAATTTGCATAAATAATATGGTATTATAAATCTAGTCAGAAACATAAAACTAAATGAAGGAGTCATTTCCGACCCTATAAATCATATATATTCTTGATCAGCATCAACAGGCGAATCCTTCTAGCCACCTTCGGGAGAAAAAAATTTTTTCAAAAATTGTTCCATTTTTTGATAAAAAGGAAAGGGGTTACATCATTAAAATTGTTAAAAATTGACCAAAAATTGAATTTTTTTTAAATATTTAACTGAGTATGCAGATTTATAAACCTATTAAAAACTAACATAGGACCGCTTTCCGAATTGAAATTAACACATTTTTGTCTGAGTTATGAGATTTTTAAACTTTGATTAGTCAAAGAAATTGTCATATAAAAATGTTGATAAATAACGATTTAAGCTTATCAATGACTGATTTTCTATACGATCCTATATTTTAATTGCAAACTGCAAGGGTGTATAACTTCAGCTATCCAAAGTTCGTTTCCTTTTTTGTTATTCCGTACAAAACCTTATCAACCTTTTTGTTCTGCTTAAAATTGAAATTCAAACAAAAAGCTGTGGCTAAAAAAGCCTTACCTTCAACCAAACAATTGGCTTTATATTCACCGTAACTTCAACTCTGGCAAATTGCATTCTCTCTGACATAAATTGCAATTTATGTTTGCCTTTTGGCCGTATAACTTTCATTAAGCTATGAGATTCTGCATTTAATTGCATCAAATTAGATTTATTGAACTGCAAACTGAAAACTGCAAACTGCAAATGGAAAATACACCAAGGAGAGCTGCACCCTGTCTAGGTGTGAGTGTGTGAGAGTGTGTGTGGGTTGGGTGGTTGGGCGTAGTATATAGCTGGGCGATAGTCGTGTGCATGACACCCCATTGACCTAATTTCGAGTTGATTTACAAAAACTGAACAAAAAGCGGTAAAAGAAAAAAAAGGATGAAGGCGGAACGAGCTGTAGACGAAGTCAGTGGGACAATGTGGGCGGCATTTTCAGGTCCTTTCCTGAGAAAGTTCTGCCGATTCGGCAATTTAACCTACAGTGCCTCTCAAAAAGAAAATGCTGAAACCGGACTTCATGGGGTTGCCTTTTCTTTTGTAAATTTAAATGTGAATTTAAATATTACCTCTTCAATGAAATGCAAAGAGAAATCTAGAAATAGCCCTTTAAACTCATTCAGCTAAAAAAATTGCAACAAAGTATGCTATAAATTTGCAATGAGCCTTGCTGCATAAATATTTCATTGCCTACTTTTTGGGGATATTTTTTGAAGTGATTTTGGAGGCTTTACATTCATAATGAAATCGTAATGGATCCAGTGTTTTGTGTGTGTTTGTGTAAAAATCAACCCCATCCATAATGGATGGTGGCTAATGGGTAGTGGGCTAACCATAAACTGTAACCCCAAAAACCAAAGCCCAACCAGAAACGGAAACCCAAACCGCTCTTAACTCTCGTAGCCTAGATTCGCTTCTGGGCTTTGTCCCAGATTGACCGCAGTCAACAAAATGTCCCCCGCCCCCCCGGCACGTCCCATTCCCCACCCGGTCCCAGTTCAGTCGGTGATTGGTTTCTGGTCACCAGTCATTGGTCACTGATGGGAGTAGTTAGCTCCGGTTAGGGATTAACCCTAGGGAAGTGCATTAGCGTCTTACCGCAGTGCGTGGCCTTGGTGACAAAGGGACGAATGGTGGGGTCCCAAATGAAGATGTAGTATAACGAGAGCATAATGGCCGCCAGCGAGACGCAAAGGACGTAGACGGCAACGGTCAGGATGCGGATGACCTTGCGGTTGCTTTGCTGCGGCTGATAGCAGCGGCTTATTGTCTCCGTGGGCGGCAATTTCACTTTCTCCTCCAGCGAACTGTGTTTCGAGCTCATTTTTGATTCTTCGTCCACGATTCTTACGATATTCCTCCGATAGCAATTTCAAATTCGATGGCGGTTTCGAGCTCAATTTGTTTTGATTGATTCGATTTTGATTGTTGTTGTGCCTTCTTGAGAGATTTCTTCAGATTTGCGCGATATGTTCCTGTTTCCAGCTTCTTTTCTGCTTTCTATTCACTCTCTTTCTGGTTGGCAGTGACCGTTAATTTAGTCTAATTGTTTGGTTTTTGTGATAAATGCAAAGTTCTTTTGGTTTTCGGCTTGCTTGTCTTATTATTAATATTATTATTTTGATAATTTCGTGTAAAGACGCCTCGCCGATTAAAAGTACAAAAAGCTCGTGTCTGCCAACCGACGCGTCGAACGTTTGCAAGCGAAATGAGAGAAAGAAAGGCGGCGGCAGAGCGAGAGTGCGCGCCAGGAGTTTCGTTACGGTATCGTTCCCGTTACGTTTTCGTTTTCTTCCTTCGTGTGCGTGTGTCGCGCCATCGGCTTTGTTCGCCCTTCGGCTTCGGCTTCGGCTTCAACTTCGGCTTAGCTTTGGGGCAGCACCAGTTGTTGTTGCTTTGGCGATCTTCGCTTTTAATTTCATTCATAAAATGCATATTTCTGGCCCCCATACCAGCTCTCTCACTACCTCCCGCCCCGCTTCCCTTTTGGCTCATTTACATTTTCGGCTGCCGCCTGCCGCGTGGGTGCTCTTTTCCCTCTTCTTGTTGTTATTGTTGGAAGCATTCCTTAAAAGCCACAAATAAAAGCTAAAAAAAAAAATAATAATAAAGCGAAGAGGCAAAAACGAAAACAAACCGCATGTCGGCACGTTGCCGCTCTTTGTGTGTCAAGTGCAGTGTCCCCCTACCGCCTCTGCCTTAACCCCTTCGCTTGCTGCTGACTCAAATGCGGAAATTAAAATGCGCGTCTGAATTAATTTGCATTATTTCAATTATTTCCCCAATGCCACCGCCAATCAATCAATGTTCGAAGATTGAAGCAAACATTTTTGCAAACAGAATATTCAGCAATTTTCGGTCGGTTCGAACGGGGAGGAGGGTGAGGCAGTGTTGTTGTTTCCCTGCTGGCTTTGACAGCAACCTTCGCAGGTGTCGCGAAGGACGTTCTCGGTGCTCACCTCGCCAAACTTTCGCTGCCACGCCTACCTGCCTTTAATCTACTGCACACTCATACGCACACCTTCGTTTTCCTTTCGTTGCCTTGGCTCTCGGCAATCGGAGGGTTAACAAACTGTAACTGGGTCACTAGGACACGCCGAGCGAGAAAGCTATAGACTGAGAGCCACATAAAGAGCGAGAGAGAGAGAGAGTGAGAGCAAGTGCAGTGTTTCGGATGCGAGGCAAAGTGCAGGCATGTGCGAGCGAGAGGCGGCTATTGCATGCCGAACAACGAACGTTATTGCAATGCTGGCCATTGATTTTGTTGTATAAGCGCCACAGAGAAAAGAGATAGCCAGTCACACAAATACACACATGCACAGGTACAGGTGAACTTCTAGCAAAGAAGAATGTCAGTTAGAAAAGGGAAAGAATAGAGTAATGAAGAGTAATTTCCGTGTGATGAAACATTGTTGTTAAATTACAAGATTATTAATTACTGCTAAATAAGGATCGATGTAAAATTATAGCACACTTTTGAGAGTGTTTCAAGCCTTTAAAACGCAGTATTTTAAGGTTTGAGTTTAGGCTTAATAAAAAGCATAATGAATACTAAATTATGTAAAGATCCTAAAAAGCTAATTTTTTTTAAAATATTATAAATAGTCTTAGTTCATTTGTATTTTTTTTTCTATTTACTGCTTATGTAGCGTAATTTTAAAAAGAAATTGATTATAGATTAATTTAATCTCAGAAATACTCCATTATCGATGCTTGACTGTACGTGCACTTAAATACATATTCATCATGTGGGCCAGGATGTAGGCCACACTCACACTTAGGCTTACTCTCGCATTCGCACCAACACACTGGCATTTCATTTTCCTGGCAGCATTGTTGCAAAGTTTCCCTCAAGGAGTTTCCTTCGCCAACGTGGCCAGGTGGAGGAGCCCTCTCTGTCTCACCTGGCCTCGAAAATGTTTTTGCTGGCAGCCTATTGCATTTCCCATTTTCCATATTTCCCCTTCCCCCCCCCCCCTGCCAGCTGCTTCCCAGCAAGTTTAAGGATGGTTTATCCATCTGCTTACTTATGTGCAGACAAAGCTGATTAAGCAGCTCGGGCAGCCGGAACGAAGGGATAACTGGCTTCGGTTGCCCCAAACTCATCCAGGCGGGGAATCTGTGGTGCAGGAGCAGAAGCAAAGTGGCCACATCAGCTCTATATAGCATACATATATGAGGGATAATATGGCATACGCACCGAGCCGGAGGATACACATAATTAAACTTAAACTTTAGTTGGGCGAAAACTTTTCAGCCCAGAGCCCGGGCAGAGTTCGCTTGCTATCAGGCTAATAAGGAGTAATTGGTTCGGTTGGATGGGCCTGAGTGTGTGTGTGTATCCTGACTCAAGCACTCATTATTAAATTGAACTTTGGGAAAGTTATGAGTTTGGCATTTCAGACAGTGGCTGAGAGTTATGAAATACGACCCGTATACGGTGCGTATACGTAATGTAAGCCAAAAAGTAATTAGCTTTTGTGAAAGATATGCTTATGAGAAATCGAAATGGATATGTAATTACTCAAACAAATACGTAAAAGGGCAGAAATTTATAACGAAGTTTCTGTTAAAAAGATATTACTCATACGACCCGTATGCGTAATGTCCTCTGTAAATACATAATATTCCCTTTCACTCAACATCATTTAAAGCAGATTATCTTTCGATCTAATATATAATACTATATAGCAACCGATCTTCTCACATACCAACTATAAACACTTTGCTTTGGTGCTGCTTGTATGGTGTGTTGAGGGGTTATTCCACATTGAAGTTCACGTAGCTTAAAAGGAAGTAATCCAAGCTTTAACCAAAGGCCTGCGTCTTCTTTTGGCCCTTAAAGACCGGTGGCATTCTCGAGTCCCAGAAGAAGATGTGATAGATGGAAAGGAAGAAGCCCAGACAACAGAGCCCGCACAGATAGATCACAATGACCAGGTATCGAGCAAACCGCTCCGTACAGGTGGGCTCAGCGAATACAATCTCCTCCAGCTGCGGTGCCTTGGGCACATACGAGGTGGCACAGGCACTCCTCCGGGGAGCACTGCTGCTGGCCAGGCGCACACTACGGCTGGCAGAGCCACGAGGAACCTGCGTCGCTGCCACCTGCTCCTCTGTTTCCGCCTCCGCCTCCGTCTGCTCTGTTTCCGCTTCCGCCCGCACATTCGACTCAATGATATTGACAATCTTGGCCAGATTCGCCACACTGGCGGCACTCGCCAAGCCCGCTCTGGTGTTAACTTCCAGAGTGGACATCGCGGCACGGTGGCGTTATAGCAACTGATTTGATTGAATCAAAATCGCCCCCAGGTGACGACCGGTAATAGTAATTGTAATGGAATTGGGCATGGGCATAGTAGGAGGGTACAAGAAGGCATTGGTTTCAAACTCTGCGATTTGTGTGGCACATCGCAGCAAAGCGGATTAATTTAATGCCTGGCTGTCAACTTTTGATATCGGCCAAGGGGGCTAATTAAGCTCAAATGCCAGGTGACACAGTGACAGTGTTGCGTCCCTTATATGGGATATAAGTAGAAGATATAGAAGATATCTGAGTAAATTATAATTCAACATGTTGTATATGCTATTCATGTTATTTAAATTCTAAAAATTCTACTAGTTTTGAGCCTATAAACCCTCCAAAAAGCCTGATCCTAAAGTATTCTCAGCTATCAAATAGGTTCAGGTGAAGCCTTGATCACTCACCTGAATCTGTTCACCAATGGGCTGCGGGGACAATGAGGACCTCCTCCCTCCTTCCTTCCTGCTCCTCAGCCTTAGCCAATGGGATGCGTGTGCTTAAATACCGGCAGTGGCGGCATCCGTGAATCCCAGATGAATAGGTAATACACGGCCAGGGTGAGACCCATGCCGCTGACACCGCCCATGTAGAGTATCAGGGTGAGCAGGCGAAAGGTTTTGGATTCAAAGAAATCATCCGATTTGGGCATTTGAATCTCCTCATCCTTGGCTTCCTTGACCACGGCGGCCAGGTTGGACATCAAGCCCGACTGAGCACCTGCCATTTCCCGCTCTCCTGATGATGATGATCTTCTTTGTAGGGGGCAACAGCTATTGAAATCGGTAACCGTAACGCGTCTCTCTCTAGGGGGTCTCCGTCTCAACGGGCGCACTGAACACAACTGCGTTGCAAGTCCACCGTCACCCGGTTGTTTCTCTCTGGTTTTGTGTGTGTTTCATGTGTGTGTGTGTGTGTGTGTTGTTGTTGTTGTTGTTTTTTATGCGGTTTCTTTGGGTTTTTGCCGCCGATTCTCCGTCTTGGGGGCCACACACGCTAATAAGATTCAAAGCCAGTTCCAGAACAAACCGAATCCCACATCACGTGCTGCGTTCTTGGGCAGCCACTTGGCCCAGTTTGTTTTCACTTTTAGTTTTCCACTCGCTCCGACGAGAATCCATTTCTTTTCCATTTTCGCTTGTACACATTTTCCTTTTACCTTTTTCCCTTTTCCATCCCGATTTCGATTCCGATTCCCATCCGCTTCACTTCATTTTGTTGTTTTTCCTTAGTTTTTGTTGTTTTTTTTTTTTGTAGATTCTATATTCATGTTTGGTCAAGGAAATGAAAAGTGACGATGGTGATTTACAGGGTATGTGCGAATTCAGCAGGATTTCGGTGTTGTTCATAATTCTGGAAAGAAATAAGAAGGGGATTTTTTTAAATACAAGAAATATGTAGCAAGAATAAACGAGGTTTGGGAAAGTACTGAGCCTTAATTTTTGGTATTCCAATTTCAGTCAGAAGCATAAAACTTAGCGAAGGAATCATTTCCGACCCTATAAATCATATATATTCATAATCAGCATCAACAGATAAATCTTTCTAGACATCTCCAGAGGAAAAAAAAATTGTTCAGAAATTTTCCATTTTTTGAGAAAAAGAAAAGGGGTTACATCGTTAAAATAGTCAAAATTTGATAAAATTTTACATTTTAAACTGGGTATGCAGTTTTATAAACCTATCAAAAACTAACATAAATCAGCTTTCCGAATTGAATTTAATGCATTTTTGGCTGAGTTATGCAATTTTTAAACTTCGAAATCCTCGAAAGAAAGTCTATTTGCTAGTCGGCTATGCCGTGACTGTACTCTTGCACCCTCCTCCCTACCTTTGCTGGCATTTCCAAATCCAATTAGCTGTGAGTCCCCCTCCTCAGTGGCTCAATCACCGCCCTTTCCTCCAAGTGGTGGCCAATCGCTGGTCACTGGTACTCGTGCACTTTCTGCACCGGATGACCGCCAATGGAGACGGGGAACTTGAGGTGTATGTCCGGCATGGTGGAGTCAAAGAAGAAGAGGTAGTAGAGGGCCAGCACCATGCCCAGGCCACTGATACCGCCCAGATACAGGAAGATCGAGATGAGGCGAAAGGTTTTCGTCTCAAAGAAGGCGGGCGGTGGCTGCTCCTTGGGCAAACGGACATCGTCATTGTCCTTGTTTTCCTCATCCTCGGCGGCGGGTGATGATAATAATGCCATGACCAATAAACTACTACTGTCCAGGGATTAGGTTCTGATTCCGCTTTTATGGAGAACTCGAATTATGGCCGTCATTTGAGGGTTTCCCCATGATTGATTGATCCATATTGATGGGTGTACACTGTGTGAAAAAAATGGGGAATTAAGTAGCCTTAAGCTAAGCACCCTTTAGACATTTGATTGTAAATTGTAAATTGTTCCTTGTACAGCTTCCAATTGAAACCCATTTTCTTTCTCTGTTTTATTGGACAGCCATTGTCGGTGGCGGACCGATGGTGAAGACCATGGAGAAGCCTCTCCCGCACAGTTTCGAGGAGGCCATCACATTGACCGGCGTGGGGCGCTTCCATTACAAGTTGCTCCTCATCTGTGGCCTGGTCTTCATGGGCGTGATGGTGGAGATCATGGGCGTCAGTCTGATCATGAACCAGATGAAGTGTGACCTGCAACCGACGTTGGATCAGCAGGGAATCCTGGCCTCCGCTGGCTTCCTGGGCGTTGTCCTTAGCTCACATGCCATGGGATTTCTGGCGGACACGTGGGGACGTGTTACCACGTTGCGCTATGCTCTATCCCTTGCCTCCATTTGCTCAATAGTTTCAGCATTTTCGGTGAACATTTGGATGCTGATTGTGTTCCGCTTCCTCACCGGCTTCTTTATATCCGGCGGCCAGGCTTGCGTCTTTAGTTTGTGTGGAGAGTTCCATGGGAATGGATCGCGAGTGCGGCATGTCACGTTGCTCTCTGGATTCCTGTGTCTGGCCATGGTGTTTGCTCCAGGTGAGTGTGTGTCTCTGGCTTACATAGCGTATGCGTAATATCACTCATACGTCGTGGTGTCCTGCTTAGTTTGTCTACTAATTCAAATTGAACTTTTGCTTCAGCCATGGCCATTGGCATCCTGCCGCTTCGCATCGAGACCATTATCCTGGGCATGCGCTTCTCCTCCTGGCGTGTCCTGCTGCTGGCCAATGTATCCGTTTCCCTGCTGGCCCTGGTTGGTATCTCAACGCTCCCGGAGACTCCGAAATATCTGCTGGTCCAGGGACGCGGCGATGAGTCTATGGAAATACTGCGCACCATTTTTTCCACAAACTCTGGCCGGGACCGGAGCGAATATCCGGTGCGAGAGGTGGCTCTGGAAAGCGGTGGCGCCAGTCTGACCGATGTCCATGGTGTACTCGATGCTGTGCGTCTTGTGTGGCACCAGACAGTTCCACTCTTCTATCGCTCCCGATTGCGTCACACGCTGAACATCTGTACGATTCAGTTCCTCATCTACTTCCTGGCCCAGGGCATCTTCATGTGGTTCCCCACAATCCTGGACGAGCTGGGCACACGAAATGGTGAGGATACCCTACTCTGCGGTGTCCTGCAGGGCTTCGATGTGGATGCCAATTCGGCGAATGCGGATTTGGGCTGCTCGGTGGAGGTGGACACGTCCACATACCAGGTGATGATCATCATTGGCTCCTCGTTTGTTGCCATCTATCTGTTCTTTGCCTATGTGATCGACTATACCGGCAAGAAGAATCTGCTGAGTGAGTATCTTGTGGATGTGAATGTGGTTAACCCGTTGTAACGCTGCTCCTTCTCTCCCTCCGAACAGTGGCCTGGATGAGTCTCACGCTGATCTGTTTGGTGGGTCTGCACTATGTGGAACAGTTTGCCCTGGTGGTAATCGCTCTCACTGTGGTGATGGCCATTGGTAATTGCGGCGGCCTGGTCAGCACCATTGCCATGGAATTCTATCCGACGCACATCAATGCGATGGGCATGTGCTTCATTATGATGGTGGGTCGCTTGGGTGCAGTGGTGGGCAGTAATCTCCTTGGCCGCCTGCTCTTTGCCAGCTGCGAGAATGTCTTCTGGGCCATGCTTGGCCTGGTGGCGCTACTCTGCGTCCTTGGTTACTTCCTGCCGGAGAAGGAGACCGCGTCCAAGGCCAAGGCGAGGGCGAAAGAGGAGATGGCCAAGGATGCTGCGTAGGCTGTAGGATATAGGTTTAGTCTAGATCATGCCGATACATATTATTTTTTTTCAACTTGAACTTTATACATTTTATCCTTTAAATAATATTTTGATCGAACTTGATGACGACTTCCTTAATTAACTTAAAATTATATTAATTTGGTACAATAACTGGTTTAAATTATCACTTTAATTGGATTATGGAATATGGATATACCGAAAATACCTCATGGAAAGTGTTCCGATAAAACTTAAATATAGCTCATGTTTCAGTTACTCTGAATATCAGTTTATAACAAAATACTATACGAACCATGATGTATATAAATACTTGTATTTATTAACTTAATTATACAATTAAATGTTTTTTTTTCTATATGGTATTAATGATTGGTTTGATTGTAAAGTTGCATAAGCAAAATGCTAATGTTATTTATGGGAATGATATATGCAATTTTACCAAAACATACTAAGCACACACTGGATACCAAGAAATCATACGATATTATACTGAGAAGTATGTCCGATTAATGAAAATTTTATAAACACACACAGGAAAATGAAAAACTATGCTTCCTGATGAAAGCCCACAAATTTTATAACGATTTCACGAGTATAAGTACTTATGGCACTCTATAAACCTCAAGGAAGTGTTCTAATGCCTTATAAAAACATTTTCCAGCAGATTTTAACCAATAGAACTGCATTATTTTGCTGAAAAATAATGTTTTTGTAAATCTAAATTTACATATTTTAGTTTTTTCCAGCTAGTATGACCTTTCCTATATTACAGAAACACATTGCCAATGTGATTTTGTTTTCATTAAAGTGAGTAAGAGTTGTCCCTATGTGACAAGCTGTATGACAGCCGGAAAGAATTATGAATTAGCAATATTACAAAATGGATTCCAACAAGAAAATTAATGTCGAGCTACCATCAGGTTCCAAGCGCCAGGCCAACAATAACCACGCCGAGTGGAATAAGAATCGCCAGGCACTGGGCAATATCACCAATATGCTCCATCCCGGGAAGGATCAGGAAGAGGAGCAGCAGCAGGAGCAGGAGCAGGGGCAAGAGCTGGAACAGGAGCTGGAACAGGAGCAGGAGCAGCAGCAGGTGGAGGTAACCGATACCGATTGTATCATTGTCCTGTATCCCGGGCAGGAATTGGAGGAGAACGATGCCCATAACGATCTCATTGAATACATCGAGGAGGAGGCAATGGATGTGGTGCCACATGAAAAGCCGTTGTCTCCACTACCGATCCTGCATTCTCCCTTTATCGATGTGGAAAGCATTGATCAGGATCAGAAGCAGCCTGATCCCCGCAAAGCGGCGTTACTGGCAATCGACAATGAGTTAAATAACGAAGATCCCATGCAGACATGGCCCTATGCCATGGATGTCTTCATCTATCAAAAGGAACGCGAGAAGGACTTCATCATTGGGGACTATATGGTTTTTCGGCCGCACCTGAACCCCTGGAAGCGTAGACTTTTGATTAGATGGATGGTGAACGTGCATCAGGCCTTTGGAACGTACAGGGAGAGTCACTTCTTGTCCGTCAAAATCGTAGATCTCTCTCTGTGCCGCTATGCAATCGACGAGGATATGCTGGAGCTCCTGGGGGCAGCGGCCATCAAAATGGCAAGCAAGTTTGAGGCTTTGCAAACCGTGCCGGCGAACAAGTTGTTAAAATTCTGTAAACGAACGTATACCGCCACCGATCTGATGGAGATGGAGTGGTCGACGATGCGCCGCATTGGTTGTGACCTGGGCATTCCCATAGGATACCGCTTTTTGCGTCGCTATGCTCGCACTGCCGTGGTCCCGGAATCAACATGGACCCTGGCTAGCTACATCCTCGAGTTGGCCATATTTGAATATGTCACCATTGGGTATAGTGACTCACAGATGGCCGCCGCAGCTCTCTTTATAGCGCTTCGCATGAGCAACAATCCCGGGCAGTTGGACGGGAACACCTGGAACGCAATGTTGGTGTACAATTCGGGTTACAAGCTTCCGGATTTTGCCAGGCTGGTGCCGGTGCTGAATGCCGTAGTGCATAGCCAGAATTGTGAGACAGTCGAGGCTGTGCGTAGCCTATACTCGACGCCATTGCTCTATGAGGTGGCCAAGGTGCGATCACTGTCCAACGAGGAGCTATTCCGTGACAACCCAGATCTGTACAACACCATTCCATCCTAGGGGAACTTCCTGCAGGAATCAGCCAAAGGATTCTAACACAATTCATTAGCAATGTACAATTCGTTACTAGTCGTTTTTCATATTTACACTTTAAAGCATCTTTGTGCCTTACCTGATTTGTGCAGAGTGGTATCGTATCGGGTTTTGGAACGAGAGCAATCACCTTGGAAATGGGAAACGGATTAGGTAAATGTTTGTGCCCATTCCTACGCCAGCGGCGATGGATGTTGTCATCGGGTGCAGCAGGCACAAGCCCAAGTCCAAGTCAACTTGGTAGTAGAAGTAGAAGTAGAAGTACGAGTAGCTGCATTAACATTCCTTCGCTGGGAAGGTGGGGAGACTAAACGCATTCCAAGTGCCATCGCCATCGTTGACTTCAGCTCCAACTGCTTCTCAGGCTACAGGGTATTCGCAGAGCTAGCGGGTGTGATGAAATAGGTAGTCCACGAAACTCTCATGTCCGCTCCAGAGAATATTTCCTAGGGTAAATAGTTCAGAATTAATTAAAGCTTTAAAAACTTGGTTAATTTTTGATAAACTTTTCATTAAATCACTTGTCCGCTTTACTGTCGGCTCAAGAGAATATCTTCATTTTTTAATTTTTAGTATTCCATTAAAGAGGGTTTAACAGTATATTGAATCATCCTTCTTAAATATTTTCAAAGCAAGCTTGTCTGGTAACCTGTCCGCCAAAGGGAATACATGTATGCAATTCTAAAAAACCTTCGAGATTTATATAAATATGATTATTATATATGAATATGATATTAAATATGATTATTACAAACAAATCAAAAGGAATATGAACCTGTCAACATTAAATTATAACAACAAATAATTAGTTTTAATAATGTGTAAGTATTTCAAGTGTCGAGTTATTTTAACCACTTCCCTCCTAGTTGGGCTAGCCAGTGTTTTTGTGCGTCTGTTTTTCGTATTTATTCAGCAAAACGGTATTTGCTCCGCCGGCTGGTCACAGTCTGCGTCTGCATCGGCATCGGCTTGTGCTTCTGCGGCGGCTCCTCCAACCCGCCGAGGAAGAGGAGCAAGCTGGCTGGCTGGCAAACTGGCAGCCAAGCAACAAACCGTTGCCAATCATAACACACACGTTGCCACAAAACCGAGGCCGAGGCCGAAGCCGAGACTGAGACACACTAGGGGCAGTGTCATTGCGGATTCCTAACGCCGATTCCAAGTCCAAGTCCAACTCCAATTGCGATTCTTCCCTCTGCCACAATCTCTGGGCAAAAGAAGCGCCGCCTCGCCTCGCCTCGCGTTGCGTTGCGTCTCTGGCCATTGATTGCCTAACTGCGCATTTCTCGACTTATATGGCATTGGCCAGATAACCACCTCTAACAACTGCCAGTCAGTCCCAGTCCCCCCCTTCCTAGTCTGAGTGTCAGTCTCGTCTCCGTTCTGGTACCAATGCCAGTTCCATTAGCCAACGGCATCACCGTCGCCATCGCCATCTGAGATGGCCCATCTGTGGGGGCCGTGAATCCAGTCCGCATCGCAATCCAACCCACATCGGCTTGCCAAGTACTGTCCCCAGTCCGTCCAACTCTGGGGATTTCTCAACCTGCCGTTCGGGGTCACCTGGAATTCCTGGTGACAAATTAGACCAGGATGCGGCCTACACTGGAGTGCATCCTTGTTGAATCCTTGGAAATTAAATCGAAAACTAATTATTAAATCGAAAAGAGTACAGATACTTATGTATATATTGAATCAATCAACATTTTAATATATTCCCATCATGATTTGGGGTCACCAGCACTCTTTCAGTTCCCGGTTGACATCGACCAACGGCATACTAACCCATAATGCCGGGAAATTAGCATCAACATTAACTCGGCAACAACAATTGCAGAATCAGCGGCAATATAACGACAAATGTGAGTCGGTATTCTGAGTACGAACACGAGGAGGTGATGATGACAATGGATGTGTCTGTCAGAGTCGTTGACGTCTCCTCCAGCTTCAGTTGCTTCTGGGTCACGACGACTGCGGCCGGTTATAGTCCAATATATAGTCCAATAGAGAGTCAGGTGCCGGCACAAGTCACTCCAAGACCAAGTCACGCCCAAAATGGAGCAGCATCGTCTGTCTGACGAAAATAGTTAAGTAGGCAACTTAGCCAAATTGGCACGAAGCGGGACAGGAGCTGAAAACAAGAGGGATATATTGAAATTTAATATAAATTGAACAAAAATAATGTTGGTTTGCTAAATAATCATGATAATAATAATATTACTTCCATCATTTTAAGGTAATTCCATTTCCTAAAGACATTGATTATCCCGATCTAGTACAAGGTTGTAGATTGGAATTTTATACAATATAAATATATTTATATATTTTAAAATGGGATACTTCCTTTTCTTGCCGTGTATCTAAAGCAGCCTCATCGGTACGTGGATAAAGAGGCAGCGTTAAAAGTGCGTTGAGGAATTACAATGATGACAGCAGCATGGCGAACGAGGAGGAACGCAGGAATGGAGCCAGCCATGGAGCCAGCCAGGTGGTGAACGGGGCGGGCACAAGTGTGCCGATGCCTGTCATAGAAGATAGTTTGCACGCCAAGTGGGAAGAACGCAAGAGCGACAGAGAGGCCAACTATGGATGCCAAATTCAAAAGTGGACTGCGCATGCGTGGAATGGGAATGAGAACGGAGAATCGCAGACTCGCAGGCCTTGAAGAATCAGCAACTTGAAGAATCACAGACTCGTATCCAACTCTCCTGATTTCATAAAGATTTAGAAAATTCTAGATCTGCAGAAACAAATGATTAGTCAATAAGGAATTATTAATCTTCAAAGAATCAGAAGTTACTTACATGAAGATTCTATGAGGCTTGGAGTTGCGAAGAATGTGAGACTGGACCCAAATAGACTCCAGAACCTAGAAAGTCAAATAATTAGGGTACCGAAAAAGAGTATCTTACGTACCTGAAGATTTGCTGAATCCGAAAGAATTGATCCAATCCGAGAACTTGGAAAATGGGAGTCGCTTCCCAGTTGTTTCCGTTCTAGCACCCTGGCACCCATGTTGAGCTAATGAAGCAAACTGCTGTAGAGGACGACGACGCCCGCCAAGTCAAACGTTATTTAATCACAATCGTTGTGGCCCCAGCTTCAGCTCCAACTCCAGTTCCCATCCCAATCCCCGATTTTGGTCCCAGTCTGGTCTGGAGAAGAAGAAGCGACAGGTGCTGCTGCTGCAGCGGTACGAAATCCAAAGGAATGCAGCAAAGCACAAAAAAGGCTTGAAGTTGGAGTATTCCAAACAAAAGGATGCCCATTAGAGATGGAAAAACATCGATAATTATTTGAAGCAGTTACATATATTCGATTGTTCATTCTAGAAAAAGCTCTACAAAGTTAGAAATTAATTCTTATTTACAGTTTCAAATTTGAGCTTTATTGTTTGATATTTTTAAAGATAAACTATAGATTGTGTCTTTAGTGTTGGATTAAATAGCAGTTCAACTACTACCTAGAGATTCAGCATCCCCGGTTTACGAGGTATTACATACAGAAAAAAAATATTATAAACCCGAAGTGGAAGAGGTAGTGGCGTGTAGAGTATGCAGGCGCGACGGCCAATCAATTCTCAGAAATGAAAACGCCGTCTTCGGTGGGTATTACCGTTGCTGTTGTTCTGCCTCTTCTGCTGCTTGCGATTCTTCTGCTGCCTCTGACTCTTTGCTTCTTCTCATTTCTTCGCCTTGTTGTTGGCACAATTGTGCGATGCAACAACAACAACACACAGGCCACATAAACAGAAAAGAATGCGAAGAAATGCAAAATGCAAACACCACGAACACAACCACTTTCCAAATGCATTCATGGTGTTTACCGTTTAAATGCGCCCAGTTACTGTTGTTGTTGTTGTTTTTTTTGTGGCCAGAAGGAGATGGCGACGAGACGCCAGGCCAGGCCAGGCCAGGCAGCAGCAGCAGCAGCATCAGCCGCCTCTCTAACAACAAAAACAAATGCGGAGAAAAGCAGCGGGCAAGCACAAGCACAAAAACGAAGAAGGAGAGGAGCCAGCATGGAAACCGTTGCACATCAGTCTTCTTTATGTGCATGTGTGTGTGTCTGTGCGCGTGAGATGGCCATCTTGCCAATTCCGATTTAAGTTTTTTTTCGTGCGAATGCAAGAGAGAGGCAGCAAGAGCTAGAGGAAACGGAAATTTTTGTTTATTGCTCAAAATCAGTTTTAGATCAAGTGTTCTGTGTTCCCATCTTGATTAGTTGTCAACGACAGGCGAAAACTGTTTAACCGTTATAAGACGCCGCCGCACGATCGCTTCCCAGACAAAAATCTGGGATTTATATGCACCTTGCGCCAACCAGAAAAGCTGGCTACAAATTTGATGCCCTGCAAGCAGCAGCTCAGTGCTTTCTGATGATGAGCCACAGATTGTGGTGAGTATATCGATACATGGGATATTTAAAATATTGCAGTTAACTAAATCGTAATATTATTTTTTTTTCTAACAAAAATGCATAGAAATTACTGAAACAATTATATATAATTAATTAATAAAATATAGGATAAAATTTCTTAAATCTATAAGTAATCTATAACATAACATTATTCTTTAATTTTAGGAAAGCATTTGATATTTTTGTCTAACATTTTCTCGACCGTACTCTTCCATTTTACTGGGTATCTCTCAGTTGAGTGATTTTTAAGCGATGTTCGTACCGAAAGTTCAAGTTCAAGTGCGCCAAATTTACAACGCCAGCGTCGACGCCAACACTGGCAGCGGCACCGCGAGCTTTTTACATTCTGTAGAATCTCTTTCTCGCTCTCTATCCTTTTCGTCTTGAGGGGGCGGCCAATGCTGGCCCCAATGAACTGATTTTATTGGTTCGCTATAATTTTTTATTGGTCCCCTAATTGGCAGGCGATTCTATGTCATTAGGCCGCTTGATTAGCGGCGCCGCAGCAGCAAGCAGCGGCAGCAATAGCAACAACAAGTTTCGGACTGTGCTCATTTGCGCAGCTGCCAACGCAGGTGTAAAAAAAGCTCGTCGCGCAGTCGCAGTCGGCGCTGGCAGATCTCGCTTTTCTGTCTGTGTGTGTGCTTTGATTTTCAGCCTCAGCATCGTGGCCTCTGCTTCACTGCCTCTCTGTTACCAATCCGCGCGCCTCGCTCTCTTTGGCTATCTGCTTCTCGGCCTCTGCTTCTTGTGCTTGTGCTTATGCTTTTTCTTCTACTTGTTGTTCCCGGACAGTTACATTACGAGGCCAAAGAAAGTATCGCCTGGCCAACTCGCGTATTTCGCGTTCGTCGCTTGCCGAGTCCACACGTGCTGCTCCCGCTGCTCTGCACTCTCGAGTCCGTTGGCTCGGATCGTGATCCGTGGTTCCCGAAAGGAGGAGGAGGCTCCACACCACCAAAGTGCTCCACCAAAAAACCCAAAATTGAAGTAACAAAAAATAAGGAAACGAAACGAAACAAAAAAGAATCAAAGCTTAAAAGGAAACCCAACAGATAAAAAAACAACGTGTTGCGCCGCAAGTGTTAGTGAAATTTTTTTTTGCTGTTCTTGTTGTTGCTGTTCTTGCCGAATACCGTTACTCGCCTTAAGAGCGAGAGAGAGAGAGAGATAACGAGTAGAAGAATCTACAGTGAAGTGAGTGCTTATTTTTTTCTGTTTGTTAATGATTTTTTACCCAAAAACAACCACTGAATGATCCTTTTGGTTTACAATTTAAGTTATAAATTTTGTTGTATTATTATTTTTACACAATTTTCTTTTACCCATTAATATATATTTTGTGGTAAGGCTGTGTAGTTTTCAAACCAGGATATACGTACAGGCGAGACAAGATAAATGGCTGGGAAGGGGAGTTAAAAGGGGGGCAGACCGTCGTCTTCCAGCTATAGCTTCTTCTTCTTCTTCGTCTTCTTTTGCTACTTCTACTTCTACTTCTAGTGGAGCCGATTAACCAGCTAGACGGCAAATGCAGCCGAGCATTTCATGCTTTCTAATTTTCCCAATTAGCACAAATGCGGCTGCTTGTTGCTTGCTTGTTGCCTCCGCTTCTGCCTTCTACTGATTTCTTTAGATTCTTCTCCATTGCTCGTCTACAGTCTATTGCAGTCTTCAGCCGTCTTCTTGGCTTAGATAGCGACGGAATCGAAATCAAAATCAAAATCAAAGCCGCACAGATCCGTGCTCTTGTGCCGTGTGCCGCCACCAGGTGCACTTTCCAAAGTTTTTCCCGTGGAAAATAAAAAAACACACAATTGTACATACATAATAATAATCATAACAGTCGCACGTACAGTGAAGACGCGACTACGGTGAGAAGAGGCCACCAAAAGTGGCAACGTCATCCGTCGAATGATTCCCACACGCCCCAAACAGGTGCACTATTTATTGACCGACTCGCATACACCTGTCAAATGGCAACTAATCACCAATCAGGTGCCATGAGCACGAATTTATTTCCCCTTCATCACAAAGTGATTGATTCTCCTCTATTTGCGTTACATATTGGGCGGTCCGATTTCACTTCTGTCTCCCTAATTCTATAATACCGTAAAATACCTCCCTTTAACAGCCTTAATTTTAATGCATTTACTAAAAAACGCAGACGGAATTTACCAATTAACAACACGGAATCATAGGGAATCCTTAGCAGAAACACAGATAAGTGTCAAAGGTACCGGTAAGTTGAGTTATATATAGCCTATAACTTACCATTTCATCTTTACTGTCTCAAAGTATAATTTACAGAAAAATAACAAAGAAAATTAACTTGGGGCAGCTAAGGTTTATTTTCATTGCATTTACATACTTTAAATCAATATTTATCTATATATTTTTATATGGCAATTTTTACGAGAAATCAAAATTAAAAAATCTCCTTATTCAGCCAAAAATGCATTAAATTAAATTCGAAAAACAGATTTATGTTAGTTTTTATTAAGTTAATAAATCTGCATACTCAGTTTAAAATGTTAAAAAGTAATTTTTTTTTGCCAATTTTAACGATGAAACCTTTTTTCTTTTTTTCAAATAATGGAAAATGCCTCCTTCACAATTTTACAAGCTTCTGACTCAAATTGTAATACCATTCTTTGGTCCGATTTTTGTCTATATTTTTATGAAAATGTTTACCAAAAATCAAAATTTCAAAATCTCATAACTAATTCAAAAATGCACTAACTCCAATTCTGAAACAGATTTATGTTAGATTTTATTAGTTCTACAAATCTGCATACTTTGCTTAAAATTTTATATTTTGACCTATTTTTGTAAATTTTAACGATGTAACCCCTGTCCTTTTTTTTGAAAAAATGGGAAATTTTTGAAAAATGATGTTTTCTCCCGGAGATGGCTAGAAAGTTTCCCCTGCTGATGGTGATCAAGAATATATATGATTTGTAGGGTCGGAAATTACTCCTTCATTATGTTTGAACATTTTTACTTAAATTATGGTGTCCTGCAAAGGGTCATTAAATGAAATATAAAATATCATATACACCTTTTTCTGAGTGTCCACTTACCACTATCAGTAATAAAGAACTTTAATATAAAGAACCTAAAAATATATACAAGATAAGATGCAAAAAAAAGGCTGGAACTCAGATAGCAGGCCAACTTATTAACTTATTAATTAAACAAGTACGATGATGGTCGATATGCAGACAGACAGACAGATAACACGGGGATAACAGCCAAAACAAGTTTATTAACATACTGTTTTGACACCTTTTGGCGACCACCTTTCCCACCATTAAGACGGGCCACCATCATCCTCATCCTCCTCATCATCATCTTCATCATCATTCGGATTAAGTGTTATGACAACTTTCGTCAATGTCGTCGTTGCTGCACTTGGTTCATTAGTCTACGGCGATGCTGTGCGACTGCGAGCAAATAGATACAGATAAAAATGGAACAGATCTTGGCGAGAAGTGAGTGGTGCTGCAGCGGTGCTAATGCATTTGATCCGTTTTGGAGCGCATTAAATGCACCGTTAACTACTTCGAATTCTAATTAAGCTGATGCGACACAATCCAAAGCATGCCGCTTCTGTGGCACAATAAACTCAATTCTCAATCTCATGGCGGCCAAAGAACTCCAAGATGAAGCAAACACGCGACTTGGCCATAAATGCAATGCCAGGTTAGCCAGGTTTTTGCCAAGTTACCAAGTTGCCAGGTTGCCAGGTTGCCAGGTTGCCAGGTTTTGCCAGTCAGCGAGTATATCTCATTGCCTCGTTGTCGCATCTGTGTATCTGTGCAACGGCAACTATCTCCACGACAAGAGAGAGAGAGACTATCTCTTTGTTTGGCCTTAAATGATTTGCTTTAGCCATTATTGGCTTTTTGGGCCCTAAAGGCGGCTTTGCCTGATCTTCAAGGTCTAAACCGGCAAGAGACCCTCGATTGCCTCTAACCATTTGGAATTCATTCATTGTTTGCCTCTTTCTACCCATTTCTCCGCTCATCGATGCTGATGACGCATAATTTATGATCGACCCAGTAAATTCTACAATTCCCAGTGCTGCCGCTCTTTCACATGCCCATCACGGATACACAAGATGCTGGCTAGCTGGCTGGCTGGCTGCTGGCCATAGATACAGATACAAAGATACATAGATACAGCGATGTACAATATGCAGATACGGATACAGACAACAACGACAACGACGACGAAGACGACAAGCCTTTTCTTTTCACAGAATGTTAATTTGTATTCAGAGCCATCATCAAAGAGAGTCGAACGACGGACACTGAAGATCTGTAGACGCCGGATCGTCTCGTCGTCTAACTGTTCTTCGCCTTTCTACAAACATTCCAATAATGAAATGGAAATTTTTCCATGGCACAATTTTCGGGCTTTCGATGCATCCATCCATCCATCCATCCATACAATCCATCTTTCGGCCATTGGCAATCAAAGTATTGACTCATTAGGCGTTCCTCTCAAGCACATATCATTGTGGTTTGTGGAATTCCATTGATTATATTTACTTTCTTAGAGAGTTTTCGATCAAGTTTTGCTGCATAATCATTCATTACTCTATTATGGGAGCTCTTGTGTACCTTAATTGCTCTTAACTAGGCTAACGCACAAGTTCAGCCAACGCTGACCTTAACAGTTTTGGTGTTTTAAAGTTTATTTTATTTTTTTAGAGGCCATAAAGCATTCTTCAAGTCCAACTTGAAGTGCCGACCGAATGACCCAAAGGGGGGCACGTCAAGTGTCTCTGGGAACACGCTGTGGCATAAACAACATGCCCAATAAAGTTGTTAAGCTTCCTTGGTTGGACTCTGTGCATCCGTTGATAAGCAGCTGCCGCCATCCTGGCAATGGCTTTGGACCACCTCCAAGCATTGTTTCTGCACTTGACTCTGGGCGGGCACAGGCTGATGAGGATGAGGATGAGGATGAAGCTGGAGATGGGTATGAAGAAGTGTCGTGGCAGTTGTCATGTTGAAGCAAACAAAAGTTTCGCAGCGTCGCGCAGGATTGCAGTCTGTGAATGGGAATGGGAATGGAAATGGGGGGAAAAGGCTGATGGAGGCTGGGCTTTGCCCAGACTTCCTAGAAATTTGCATGGCTGCCATAGTCTGTGTCCGGGGCCATTTGACACGTTCTCGGTCTTTACCAGACCGTTCATTTAAATGTCTTTCTTTGGCAGCTTTTGCCAGAATAACAGTTGACAACGGCTGCTGCAACAACTGGGGGAAACTGGGAAGCCGAGAAGCTGTGGAAAAACCATGTCAGACCCATTGCTCCCTGCTCCCTGCTCCCGGCTCCCTGCTCTTTTCCTGCCTGAAAACTTAATATATAACCCACTAGAGGAAAGTCTTGACTCTCAGCTTGTTTGCAACTTAGCTTCGGTCCAATTAATTTGGTAATGGATCTCCTTCCATCTGGGGGATCCTGGCTAAATAATGCAGCACCAGCTCGTACCAGGCTAATTACACTAAAATGAAAATTGCATTTGGCAATTGTCCGCCAAAATAACAAAAAAATAAAATAAAATAATAACAAACAGAAAAAACTCACACGAAAAAGTGGACAAACTAGCTCCTCGGATCCCAAAAGTGGCCAACTTGGAGGAGGTGGCTTTTGGCGGCTGGCTGGTTTTGGCGGAACCAGTTTAATTAAAAGAAAGTGAACCATTTAAAATTGTATTTTGATTTCGGCTTTGCTTTTCCCACATTATCATTATTATCGTGATTATTGCGCTTTTCACTGAGCTGGCCAACAGAAGCTAAAAAATAAAGTACAACAAACAAAATAAAACAAGCTTGAAAACAATTGGTAGATAAACAAAAAGAAAGAAGAAACATGAAAATAAAAATGAGGCATGGGCAGGTGATTTACCGTTGGCTGTTTATCGTAGACCGTTATAGCGATTCGATTCGATTTGTTTTGAATTCGAATTCGTTTCGATTCGAAAGTGATCAACAGCAGCAGCCACTCGGTGTATCTCAATCTTCATTTCCACTTCCATTTCCACTTCCATTTCCATTTCCATTTGCACTGAAGAAGAAAAGTGAAAACTTAAACCGTAAGCAAAGTTCGTCACTGATCGCCTTTTGATGCGACAACAATTTCTTTTATTTTCCATTTCGTTTGCTCTCGATCGACTTCGACGATGATGATAGCTTCTGCTTTTGACCAGTTAATGAGTGGCCGAATCCCAAGGCAATCCTACAAGATACAATCTGAGGGATAGCAATCCGTGGAGCGTATCGGCGGCGGGGCAACTTCTACTTTTCCGCTCTTTCGCTGCAAGTGTGCGGTACTGTTAATTGCAGCGGCGTCATTAATTAAGCGCCACCAGAGCGTGCAACACGCGGCCAGGTATAGCTCTAGCTCTAACTCAACTTCTATCTCTGTTGCAAGCTTCAAACTCCAAGAGCTTCGTGCCCCAAACTTCCAACTTGAGCTACGTCGCCGGCCTGGCTGCGTCGCACTTTCTTTGACTTAGTTATAGTTAGTTAGTTAGTTGGTAAGTTAGTGGGGGAAAGGGGAGACCGATTATTAACCCAGTAAGGGTATGACCCAAAAATAGTTTAGAAGAACTTATAGTTGGTTCAATTTATAAAATTTACATTCACATATATGTTTATGTTTATTTTAAGACCATAGTGTGGTTTTATTATAATATTTATCAAATCATTATAGTAAAGATACACCTTTAAAGAAGGTAAAAGTCATTTCAAGTGGGTTCTATTGTTTGTATCTATTATTTTATTTGATTTAAAGATAGTTCTGTGGTATAAAAATTCAAATTTTGGCCATATTTGTTAAATTTTAACGATGTAGCCCCTTTCCTTTTTTTTTTTTTAAATTGAATTTTTTTTATATTCCTGTTTCTGCCTAAGATACCTGGAAAGATTCCCCTGTTGATGCTGATCAAGAATATATATTATTTATAGGGTCGGAAATGACTCCTTCACTTAGTTTTAAGCTTCTGATCTACATTTTTAGGTTATCATTAAAGATATATTAAATGTGGAGCCTTAAGAAAAGTAAAATAAGATCTTAATAAGAGATATTGAAAACTAACTTAAAAATCCCTGGATTTAGGCCTAAAATCACACCCGTAGAGATATATATGTATATATACAAGGCCAAGTAAAGTACTCTATAACTAGTGACTTCCCACCACAGATTTCAAGATAAAAAGATATATATACTCATGTGTTGCTATAATAGATCAAGATACAGCTAAGCCGTTATAGACTTCCCACCAGCCCAGTGTGAGTGATGGTATGGATACAACAAGATCTCAAAGATCTCTTGGATCTCTTGGATCTCTAAGATTTGTGGGATCTCTCAGATCTCTTAATTGGCTGACGGCGCACATGCAAAGTTACAGTTAGTCTGGCCGCAGTCTGCCAAAGACGAGGCTTTGTTTTAGGCGCTTATTTCTTTTTTTAACCAGCAACCAGTTTTCACTCTTTTGCTCTAGACCAAATAAAAAAGGAAAAACAATAAACCGGAGGGGAGAAATTAATTGGCTCCGAATTAAAGACAAATAAGCATATCGGGCCCGTTAACCGTTTACTGTTTTTTTTTGGTTTGTTGTTAACTCTTTTTATTTACAGTTCTCCAAGAGAGAGAATCTCCACTGACCGCATTTTTGCGCCTCAAGAAGAATTGGTAGAAGAGAAGCCTCCTCTACTGGCCCTGTCCATCATCTTTTTCCGAATTCGAATTCACTTTGTTTGCCTGGAACAATCGGCAGTTTCGATTTCATTTTCACCTGTGCTCTGAGCACCTGTAAATCCAGCCAGGTAAAAGTGGCATACAAATCGGATACTGAAAAGGAGACAACACAAATGAGATTTTTACACAATTATTATTATTGTTATTACCATTGTTGTTGCTGCTCCCATAGTCGTTTTTTTACTTGTGGGCTTTATTGCTCCACTGAGTGACTGCCTGATTGATTGATTGATTGATTGATTGATTGCCGGCGTCTCTTTAATTGCTGGCAGGGAAAGTGCCACAGCATCGGGCGTGTAAATATTTATCGGATTTAATGCGAAAGAATTAAAACAAAATTGGAAAGTTAAGCAGTGAAATTTTGTTCGTTGGTTGAGAGAATTCTATGGGTTTTATAAAGGGTATGAAGTATGAGTAATATGATGAAATGAATCAGTTATTATATTAGATATTACCTTATAAATACCTTTACTATAATTATAAATAAATATTTATAAATTTGCACTTATAGAGCTCTTCTAAAATATCAATATTTAACTTTCTTGACTTTTTTCAATGTATTTTCTATAAAATATATAACTATTCTTGATAAACTTGATCTACTTACATCTTTCAAAAATAATATATATATTATTTTTTATTCCCTTTGTTAAAATAGCTTGGTTTCTTGGGTTGTAGAACTAACCAAACTTTCTTTGCTCTCTTAACAGAATCTCCTATTTAAAAAAAAAAATACTTTTGATCAGTTCTACCTTCTCACATCTTTCCTAAACAAGATATTTATTATATTTAATACCCTTTTTCAGGAAATGGTCTACTGTTTTAGTCTGTAGCTATAGGGTTCTTTTTCAGTATAAAATATACTATATATTTTCTTGATCTCAAGAAAAGCTCATAGTTCATTGACAAATTTAGCTTATTGTATGGAAGTTTCTCCAAAATATCTTTTATATTTATGGACATCTTCAACTCAATTCTTCTCTGTACATCCCATATTCCAATCCCTCTTCCATAAGAGTCCTCTTAGTATTAGATTTTCACAAGATTATTGTCCCCTTGAACTCATGTCTAAACTATGTCTTAATTAATTAAAAGACTAAAGAATTTGGGTGATAGAGACACTATAGATGACTCATGAATGCAGTCTGCTGTCTACAGTCTACAGTTTGCAGTCAGCAGTCTTCCCTCCCCAGTCTTCAGTCTCCAGTCTTCAGTCTCCAGTCTTCAGTCTCCAGTCTTCAGTTTGCATTCTTCAGTGTGTGCAGCGGTCATCAAGCCTCCGACATCGTTTCCAGGCACCTCAATTTGCGAAATGGCGCCCCCGGGGGTCTGTCCAGTGATCGAATGGATCAGAGTGAGTGGCAGTGGGTCCAAGTTCGGGTTTGAGTTCAGATTCAGGTTCAGGTTCAGGTTCAGGCTCAGGCTCAGGGTCCGGGGAAATTGCTCGTCTGGCCATTTATTAAATTTCAATTTGTTTATGGCTTCTTTTCGTGGCCGCCATTTCACATTGCCCCGTTGCAATTTTGGGTCCATTGGTTAGGGTTGGTTACTCTTGGTTGGCCCCCCGGGCGCATTGGGTTAAGTGCGATCTGGCCCCGGATACCAGCATCGCGCTAATGACGAGCATGGACATCTTTATTACCTCGAACGGGCCCCCTAAAAAATATATACATATATATAAAAAAAAAACTCAAAAATATGCAGAAGGAGCAGAGTCTTTAACAATTGATATTTAACATACGAATTGATTGGAGCATGACCACGACATGATGATGATGATTATGATCATGCTGGTGATCAAGAAAGCAATTAAGAAGTATCCACAAAAATTTTGGTTAAAGGAAAGAGTTTGGAGAGCTCAAAAATAAGAAAAGGTAATTAAGGAAAGAAATTCTGGGAACAAAAATTCTTGGCTACAGGGTTTTGATCGATAAATATAAAATGAACTTATTGGTAAACTATATACATAGTATAAAAAGGCTTACGTTTTATTTAGAGCTATGAAATATTACAAAATACCAATAAGTTTGGCAATTAATATTCCTTTTTATTATCCAAATTGTTAATTAATTTGCTTCTAGTAAATATTGAATCAATTAAATTATGCATATAATTAATGATTAAAGGTGATCTCTAAGTATGCTGAAAATTATCATTATATTTATTCTATATTGTTACTGATATCAATACAAAATAAATATAAAGATACTTTACAATATACTTAGTGATCTTGTAAGATATGGTTTTTTGAGAAATAATTCTAAATTCTAAATTATAAATCGGACTAATTTCCGTTTGTTACGAGGTTTTAAAAATTTTTTGAAAAGATGTTTGAAAAATCAAAATAAAAAATACATAAATATAACATTTATTTTTCTAATATTTATTTTTACAATATCTATTTCAAAGTTAATATTTCAAAACTCGATTTTTAAAACTATACCATATTTATCTTTTCCGATGAATCAACGATATATGTATATACCTAGTAAACACCTTGATACATCGTAATAATCATTATAGGTCAATTGCCCTAAATCTAACCATCGATTAACGATAACTCATCAAGTCAATCGATTACATTTTTTTGGGCTGCAAAAGTCGAGATCAAGAGATCAGGCGGCAATCGTTCATGGCAATTGCAGCAATTTTCGCGGCTCAATTTACCATGGATCACGACTTTCGCTCCCTCAACCTGTGCCAGTTAATTTCTCAGACAAGTTTCAGCTTAAGCCGATTTCTATATCTACGGAAACTGGGGAAACTGTTTAGTTAAATATTTAAATAGCTTAATTTCTTTTTGTTGTAGCATAATACGAAGTGCTATTCACCCATTTTGCACACCATTTTAATTGAATAAATTCCCATAATGCATGCCAAACTTGATGAGAATTAAATCAATTAAAATGGTGAGCAATATTATACTATATAGCGTTGATTGGATAGAATAACAGAATAGGAAATTGTGAAGAGTGAAAGCGATCGAATCGCGCTTGTTTGTTCCATTTATCATTTCCACTTTCAACCATTAATTGTAATTTAAATTGTATGAAAATAAGTAAAGAAAACATTGTCTGGATCTGCCCACTGTGTTTAGCAGGCCACTCAAAGCAAAAAAAATGGAGAGAGAGAAAACCCAGATAAGACTTGTGTTTCTTTACGATTGAGGTAGTCCCACATATATATACTATATAGTACTGTGATTAAATCAGGTCTCTAACCTTGTGTTTTCATTTGTGTTTCTTTCAGATACAAAACCAAACGTCACGCCGCCAGCGTCATGTGGAGCCCACAGAAAGGCCCAACACGCCTGTGGGACCTTAGATTTAGTAGCTGTATATTTATCTTACACTTAATGGTGAGTTAAAATTGACTATAATATTGTATATAATATTATTATATTATTTATAAATGTATGTGGTGGAATCTTATCTGATTGCCAAGCCAATTGATTGATAGCAAACCTTTAAAAGGGAAGGTCAAGTTGGTTTGCTTTTAGTAAACATGGGAAAAATTATAAAATGAAGGAAAATTTATGTATAGTGATTGGATTCACTCAAAGATATATAATATATGGGTTTATAAATAGATAGATAGATTTCAGATCTATAGAACTTGAAAACCTAAAAAAGATACTAAAGTATCTGTATCTTTTTAGACGTCAGATCAAACCAAATAAAATATACTTAGATATATCATATACATCTCCAATTAATCCCTAACCCTTGGATTAAATCTTACTTAAAAACACCTTTGTTTCGACTTTTTCACAAAAAAACAATTAACATTTATAATATCAAGCGTAGAGCCTTAAAAGCTAAACACAGTCCAGGGAACAGGGGTAAAGGTGACACTTAGAGGGTCTCGCCCACGGGCTTGATGGTCAGCTCATGAATCTGGACATTCGGTGGAGTCTGGATGCAGTAGGTCACGGCATCGGCCACATCCTCAGACCGGAGCATGGGCAGTTCAGGGAAAGAAAGCAGGACTTCCTTGCTCACAATCTCAGTTTCAACGGCTCCAGGACTGATGCTCTACAAAATGAATCAAAGATAACTATAAGTAAAAGCTACTTTACCATTTTTTGAGTAAGAAAACTTACCGTGATCTTGGTCTTGGTCTTGCTGTTGATAAACTCCTGACGCAGTACCTCCGTTAAACCTGTGATGGCAAATTTGGAGGGCGCATACATGCCCATACTCATGCCCGGCATAATGGGCACCCGATGACCAGCCACACTATTCACTATGAGGACATGTCCATCATCGATGTTACGTTTCTGCAATGAACGGAACACCTCCCGGGTGCACCAGGATACGGCCAAGACATTGGTGTCCAAAATCGCACGCAAATCACTGGAATTGCCTTCGCTGATGATACCAACACCGGGACGAACAATACCCGCATTGTTGACCAAAACATCAGCACCACCCAGCTGGGCATCGATCCAGGCAAAGGTGTCAATCACTTCCTGCTCCTGGCTAACATCACACTTGCGAGGATGGAAGCGCTTGGCCTGCTCCGCCGGCAGCGAGTCCTTGAGCTCCTGCAGACGATCCTCGCGGCGTGCGAGTCCCACCACAACCATGCCCTTGGCCACCAGATCACGACAGCAGGCAGCTCCAATGCCAGAGCTGGCGCCAGTGACAACAGCAACACGATTTAGCCAACGATCCATAATTGTTTTCGGGTTTTTTAAATGAGGTTTTTTATGTTATTTTCCGCTCGCGATCTGCTCGTTAACTGCTCGCTCAGTCACCTTGCCCAGTGGCTTTTATACCCTGGCCAATTCCCAGCTGCTCCGACTGGCCACTCGTCCAGTATTTCACCACTGATGAGAGAGTGGCAATCCGAGGCAGTTTCCCGAGCAGCTGAAGCAACCGAATCAGCCGGCATTTGGTCTGGTAATTATTCGTTCCCTTGCCGTAATCGTGACTCTGCAGAATTCATTCTAGAACGCTAACAAAAATCTACTCTATGAGATAGCAAATGGAACACATGAGTGGGATTTCATTGTGGCTCAGCACTATTATTATTATTATTATTGTTGTTGCTGTTGCTGTTGATATTCCGGCACACTCTCGTGCCCATAAAATACACTCGGAATTAGTAATTCTTTCGTCGCTGGGTTAATTATGGGAAGTGTTTAACACTAGAGTGCCAATAGTATGGTTTTGGGGACAGCATAATCAGGTTTTTAGGCAAGTTATTTCCCTAGTTTTCGGCAAGAAATAAAGTAAATTTATACATAAATATTTAGTTGATAAATGTAAAATTTAATACATAGAATCAATCATTTCCTTGTCATTGGGTTAATTATGGTTTAACACTAGAATGCCAGTGGGGGTTGATTAGGTTTCTAGGCAAACCTGTTATTTCCCTAGTTTTCACCAAGAAAAAGAGTTAATTTAGACATAAATATATAGTTAAATATTGTACAGTTAAATATATATCTTTATTAGAAATATTTCAAATATCGTCGTTTGATATATCTACATTTTTACTATCAAAAGTGTCTTAAAGCAAAATACATCGTAATATTTAATTGTTGTGAATTTTAAATATGGAAAATATTATCAGGTTTAATTTATCAATTAACGAATCATCAAAAATATCTTAAAGTTTAATTTATAAAAATTTAAAATAATGAAAATATCCTAAAGTGTTAGACGTCGAATGTGGAAATATAAAAATATCATTTTGTATGAAATTAAAAATATTTTAAATCAAGAAAGGAAACTAACTTATAGAAGCCAAAGTGAAGCAGTTATGTAGTTAGGTTCATGGGTTCGAGCGTGAAATCGATCAAAACTGAACCAAAGATGCATTAATCTAAATGTTGAAAGCTATTCTGTGTTGGCTTTTATTAGGATTTTAGAATATCGGGCCTTAATATTTATAAATTTAAAAATTTGACGCATTTTTAGCAAGTTTTTTATGATGTCTTATCCCTTACAAAACTTAAAAAAAGGAAGTTAAGTATCTTGTTGAATTATTGTTAAATAAATGCATGGCTAGCAGCACAGCTTAATTTTAAACCTAGGCCTAATCACTTAATTAGTATCTATGTTAATAATATGAAATGTCATGCTAAAGACTTACCCCAGTGGAGGACACGTGGCTATCCATTTTCGTCATTGCTGAATTGATCCCAGTGTGTAAATCACTTCCGGTGCCTTCAAGTCATGCTTCTTCCTGGTCATCCAAATGTTGTGAATAGGCCACGTCATATGTTTCGGGTCGAAGGGGAGGCACTTGCACTATCACTCTAGATGTTAACACTGGAGACGCCACCGACGGAATGAGGTGCGCAAGGCGGCAGAGCCCGCTATTTATAGGCTGCGAGGCAAGAGAACAGAGAATTTGAGAGAGGGAGAGAAATAGAGAATCTAGAGTTAGGCAGAGCGAGATAGAGGGAAAGGGGTGTCTCTAGAGATGCACAAAGAGGGAGAGGCACAGAGTGTGGGAGCGAGTGGGAGTCATAGAAATAGAGGCATATTCATATTTTATGAAGGAAATTTTTTAATTTTAATTTAAATCATTTAATACGCTTACGTGTTACACGTCGAATGTGGAAATATCAAATTATCATTGTGTGAAATTAAAAATATATTAAAACAAGAAAGAAAGCCAACTTATAGAAGCCGAAGTGAAGCAGTTAGCTAGGTTCATGGGTTCGAATGTGAAATTGATCATAAGAAATCCAAAGATGCATTGATCTCAATGTTGAAAGCTATTCTGTGTTTGTTTTTATTAGAATTCTAGAATATTGGGCATTAATATTTATAAATTAAGAAATGTATGCATTTTTGCCAAGTTTCATGATGTTATCCTTTACCAAACTTTAGCCAAATTCATTTAAGTATCTTGTTTATTTTTTTTTCAAGTGTTTGTTGTTCTTTATTGATTTAGGTTTTGATTGCAAATATAAATATCAATTCCTATTGAATATCATTGGCTTTTTAGACTTTGTATACCTACAAGAAAACATGAAGTATATTTATTGTAGATATATTAAATCGATATTTCTATATGATCATTTTTTGGGTAAATCCAGGATTTTGAAAATATCATAACTAAGCCAAAAATGCATTAATTTCAATTCGGATATCTTTTATATGCTTGTTTTTATAACGCTAACAAATCTGTATACTGAGTTTTTAAAAGTAAAAAATTCAAAATTTTGTCAATTTTTAAACATTTTAACGATGTAACCCCTTTCCTTTTTGTGATAAAAATTGAAAATTTATAATTTTTTTTTTTTTTTGCCAAAGATACCTAGAAAGATTGTCCTGTTGATGCTGATCAAGAATATATATGATTTATAAGGTCGGAAATGACTCCTTCACTGATTTTTAAGCTTCTGACTGGAATTATAATACAATTTTTAAACCAATCTTTATCTATATTTTTATATGAAAATTTGTTTACCAATCAAAGTTTAAAAATTGCATAACTCACCCAAAAATGCATTAATTTTAATTTGGAAAGCTGTTTTGTGCTAGTTTTTATAAAATTAATAAATCTGCATACTCAATTTCAAATGGAAAAGAGTTCGAATTTTTGATGAAATTTTTAACAATTTTGACGATGTAACCCCTTAAATAATTTCAAAAAATTTAAAATTTTATTTTTCTTCTTAAGATAGCTAGATCGACTCGACTGTTGATGCTGATCAAGAATATATATGATTTATAGGGTCGGAAATGTCTCCTTCTATGAGTTTTAAGCTTCTGGCTGAAATTATAATACCTTGAAGGGTTATAATAATTTTGCAAAATATTTCGTCAAAGTCTGGGTTAGTTTTAAAATTATTGTAAGGGTAAGAAATCACTATTTATGTATAATAAATAGTTAAGTTATGCTGTTGATACATTACTTTAAATTAAAATTCAAGAATGGGATCCATGGAAATAAGGGAATTAATGGGAACATAAAAGCAAAGCTAGCAGCATAACTTAATTTTAAGCCTAGGCCTAATCACTTAATTAGTATCTATGTTTATAATATGATATGTCATGGTAAAGACTTACCCCAATTTAGGACACGTGGCTATCCGTTGTCATCATTGCTTCATTGCTTCCAGAGTAGATTTACATTTCCGGTGACTTCAATTAGGCTTCTTCCTGATCATCCAAATGTTGTCCATGGGCCACGTCATATTTTTCGGGTCGAAGGGGAGGCACTATCACTATCACTCGAGATGTTAACACTGGAGACGCCACCGACGGAATGAGGTGCGCAAGGCGGCAGAGCCCGGTATTTATAGGCTGCGAGGAAAGAGAACAGAGAATTTGAGAGCGGGAGAGAAATAGAGAATCTAGAATCTGTATCTAGAGATGTACAGAGAGGGAGAGTAAGGGGCATGCCGATCGATAGAGGTAATGAGGCACAGACAGGGAGAGGCACAGAGTGTGGGAGCGAGTGGGAGTCATACAAATAGAGGCATATTCAAATTTTATTAAGGATATTATCTAATTTTAAATTAAATCATTTAATAGGCTTTTAATGTTTAAATTTCATTGCTAAACTTAATACTTAAGTTTTTTTTAATTGTTGTTATTTATTTTATATTTAATTAAGCTACAGATAAGTTTCAAATGGATTTCCTACTCCCATTCCTACTCCTCCAAAACCATTTTAATTTCCACTCTCTGGCCAGACAATGCGGCACCAGCCTTGCTCCGGATCTCCATATATATTATATTATATTATATATACACCGATTCCAGTGCTGCAACTTTTACTGGCGGGGAAAATGCAAATTCCATTGGCCATTTGCGCCACTAGCCACTCGCCACTTGCCACTTGCCACTCGATTTGGATCCATGCGGCATGTGGCAAGGCAAGGCAAGGCAGTTTTGGGCCAGGTATCGGTATGCAAATGCCAAGCTCTGGTTCAGCCTCAAGACCAACTCCAAGTCCACGTCCACATCCAAGTCCAATCCAAGTCCAGACCAAGACCAGTTCCCCCGCGAAACGGATGAAGGCCAAGTGGAATTCGCTTTCCCATTTCGGAGGAGGTGGCTTTGGGGGGAAACGATGATGACGACGGCGACTGGGGTTTTTGCCAGGACTGGATTTCGTTTTTATTGACAACACGTTTATCAGGTGCGCCAGGTGGCCACCGGGCTGGCAGGTGGAACCGTTAGAGGCCATAGCCCACCCACAAGGCGAGATTCTCCATCCAAAAGAAATTTTAACTGAAGAAATGGAAGAGTCTATTACATTTTTTGAATTAAATTCTTAAGGAATAAAGGGAAGCTAATAGAATTTATAGAAAGAGATTGAAATTTAAAGGATATAAAGGATCTTTGGTATGAAATTTAGATAAAAATAGGAATATATAAAACTATATAACTTTACTCTGATTAAACAATATTTGTCTTAAGCTTTTCACAGTTTTTGATAGGTAAAATGGCTGCTTAATTACTTAGCTTTAAAGTATATTTATACTTTTTTGATGTATATATATATTTATATTTATTTTAAGCTATTATATCTCCTTTTATTTATTTAAAATGTATTATTTTAATTACAGTTTAGTTTAGTCATAGCTGGTAATGAACTGTGGCCCATGGATCGGCCAGATGGCATGCCAAACATTGTGTCCCTGGAGGTGATGTGCGGCAAGGATCATATGGATGTGCATCTTACCTTCTCGCATCCATTTGAGGGTATTGTCAGCTCTAAAGGTAAGTCAAAAAAAGATCAAATTGGACCAAGATCAAACCAAGATCAAACCAAGATCAGACCAATATATAATCTAATCCTAACTAAACGAAATCCTTTCAAACAGGACAACACAGCGATCCGCGATGTGTGTATGTACCGCCTTCCACAGGCAAAACATTCTTCTCCTTCCGGATCTCCTATTCGCGATGCGGCACCAAACCCGATCTTAATGGACAATTCTATGAGAACACGGTGGGTATAATCTCGACGATAACATTATCTTTTGTTTATTATAAATAACCTTTAATATTTCCCTTAGGTGGTGGTGCAATATGATAAGGATCTGCTGGAGGTCTGGGATGAGGCGAAACGTTTGCGTTGCGAATGGTTCAATGATTATGAGAAGACTGCCTCCAAGCCACCGATGGTAATAGCCGATCTTGATGTCATTCAACTTGATTTTCGTGGTAAGTATTATATCAAAATAAGACAGAAAACTAAGTTCAGGAAGCCAAAGTTTATATATTGTTGCAACTTGCCATTTAATTATAGAATCGTATGGAAAATCAATCATAACCAAGCTTAAAAGTTTCACAATTTTTGAATAGATATTTATAGATATTTTTATTATACATATATTATAATAACCTGCAAGGTTATAATCATATAGAAAATATATCATCAAAGTCAGTTAGTTTTAAAATTATTTTAAGGGTAACAAATCAATCCATTTGTATAATTTATAGTTAATTTATGCTGTTGAAACATTACTGTAAATTAAAATTTAAGAATGGGATCCTTGGAAATAAGGGAATGAATGGGAAATATATGCATTGATCGCAGCACAGCTTAATTTTAAACCTAGTCCCAATCACTTAATTAGTACCTATGTTAATAATATAAGTCATGCTTAAGACTTACCCCAGTGAAGGACACGTGGCTATCCGTTTTTGTCATTGCTCAATTGCTTCCAGTGTAGATGTGTATTTCCGGTGACTTCAAGCTTCTTCCTCGTCATCCAGATGTTGTCAATAGGCCACGTCATATTTTTCGGGTCGAAGGGGAGGCACTATCACTATCACTCGAGATGTTAACACTGGAGACGCCACGGACTGAATGAGGTGCGCAAGGCGGCAGAGCCCGCTATTTATAGGCTGCGAGGAAAGAGAACAGAGAATTTGAGAGAGGGAGAGAAATAGAGAATCAGATAGAGGGAAAGGGGTGTCTCTAGAGATGCACAGAGAGGGGAGTGATCCTGAGCCGATTCATAGAGCTAATGAGAGGGAGAGGCACATAGAGTGGCAGCAAGTGGGAGTCTGAGAAACAGAGATATGAGGAATAGGGAAACAATATACATAAATTTTATATATATTACTAATTAAAATATGCATTTTTCAGGTGACAATGTTGACTGCTGGATGGAGATTCAGCATGGCAAAGGACCTTGGGCGCCGCCCGTCAGTGGGATTGTACCGCTTGGCTCCACGCTGACCTTGGTGGTGGCCATCAATGATTATCGAGGTGGGTTTATTACAATGTTTGTTTATATGTAAACCCGAAATTCTGATTTTCAACTGGTTTTAAACAGTAAACAAAAAGGAAAATAAACTCAGAAAATGAGATTACTGAAAGGGTATAAAAATGTATATATAACGTTTTTAGAACGTTTCTGTATCTTTATATCTTAATATATACAAAACTACACTTAACATATTATTATTTTAGAAAAAACATATATGTTTGCTCATTAAAATCTTGAAAACCATTAAGCTTCTATAAAAATAATCTCATACGCCACGTAGTCCCATACAAATTAGCTTCCTAAATTGTTTGAAACTCTTTGAAAACCTAATTAATTCATATATTTACACTTATTATTTTATTATTTTAAAGAAAACATAAATAATTGATCATTAAAATCTTGAAAACTATGAAGCTTCTATAATAATAATACTCATACGCCACGTAGTCCCATACAAATTAGCTTCCTAAATTGTTTGAAACTCTTTGAAAACCTAATTAATTCATATATTCATATAAAATCCAAAAGCTAATCACCTCTCTTCTCCTCCAGGTGAATTTGATATGCGCGTCAAGTCGTGTGTGGCCTCCGATGGCTCCGGCCATGTCATCAATCTCTCGGATGAATTTGGCTGCGTCCTGCGTCCCAAGATGATCTCCCGCTTCCTGAAGGCCCGTGCTCCCGATGAGCGTGCCACTGTTATAACGTACGCCTTCTTCCATGCCTTCAAGTTCCCCGACGCGCTTAGTGTCCACATCAAATGCAAGGTGGAGATCTGCCGTCACGGATGCCTCGATCACTGCCAGAACACGGGAGCCGGCGGCGGAGGCATTGGTTCTGGTGAGGCTTTGGGACTGGGACTCGGCCTGACGAATGCCAATGAGCGGAAGGATGTCCACATGTCGGATGCAATGGGCAGTAGCAGCAGCAACGATCTATTGAGGGATCTGTCCCTGCCTCCACCTCCACCCGGCGGTCATGGCCATGGCCTGGGCATGGGCATGGGTCTGGACCACGACATCTTCTACGAGGACATTATCCATGATCACAAGCAGACACTGGGCGGCGGCGGTGGCGGAGATTATGGAGGCCATGAGAGCAAGAGCGGCGGCGTGAATCTACAGCCGCGTCCCGTGCACGAGGAACAGGAAGAAGCCGATCTCTCCGATCTCTTCGGGGATGAGGATATGGCCGATCTGGATATGGAGGGCGGCGACGGAGGCGAGCGTTATTTGGGCTTGAAGAAGAGCGGCAAGTTCCCGCATGGACCCCGACAGCTGGAGGCCCAGAAGCGTATGGGTGTGCCCATGGCAGGACCACGTTCCCTGGATCCCTCACGTAATCATCAGGATGATGATGAGGTGCCACGTCCGGTTTACAGGCCACAAGCCGAGGCCCTTAAGAAGCCTCGCGAGGATCATATTGACTTGGACAGGGAGGAGGAGGAGAGGGATCAGAAGAAGGACCAGCAGCATGACAAGGAACAGCAGAAGGAGCAGGGCCAGGAGCAACCAAAGGAGGAGAGTAACCACAGTCATCGTCGCCGCCGCCGTTCTCTGGTCATTTCCGATCGCAAGGTGCGCAGTGCCGATGTGGGCGTTAGCGGTCTCTACGATGTCATCTCGGAGGCAGACTTGGCCTTCTCGCCGGATTCCAAACAGGAGGCAGTCACCGTCTTCCAGGGCAAGATCAGCGAGGAGGTTGTCTATGGCATCTGTATGCCAGTGCCCGGCTTTAGCATTCTCTTCATTGTCGTCATTTCGGCGACAATTGTCTCGGCCTTGGTGGCCGGTTCGCTGCTGTATCGCTATCAGTTGCAAAAGGAGGCGCTGGATAAGCAGACACCAATGCCCGTGCCTGGGACACTGGCCTCCTGGATGACCCTGCGACTGTTCCGCTTGAGGCACATGCAACAGCATCAGCAACAGCAGCAGCAACAACAGCAGCAACAACAGCAGCAGCAGCAACTCCAACAGCAGCAGCAGCAGCAAGTGAGACAACAACAGGCACCGGGACTCGATACGGTGCAGTGAAACCGAAGGATGAGAAGGATAGTAACATGGATGGAGGAGTAGGAATGGGAATCACCAGAGTCGGACCAGAGTCGAAATCGAAAGCGTTGTCCCCGCTTATTATCTATTTAATATGATTATTGTTTTTTTTTACATCCCGGATTGTTTGTTCAAAGATCGGGCATTAATGCAATACTCGAACTGCTTCGGCTTCGTTTAAGATTCGTTTTTGGTGCTGAACGTTCCACGTATTTATTTTTTTTATTATTATTGGGTGCATTTAGTCGTTAAAAAAAAATCTTTTAAAATTTCATATAAATTCAGCTAAAAGTATAAAGTAAAGATGAAACACACACTCACAAAGACAGAGAGATTGAGAAACTCCTGACACGGTGCTCAAGGTTAAGGAGAGATTGGATGGATGCCAAGTTTAGAACGCATCCGCGCTAGGCCTAAGGGAACTTATTTATTTATATTTATATATATTACACTTACACATTATATATATATTATATTATATATATGGAAATACCTATACGACATTAGCTGTAAGCTGGAGCGGTATGGAAATTTTGCAAGAAATTTAATAATTGTAGTAACTTGTTGGTTTGTTTTGTTTTTTTTTTTTGAGTGTCTATTATTATTAATAATATTATTATTGTGTATTATTGTGTTCTTTGGCATTGCAAACTTACGTTTTTATTGGGGGACAAATTTAGTTAAATTCTACCGCTTACACCATTTCATTTAGACAATTCGCATTATCATTTCCATCATTAAATCGAAAAACAAAAAATCGAAATGCAATCGCTTTGCATGCTTGTTAAAATTTAAGTACCAATTTTGTAACTGACAAATTGACAAATAAAACTAGTTAAGTTGAAAAATAACATCAAGTGTGTGTGTTTATTTTAAATAAAATAGCTTGAAAATCTTACTGTAATTATTATTATAGGCATAGTTTTGAAACGCTTTTAAAAATAATATGTATTTGTTATTATTTATTTATTAGTAATGTTGCCTGCTGATACGTTAAATTTGGAGCTGATAAAGGACACACATATGAATGTATTTTCTATTAAAATTATCTTAGGAAAGCATGAGTTAGCTTTTATCGCCACAATGTTTGCCGAGCTACGATAAGGTAGCAACAGGTGAAGACTTCTTTCTACGATGACGCATCTGGCATTGGCCATTGGACAAGAGGAAGCCGAAGTATTTAGACCCTTAAAACTTGCACTTGGATTATGAAAAACGGTTTTCTGTGCTACATTTTAATAGCTTTACAAATCTGCTTTTGAAAATTAAGATTAAATTTTTTTTAATCTTAGACAATTTTAGAATTTTTTTTCTGCCAAATATGACCAAATCGATCGGGCTTTCAGTGCTGGTTAAGAATATATACGATTAGTAGAGTCAAAAATGATTTCTTCTATGCTTTTTATACATCAGACTAAATTTATAATTTTTGCATTTTTACTAAAAAATTTCGAAATTGAAGCCTTGTTTTTGCCTACAACAACAACATCTTTTGCACAACAATAGAGTTTTAACAACAACAAAAATTTACAATTTACTACAACAAAAGACACAAAATATATTCATTTAAATGCAAAATTTGAGTTCGGACTTAAATATACCCGCCATACCATGAATTTGAATTTAAATAGTCGATCAGTTGCCGCCAAGTATATATTTAAACTCAAATTCAAATTAGAATGATATGGCGGGTACCGGAAGCCTGTTTAAATATGTATTCAAATTTAGAAGTTAAATTACTATATTTTATTAATGTTGTTGATAATTTAAAATTATGGTTTTTGTTGTTGTCGTTATAGTTGTTGTACAGCAAATTAATTTTAGTGCAAGCTGCATATTAGAGTTGTTCCTCTAACTATATTGTAGCAGGGCTTTAGATCTAGCTGGAAAATAGCTACTATGTCAACCCTATATTGCATAAGCTTTTCGTTATCTAAATTTATCGACTTCCAATTATCTAAACTAGCTAATTTTTCACTACTTTTATATCGAAAGCTTTGACTATCGACTGCAGACATGAAACCATGTGCAGCTTTGGGTTATGCTGAATGCACTCAGGAGCGGCCACAGGATCAGGATGAGCTGGATCAAGACCAGGTCAAACTGACACAGTCCGGCCGGCGGCAGTGTAGAACACTTCGCTCCTGCTGCCCTTAGATGAGCTATCCAACACCCCCTCGCTGAGGAGGAGAGCCCTGGTGACCCGCATTTTGATGACTCGGGCATCTCGGCCTCCCCACAGAGCAAGAACAACCTTCAGGCCAAGCAGCAGCAGCAGCCGGAGCCGCAGCAGCAGAAGCTTATCACCGCAGCTAAGCGGCCTGCCCCAGAATCGTTTTGGGTTATGGTGAATGCACTCAGGAGCAGCCACAGGATCAGGATGAGCTGGATCAAGCCCAGGGCGTGGTGGCCACAGCCCGGCCGGCGGCAGTACAGACCACTGATGAGGATGAGCTGGATCACGGCCTCGCTGACCTCTAGCGTGATCAGCGCTAAGGAGGAGAGCTCTGATGACCCGCAATGTCAATGCCTCGTGGATCTCGGCTTCCCCACAGAGCAACTAGAAGCTCCAGGCCAAGCAGCAGCAGCAGCAGCCACTTAAGCTGACCGTGGTCACCCGCCAGGAGCATCGTTACATTGGACCCCACCGCCTCAACATGACACCGGAGCCGCCGGAGCAGAAGCTTGTCACCAGGACCATTTCCACTCCGCAGCTAAGCGGGCTGCCCTAGAAACGTCAGTTTGCCTTTGGTGGTGCCTCTACCAAGGACGTGATGCAGCGGTGTATGGCCTCCCATGGCAAGAGAGAAATCAGAATGGAAGTCAGCAGCAACAGCAACACCCTCAAGCTGCACACGCGAATGGCGTTGGCCTACCTGGAGAACGGCTACTCGCCAACGGGCATTAGCACGATCACCCTATCACCGACAGCCATCGAGCGGGACTCGGAGGGCAGGCCGTTGCGTCGAGGCTATGTGCCCGTCGAGTAGAAGATCCAGCAGGAGCTGCAAGACCTCAAGTCGCGGGAGAAGGATCTGAAGCGCCTGCGCAAGATTAACAGGCATAACACACTGAAGGCTTCGCTGGACAAGCTGTGAGTACACGTCAAGGCTTTAAAGAATCCTCTTATAATCTTACGTTTTCTCGTTTCCAGCCTGCTAAGCACAGACGACGAGACCAGTACGTACGACGAAGCCGATGCGGACGACAAGAACTCTGTGGTGGAGCACTGCTATGGACCCGGAAAACTGCGCAATGCCCAGTCCACCCCGGAGTTGGATAGAAATGGGCAAGTTTTAGATAACCTACTTAAACAGTTTTATTCTCATTGAATTTTCATTCTTATATCCACAGCAACCATCTGGAGAACGTACAAAAGCCCGTCGCATTTGCAGCCTGAGTGCAGCCGCCTACATAGCCAATGGAGCCAGGAATGGCAGCACTAAGGGGATGCGTCTGGCCATGTCGCTGGCCCAGCTCTGTGATCTGTCGTCCAAGCAGGCGCTCTCATCGCGAGGCCCCATTGCCCAGTGGGAAAGCTTGATCAAGAACCGTTTTACAGTGTGACCAACTCATTATTTCGAAGTGTGGCCGCTTTGACTGTTCGCTGTTTGCCTGCAGCCATGTGCAGCAGCGTCGATCAACTACTGTCAGAAAACCACGTGCAGCTTTGACATCCTACTTTTTAGGTTATGGAAAATGCACTCAGGAGCAGCCACAGGAAAAGGATGAGCTGAATAAAGACCAGGTCATGCTGGTCACAGTCCAGCCGGCGGCAGTGCAGACCACTTCGCTCCTGCTGCCCATTGATGAGCTATCCAATACCCCCTCGCTGAGGAGGAGAGCCCTGGTGACCCGCATTCTGAGGACTCGTGCATCTCGGCCTCCCCACAGAACAAGAACAGCCTCCAGGCCAAGCAGCAGCTGCAGCCGCTCTAGCTGACCGTGATCACCCGCCAGGAGCAGCGTTACATTGGACCCAACTGCCTCAACATGACACCGGAGCCGCAGCAGCAGAAGCTTATCACCGCAGCTAAGCGGCCTGCTCCAAAACCGACAGTTGCCTTCGGTGGTGCCTCTTCCAAGGGCGTGATGCAGCGGTTTATGGCCTCCCATGGCAAGGTGGGCAACATCAGCAACAGCAACACCCTCAAGATGAACACGCGCACGGCGTTGACCTTCCTGGAGAACGGCAACTCGCCAACGAGCATTAACACGGTCACCCCATCACCGCAGCCATCGAGAGGGACACGGAGGGCAGGCTGTTACGTTGGGGCTATGTGCCCGTCGAGCACAAGATTCAGGAGGAGCTGCAGGAGCCCAAGTCGCGGGAGAAGGAGCTGAAGCGCATGCGCAAGATTAATAGGCAGAACACACTGAAGGCTTCGCTGGAAAAGCTGTGAGTACGCGTCAAGCCTTTCATGAATCCTCTTATAATATTACGCTTTTTCGTGTCCAGCCAGCATAACACAGACGACAAGGCCGATGCGGACGACGATGACGAAGAAGACTCTGCTATAGCCCCGGAAAACTGCGACATGCCCAGTCCACCCAGGAGTTGGATAGAAATGGGCAAGTTTTAGATAACCTACTTAAAAAAGTTTTATTCTCATTGGATTTTCATTCTTATATCAACAGCAACGAACTGGAGACCGTACACAAGCCCGCTGGCATTTGCAGCCTGAGTGCAGCCGCCTACATAGCCAATGGAGCCAGGAATGGCAGCACTAAGGGGATGCGTCTGGCCATGTCGCTGGCCCAGCTCTGTGATCTGTCGTCCAAGCAGACGCCCTCATCGCGAGGCCCCATTGCCCAGTGGGAAAGCTTGATCAAGAACCGTTTTACAGTGTGACCAACTCATTATTTCGAAGTGTGGCCGCTTTGACTGTTCGCTGTTTGCCTGCAGCCATGTGCAGCAGCGTCGATCAACTACTGTCAGAAAACCACGTGCAGCTTTGACATCCTACTTTTTAGGTTATGGAAAATGCACTCAGGAGCAGCCACAGGAAAAGGATGAGCTGAATAAAGACCAGGTCATGCTGGTCACAGTCCAGCCGGCGGCAGTGCAGACCACTTCGCTCCTGCTGCCCATTGATGAGCTATCCAATACCCCCTCGCTGAGGAGGAGAGCCCTGGTGACCCGCATTTTGATGACTCGGGCATCTCGGCCTCCCCACAGAGCAAGAACAACCTTCAGGCCAAGCAGCAGCAGCAGCCGGAGCCGCAGCAGCAGAAGCTTATCACCGCAGCTAAGCGGCCTGCCCCAGAATCGTTTTGGGTTATGGTGAATGCACTCAGGAGCAGCCACAGGATCAGGATGAGCTGGATCAAGCCCAGGGCGTGGTGGCCACAGCCCGGCCGGCGGCAGTACAGACCACTGATGAGGATGAGCTGGATCACGGCCTCGCTGACCTCTAGCGTGAGCAGCGCCAACGAGGAGAGCCCTGGTGACCCGCATTCTGAGGACTCGTGCATCTCGGCCTTCCCACAGAGCAAGAACAGCCTCCAGGCCAAGCAGCAGCTGCAGCCGCTCTAGCTGACCGTGATCACCCGCCAGGAGCAGCGTTACATTGGACCCAACTGCCTCAACATGACACCGGAGCCGCAGCAGCAGAAGCTTATCACCGCAGCTAAGCGGCCTGCTCCAAAACCGACAGTTTGCCTTCGGTGGTGCCTCTTCCAAGGGCGTGATGCAGCGGTTTATGGCCTCCCATGGCAAGGTGGGCAACATCAGCAACAGCAACACCCTCAAGATGAACACGCGCACGGCGTTGACCTTCCTGGAGAACGGCAACTCGCCAACGAGCATTAACACGGTCACCCCATCACCGCAGCCATCGAGAGGGACACGGAGGGCAGGCTGTTACGTTGGGGCTATGTGCCCGTCGAGCACAAGATTCAGGAGGAGCTGCAGGAGCCCAAGTCGCGGGAGAAGGAGCTGAAGCGCCTGCGCAAGATTAAAAGGCAGAACACACTGAAGGCTTCGCTGGAAAAGCTGTGAGTACACGTCAAGGCTTTATAGAATCCTCTTCTAATATTACGCTTTTTCGTTTCCAGCCAGCATAACACAGACGACAAGGCCGATGCGGACGACGATGACGAAGAGGACTCTGCTATGGACCCGGAAAACTGCGACATGCCCAGTCCACCCAGGAGTTGGATAGAAATGGGCAAGTTTTAGATAACCTACTTAAAAAAGTTTTATTCTCATTGGATTTTCATTCTTATATCAACAGCAACGAACCGGAGGACGTTCACAAGCCCGCTGGCAATCGCAGACTGAGTGCAGCCGCCTACATAGCCAATGAAGCCAGGAATGGCAGCACTAAGGGGATGCGTCTGTCCATGTCCCTGGCTCAGCTCTTTGATCTGAGGAGGGGCCCTCATCGCGAGGTCCCATTGCCCAGTGTGAAAGCCTGATCAAGAAGAATGCCGAGAACGGAACGGTTGTTGAGGCGGTAATCTAAGAGGACGAACGGAAGAGGTTAGCAGAGTCGTCTTTCCCTCCGAAAATCAACACATCAATCCACCAAATTATTATTGTAATGTCCACTATTGATACCAATCCTAAGTCCGACTCCCGATCCTCGTCTCCACACAAAGCGAAAGATGCTTATGAACAAATTAATCTAAACGCCTTAAAAATTCGAAATAAAATTATTGACTTTGATTTTTGTTGTTCTTGTTATTTAAAATTGTTCTTGTTGTAAAAGAGTCGTTTGTTGTTGTTGTTTTTGTTGTTGGCAAAATCCGGCTTTCAATTTGGTCGCTTTCAGCACAAAATTTTTATTTTCTGGGTCTGGAGTACCAGGCGAACAGAAATCGCAGAAAGTAGATTCACTTTGGTACAAAAGCTTCAAATTAGAGTTGTCCGTTTAGCTATTTTATAGCTATATTCAAGCTTTGAGCTTAAAGCTCTTTGCTGTGCTACAACATAGCTAAACGGACAACTCTAATTTGAAGCTTTTGTACTAAAGTGAATCTACTTTCTGCGATTTCTGTTCGCCTGGTACTCCAGATCCAGAAATTGGCAATTTTGTACTGAAACGGACCAAACTGAATGCTGGATTTTGCCAACAACAACAACAAGAACAACAAACGACTCTTTTACAACAAGAACAATTTTAAATAACAAGAACAACGAAAATAAATCAAATTCAATAATTTTATTTCGAATTTTTAAGGCGTTTAGATTAATTTGTTCATAAGCATCTTTCGCTTTGTGTGCAGAACAGGATCGGGAGTCAGACTTAGGATTGGTATCAAGAGTGGACATTACAATAATAATTTGGTGGATTGATGTGTTGATTTTCGGAGGGAAAGACGACTCTGCTAACCTCTTCCGTTCGTCCTCTTAGATTACCGCCTCAACAACCGTTCCGTTCTCGGCATTCTTCTTGATCAGGCTTTCACACTGGGCAATGGGACCTCGCGATGTGGGCCCCTGCTTCTTAGATTAAAGAGCTGAGCCAGCGACATGGCCGGACGCCTCCCATTAATGCTGCCATTGGTCCATAGCAGTGCTCCACCTCAGAGTCCTCATCGTCATCGTCGTCCGCATCGGCCTCGTCGTCTGTGCTGAGATGGCTGGAAACGAAAAAGCGTAATATTAGAAGAGGATTCTTGAAAGGCTTGGCGTGTACTCACAGCTTTTCCAGCGAAGCCTTCAGTGTGTTCTGCCTTTTAATATTACGCAGGCGCTTCAGATCCTTCTCCCGCGACTTGGGCTCCTGCAGCTCCTGCTGGATCTTCTGCTTGACGGTGTCATGTTTCGGCAGTTGGGTCCAATGTATCGCTGCTCCTGGAGGGTGATCACGGTCAGCTTGAGCGGCTGCTGCTGCTGCTTGGCCTAGAGGTTGTTCTTGCTCTGTGGGGAGGCCGAGATGCACGAGTCCTCAGAATGCGGGTCACCAGGGCTCTCCTCGTTGGCGCTGATCACGCTAGAGGTCAGCGAGGGCGTGATCCAGCTCATCCTGATCCTGTGGCTGCTCCTGAGTGCATTCACCATAACCCAAAACGATTCTGGGGCAGGCCGCTTAGCTGCGGTGATAAGCTTCTGCTGCTGCGGCTCCGGTGTCATGTTGAGGCAGTTGGGTCCAATGTAACGCTGCTCCTGGCGGGTGATCACGGTCAGCTTGAGCGGCTGCTGCTGCTGCTTGGCCTGGAGGTTGTTCTTGCTCTGTGGGGAGGCCGAGATGCACGAGTCCTCAGAATGCGGGTCACCAGGGCTCTCCTCCTTGGCGCTGCTCACGCTAGAGGTCAGCGAGGGCGTGATCCAGCTCATCCTGATCCTGTGGCTGCTCCTGAGTGCATTCACCATAACCCAAAACGATTCTGGGGCAGGCCGCTTAGCTGCGGAGTGGAAATGATCCTGGTGATAAGCTTATGCTGCCGCGGCTCCGGTGTCATGTTGAGGCAGTTGGGTCCAATGTAACGCTGCTCCTGGCGGGTGATCACGGTCAGCTTGAGCAGCTGCTGCTGCTGCTTGGCCTGGAGGTTGTTCTTGCTCTGTGGGGAGGCCGAGATGCACGAGTCCTCAGAATGCGGGTCATCAGTGGTCTGTACTGCCGCCGGCCGGGCTGTGGCCACCACGCCCTGGGCTTGATCCAGCTCATCCTGATCCTGTGGCTGCTCCTGAGTGCATTCACCATAACCCAAAACGATTCTGGGGCAGGCCGCTTAGCTGCGGAGTGGAAATGATCCTGGTGATAAGCTTTTGCTGCGGCGGCTCCGGTGTCATGTTGAGGCAGTTGGGTCCAATGTAACGCTGTTCCTGGCGGATGATCGTGGTCAGCTTGAGGGACTGCTGCTGCTGCTTGGCCTTGAGGTTGTTCTTGCTCTGTGGGGAGGCCGAGATGCACGAGTCCTCAGAATGCGGGTCATCAGTGGTCTGTACTGCCGCCGGCCGGGCTGTGGCCACCTCGCCCTGGGCTTGATCCAGCTCATCCTGATCTTGTGGCTGCTCCTGCGTGCATTCACCATAACCCAAAACGTAAAATGTAAAAGCTGCACAGGGTTCCATGTTCCATGTGATCGTCGCTGTTGCACATGCTTGCAGGCAAACAGCGAACAGTCAAAGCGGGCACACTTAGAAATAAGGACGTGGCAAATGAGTTGGTCACACTGTAAAACGGTTCTTGATCAAGCTTTCCCACTGGGCAATGGGGCCTTGCGATGAGGGCGTCTGCTTGGACGACAGATCACAGAGCTGGGCCTTAGTGCTGCCATTCCTGGCTCCATTGGCTATGTAGGCGGCTGCACTCAGGCTGCAAATGACAGCGGGCTTGTGTACGGTCTCCAGTTCGTTGCTGTTGATATAAGAATGAAAATCCAATGAGAATAAAACTTTTTTAAGTAGGTTATCTAAAACTTGCCCATTTCTATCCAACTCCTAGGTGGACTGGGCATGTCGCACTTTTCCGGGTCCATAGCAGAGTCCTCTTCGTCATCGTCGTCCGCATCGGCCTTGTCGTGTGTTATGCTGGCTGGACACGAAAAAGCGTAATATTATAAGAGGATTCATGAAAGGCTTGACGCGTACTCACAGCTTTTCCAGCGAAGCCTTCAGTGTGATCTGCCTTTTAATCTTGCGCAGGCGCTTCAGATCCTTCTCCGGCGACCTGGGGTCCTGCAGCTCCTGCTGAATCTTGTGCTCGACGGGCACATAGCCCTGACGTAATGGCCT